TGGCACTGCGGCATTAACATCATACCTTTTTTTGTTATTAAATATATTTCCGATTGAGAGTGCTTTGTAATGATTTGAATCCCGAGATCATCATATTGAACATCCTCTCTGAACGCCACTATAAACTAATCAGTGTCCATGTGCTTTGGTCTCTCCTGATGAAAACACGCCTTTTTTCCCTAAGTTTTATCTCTAGTTTAATGTCACACAAAAAAAAACTAATTTTGCTTTACCCAAAAAGACTGAAAAAATAAATAAATAACTATTTAAATTGGATACAACTTTATCAGTTTCTTATAACCAACTTGTAGAGTGAATTGAAATACTTATCAGAACGAACTATATACAGATAAATTATATATATATATNCAGTATGTAAAAAAAGGAAGAAAAGAATAACAAATTCGCAGGCAAAGAACATATTTTTAATGTTTATCAAACTGACTAGATAAAGCAATCTATAATGTATAATCAATAAAACAGGAAAGCATCTAAAATGAATAAAATATTAAGTATCAAGAATTAAGTGTTTAAAAAAAATCCAGACCAGCTGGTTTTAAGTTTCATAAATAGTACCATAATGATAACATTTATAACCAATTGTACCTAGCTAAATTATGACTATAACATGTAAAAGATTTTATTATTTTCTTTACATATAATTCGGTCCACAGAAATTATTGATAATATTCGTACGAATGGGATTCTCCAGTACTGATTTTACAAAAAAATGAACTACACACTCATTTATTAAGAATTCATTATTGTTATCATCATGCTAATATTGAACTTATTTTTATGTACCCATTAGTAGAAACAGATACTTCAGAAACTTATTTCTCTTACTTTTCAATTGAAATCACATATTTCAAAACTGCATAAGTTCAACAACAACTTCAACAGTTAAAAAAAAAAAAATCTTATTTATTTTAATAATTTGAAAACTTGTGATTTTCCTACCTTTCTTCAAGCCAAACAAAAAAAAAAAAAAAAAACGTTATCAAGATTTAAGATTGCGTATTTGAACACACAAAAACCTGTTTGAAACCTGTCTGAAACCTATAGAAAACTTGAAACACAATTATTAGAAACACCTCCACATTTTATAAGATAATCAAACTGGTTTTAATGATTTATATCCTGTCTTCTTTGACAGATTTCTATATAATTTTTCGTTTCTTTAATTTATTACTTAGTAATTTCTAAATTGTGTATACTGTATATAAATACATTTATTAGAAATATTTTAAAAATATAGATATTCAGTGTAGTCATTACAAAAGTCTTAATTATTAAATAGGTATGTACAGTTGCTAACTTTTTGAAATGGGTAATACAAAATTGACCTTAAAATTTTTCTGCGCCTGTAACTTCTTAAATATAGTAGGTTTTCGATTTAGTTCAGCCTTTAACAGAGTTTTCATTTCACTTATAATAATGGATTTAGTTTGTACCAAAATATAATTTGTATTAGTATTTTGGTAAAATAAGTGTGAATAAGAAAGAGAGAAAAAGATTTCTTAAACTTAAAATACAATTACATCTGAAATTTTAAATCTGATACCGTATTATTACTTTCAGTGACAAATTTTTGATTTTAAGTAACAGTAAAAGTTAACATATGATATAAACTTTCTTTCAATTCCTATACATAAACATAAAAAGGTATTGCAATATATTTCCTTTTGAAATTGATAATTAAATTGTACACATTTATTTGAAATTTTATTATTTTTCAAATTATAACATACAATTGAAAAGTAAGGGTAAAATTTTAAGAAAATTTTTAGATTTATTATTTTTATTCATTTTGATTGATCCTGCCTGAGTAAAGAATTTGTTAAGGTATCAAATATAGTACTTAATATAGGAATATACATTAAAATTTCACACATATAGAATTATGTTACTAATATTTGCCCCATCACAATTGTTTTTGTCATAATCATTATTTATAATCATATCATCCTTATTGATTCAGGATCCCTATATTAAACAAAAATAATGTTTCAAGGAATTCAGCCTTTTTTCCCCACATTTATTTCAAACTTTATTTTTTAAACTAATTAGAATGCACGAATATTGTTGGTAATAAACATTATTTAATAGCAAAATACAGCGGTATTACGATACTAAAAAGTTACATACCTTAAAAATATATGTTATGCAGCTTTGAAATTTAAAACCTTTATTTTTAAAGTAAATACGAGAAAATCCTATTATTCATTAAGTTTCTTGAATACCAATAGGTTCAATAAACGAAATTTTAAAACATTTTAAGGCATTGACATATTTGCACATTTTTTAAAATGTTTTAAAACAGTTAGCATCAAAATACTTATTTTAAATACTTGATATAAAGTAACTATAACAATAGCCTTTCATAAAACATTGATATAGGATTTTATTCGGTTGAACACTACAATAATTACAACAGATTCTTACAACACTTATACAAGATTTATTTATTTTAATGATGGAATTCATTCTACATATAGACATATATTATTAAATAAAAAACATACATTGAATGTTCATTGGCAAAAATTTTCTAGCAAAGAAAAAAACTATGAAAAACTTAATCATTCAGGTAGAACAAAAGCACCGTTACTACCATCTTGCTGTTTTGAACTCAACCGTACTCTGGCATGCATTCTTGAATGCTAAAAAATTTCATTTTTATCTTTATACATCACTAATGACATAAGATTACAGAAGGTTCTCCGTCACATGCTGTTTAGAATGCCGGAAGGTAAAGAAATGTTGTTCTAATAAGAATACATGCCAGGTAGTACTAGGGTTTCTAACTTCAAAAGTATACCCATGCTTGGGTTTGGCCACAGAAGTGGCTCTTTAAAGTGAAAAAAAAGAAAGACCACAGATAAACAGTTTGTGGATAATCAGGAGTTCACTGTACATATACAAGACAATTATAAATTTTGCAATTAATGAGAAAAGTTCTATCATATCAATCCTATATGCAATTGCTAATGAAAAACACAATGGTAATTAAGTAAATTAAAGAAATTGAATGACTATAAGATATATTTAACATACAAACAATATAAATTGACATACAAATATAGATATGATATAAATTTGATCCTTGAAAACATGTTTGCTCCTTAAGATGATAAAAAAGAAGTTATAATTAGAAATATATTTTTGAAACAAAAAGAAGCCATTATTATTGTAAATTTTGTATGGCAAAACATTTTTGCATGGTCCAAAGCTGAGTGGCTTTTAGTTTTAATTACATAACCGATTCTTATTTAACCAGAAAACAAATTTTTTTTTAAATTGGTAACGTAATAAACATATTTTTTCCAAATACCTGTCCAAGATTATTATATACCATTGGATTATTTGAAATCAAAGATAAATGTTAAATAACCTAGTCCTATTATACAATGTAATAGAAGATTACATGTAAATGTAATACAATATCATACGTAAATAAAGAAGAAATTTGTATAATAATCAGTTTTGTAATAACCAAGACAAAACTACATGACAACAATTTTAAAAAAAAAATTTTCCTTTAATCTACTTATTTTTAAATCTTGGGTGGAATGTAAAAAGCAAATAGAAGTATAAATTACATATCTAAGTGGCAGATGTAGAAAAAGAATTATACAAATAGAAAACTAGTTTTATAATTATAAAAAATAAAATAACAATAATATAAAATAAGAAATGCATTATACATAATTGTAAGGGGAAGCTTTAAATACTGTGAAACTTTGAAGAAAATTTATCATTAATAATAATTAAAACATAGACAAACTATTCGAATATATAAAAATTACAATTGAAATACTTTTGGACATGCAACAAAATTAGAAAAATGTAAAAATCAAAATGGCAGTAACAATAAAAAATCAGTAAAAAGACAAAATTAATAAAAAAAAATGGATTTCATCTGAAAAAAAAAGTTACTAATATTTTTTAAAAAGGAGGAGGAAAAAAAGATATGTGTAATTTATCAACTGGCATGATGTTAGCTAGATTTGATTTTATTCATATATATTAAATTTGTAAAGTTTTATATCACTTTTAAGCAAGGATATATATATTTATAATAAACACCATACCATTGTAGAGATAAAACAATTTAAATTTAAATTAATGCTTTTATAAGTAACAGTTTTTTTTTTTCAAAGTTCCATTTTAACCTAAATTTAACTAATACCTATGCTATGCTCATACCAAATATTAATCTAAATTTTGATTTAATCATCAACACATGATCCTGACATCAATTAAAAATAATAGTTAATATGAACAACAGCAATATTTTCTAGTTTTAATATCATACTTTAAACATAGGCAAACATCAAATTAAATAGTTAAGTATTTATTTTCTAAAAAACTTTACAATAATGTAAATACGAATAACTTTGGGTATTTTTTCTAGAATCAAGAATACTAACAATACATTTTTCCCCCGATGACTGCTTTTCAAGTTCACAATTGCAATGTCATGATTAATCTGCAAAAGTGATACTTGCTAGCTATACAAGTCAATTTTTATTTCATTGCAATCCAGTAGCATTACATTAAGTTACACAAACAAGCAACTATTTAGGAAGAGCCTTTGATTTTTTTTTTTTAAGTTTGAAAGCAAACCTCTTTATTTCAAGTGTTTTAAGACATCTAAGCAAGAATCTATAGACATTTTGAAGAGTGTTTCACAATTTCTAAGTTATAAAATTTAGTAATAACAAAAAGGTTATTTTTTCCTGCACTATTTACATTTCAACCAATCTAAATTTAAAACAGTTTTTTTGCTTTCTATCTTTTTGTAGTTTATGACCTTTAGTTATAAATGGAATCAAATATTAAAGTTGTCTCAAGGAAAAAAAAACTTTTTTTAATATGTTAATCTTAGAAAACAATAGTATATTCAATTATAATAACTTTAATTATAATAATATTAATTATAAATATATATCTGAATTTAACAACTAAAGATATACATATTTATTAATAATAAATATGTTTTTAGGTATGATTTTATTTTGAACAAAAATCAACTCATATTACTTAATTTAAAAAATACTTAATACATAAACAACTTTAAATATAATGTGTTTAAGTATATTTACAAACATTAACCTAAAAGTGATTAAAGCAATTCAAGAAATATTGACAAATCCTGAAAAACTAATATTTCTTAATTGTTTTGCCTAAGCAAATGAATGATTTTAATTAATGATTCCATCTAATGCTAATTAAATCAAGTCTGATTTTAAAAAAATAACTTTTTTAAAAATAGATATTTAATATAAAAGTCAATTTAAGAAGCTGACGGTTATATATTTTTATATGATTCTATAAATACATTGAAATATTTGTATAATATATATCATTATTAGGAAATATCAACAACTAAATATCTTCAAAGTTTCCCAGTAAGTAAAAGATACATAATGAATTTCTAATGTTTTTTCTTGGATTCAATGGCACGATCATTCACATCAATAATACTAATATTGACAGATGCCACATACATTTGAAGGAGTGTTATTAAGGTTTTAACAATAGCAATAGGAGTAGTGAGGTAGACCAGCAGTTTGAAAAGTCCTATTCCTAAAACTGAAATAACAAAAAATGATGAAAATATGTTTATACAATAATTAGAATTATCAAAATATATTTGTATAAAATAATAAAGAATAATTGAGATGCATATTTCATGCAGAAGGAAAAAAAATAATTTTTTTTTTAAACTACCTGAACCACACAAATAATTTTAGTTTTTAAGAAAATAATTACAGTTCACTAACTTCACATAGCGTATTCATAAAGACTTACACTCTGAGATTTTTATACTAAGCATCATTTTCAGCTATAAGAACAACATTTTCAGTAATTTTATTTTTATTTACAAAATTTTTTAGAATTTTTGTGTGAATATTGTGAGAGATAAAATATAATTGAAACTTTAGATTAATATAAAGAGCCTATACCTAAAGCAAGTTTTCATCAAGAAACTTTTAAAATTGTCTTTTTATTTCATACTGAAATCATGTTAGTTGCATCAAGCTATGTTTTGTTTTTATTAGCAGCAGCAAAACAATATAAAACTATGCAAAGTTGAATAAATTACTGATAAACTGATCTAGTTCTTTAAATATATTTTAAATCTTTAATCTATATAAATGCATAAATATATTTTTAGTTCAATTGCAAAATTTTTCTTAAAAATAACTTCGTATTGATAGAGAATAATTTTTTTTAATCAAAAATATTAACTGTTCATAAGACATGTAATAATACAAATAACTTAATAAAAAAGTAAAACATGAAAAAGTTACTAAAAGCTAGTTTTGTCAATAAATATACAAATATTTAACTTTAATTTTATATATAATAAGATGCTTTGTATAGTTAAGATTAGTTTCAAAAATTAAACATTCACAATTTTTTTTTGTTTTTCTCAATTTTCATATAATTTAACTATACACAAATGCTCTAATATTAAGAAACACTACTAGTACGACCTGACTGCATAGAATTGATCATTTTATGTAAGTAACAAATAAAGGTTTAAGTTAACCATTTTGGTTTTGCTAAAGAATTATAAAAGTTGTAATTTTTAATGTTTCATTTATCTTTTCATTGTTTAATTTGCCCATCATACTAGAAAGAAGAGTATTGTTATATGCGCAAGAAATATATAATGTTGTGGTGCAAATGGAATTTGGAAAAAATCCTACAAAATCTGCAAAAGGGATATTAACAATTCTTTTTCTTTCAACATTAGTTAAAAAAACCAATGAAATCAGCTAACAATTCAGAATTTGATGCTGCTTAGCATAAATAGCTTAGTCACAAAAATAACTATGGAGTACTGCTATATGGAAGTAAATTTTAAAATATTGTCAGACTGTTGTGGAAAAAAAATAGAATAAAAGTTGCTTATAAATTTTGACACTATAAAGCTTCTTATTAAAAGAAACTTTCATTTAGAAAATTTATGGATAAAAGATTAAAAAACGATGTAGCCTCTATAATCTGAAGACAGTAGAAATTCTTTATAATGCAAACCTTGAAACCCGAGACTGTATTTTATAGGATTTTGTGTTATATAAATCAACTCACAAATTGCTAAACTACTAAACAGGGCAATATTAGTCTAGAAGAGATCAATCTTAAAATGATTTAAAATAATTTTTAGACACTAATACTTAAAAACGTAAAAATATGCATTAAGTGCTTATAAATTACAGGAAAAAAAAGTTTAATTTTCTAGAGCATATGAACTAATAACAAATTTATCAATTTTGGTTTGGTTAGCTTTTGAAGTTGCTACCTCTTTTGTAAGATATTTTATATAATTATAAAAATATTATATATAATTTTAAAAATATTATTTATAAATTTAAAAATATTATATAAAATATTTCAAAAAAGATGATTTTGCTAAGGTTGACAAAACTTTAAGTTACTACAAAACATATTAATTTCTCTCTTGTTTATTACAATTTCACTGAATGATACGGAGCAAATTAATTTAACATTCAACTTTTTTTTTTTTTTTTGGTTTATAATCATTCCTGAGTTAAAAGAATGTTTTTCTTATTATGATTTAAAAACAAAAGTTCTAAAACATAGCAAATTTTTTTTAAATAATTTTTTCAAAGAAATTGTACACAGAATTTTAGAAACATACAATATAAGAGAATATATATACAGTGGAACCCGCTTAAAAAGTTCCCTTTTAAGAAGTTTTCCCGCGTAAGAAGTTATTTTTTAAAAAAACCAATTACCATAATGTTAAATTTACTTTTATAAGAAGTTTTTTTCCCGTTTAAGAAGTTTCCACTCCTAATTTCAATTTTTTAAAATTTTATTTAAAATGTCTTATTTAGTTTTAACTTGCCCTTACAAACACATGTATGGGTACTGACCACTGACCTTCATCACTCCTTTGTTACAAAGAAAGGTGACTTATCAGGAACAGGTGTGAGCAAAGGAATGTGAACCTTTAGATGAACTATGAAACTGATAAGAATGTAGGGAATAGCTTTGTCATTGTGTCCACCTTAAATGAATAGCCTGGTGACTCACGAACTTCACTGCTGTCCACACCCATTCAATAACTGAAGAGAAAGATACATCTAAACATTTAGCAGCATTTCGTTGAAAATTTTCTTAGTGTAGGCGCTTATGTTATCTTAAAAATCATCGTAAAAAGTTTGATTTTTGTGGAAAATGTCCTGTAAAGGCATTAAGCGTAAAGCTCTATCTATTGATGACAAAGTAAAAATTTTAAAAGCTGTTGACAGCTATCCTCAATTAACACGAGTTCAAATAGCAAAAAATTTAGATCTTCCTGTTACTACGTTAAATGGCATTATTGCTAAGAAAGACATCATCTTAAACTCTTCTTGTTCCGGTGCATCCCAGAAAGTAAAAAAAGTGAAGAAAGGAAAATACGAAAATATTGAAGAGAAACTGATGANTTTTAGTTTTTTATTAATGTGTTTTTAAGTTTCACCGTTTAATAAGTTTTCCCGTTTAATAAGTCGTTTCTTTCCACTCCCTTGAAAAACTTCTTAAACGGGTTCTACTGTATATATATATATATATATAGTACAACCATTATTATCTGAAGTGACTGGGACCAACCCAACTTTGTGTAATCAAACATTCAAATAATGGAGGTAAAATCCTCTTTTATTTAATTTCATTTTCTTTTTTCTTTCATAGTCATTTATCTATTTTTATTGTGCTCTATCTAGTTTAAATACTGTGTGTCATATTTTTTTTAATTTTAATATAATCTTTTAATAAATATCCTATTTTCAAAGAGGTATAAAAATATTTTAAGCAATAAAATCCTCTAGTTTTATTTCCCCACTTAATGTTACTCCTTTGCTTCTTTCTGAAAAAAATCATTTGTACAAAGGACCAATTAGTTCTGAATTAATAGTTTATTTCAGTAATCTTTAAAGTTCATTCTATGGATTTACATTTCTTGGTGGGCATTACAAAGTTTCTCTAAATACGATGTTTTATTCTTCGAGTGAAAATAACACAGCATGCCTCTTTTTAGCAAATATGAAAGCCATGATGCTAAAACAAAACTATACTAGTAATAACAAATGAATGGACATTACAGTTTCAAAACTACAGCAAAACCACAGCAACCACCTTTAGTGACCAAGAAAAATTTTATTTGTTGTTCCCATAAAATAATCAATTTTATGAAGTCGTACATTACAAACAGTATTTTTTTACTTTTTAAGCTTTAGGTACAAAAAAAAAATTCTGCAAAAGTTTGAGCATGAAAAAGGATCGGATAACTGAAGTTCTACTGTTAATAATTATACCCCTGCACTAATATTAACTAATAATTATTGAAATTTTTCGAAAGAATTAAGTTGGATTTATAAAACATGAAGTTAAACTATCAAGTGTTTGAGCTAGTTATTAGATGTTAATAAAAAATTCTACTCAATCAAAATTTTAACTAGAGTAAAAAAAATTTATAAAGAGATACAGATTATAAAAAGTAGTTTTTTGGCAGGCCAAACTTAATTAATTTATTATGCAATACAAAACAATTTAAAAGATACAAAAAAAATTAAACTATGAGGTTAATTTACATTACAGTAACAGATATTTATCATAGCATGATTAACAGTTGTGACATCTAATTTTAACATAGTTATTACTTCACTTCACAATCTATTAAAATATACAATACAATCAAAAGGTGATAAGAAAAACAGATTAGCTCTGATTAGTTTCATTCTCATTATCATTGATCTATCTCATACATAATTGATTTAATCTTGTATCAGCTAAATATAGATAATTTGGGAATGCTGATAATCTAGAATCATGAATCATAAATCAAGTGCATTAATATGATTTTTTTTTCAATATCATCTCACTGATTTAATGAATCATGCAATAAAAATATGTGAAAATAAACAACTGTAAAATCAAATGAAATTCTCAATCCACACATTTTTGTTTACTTTTTAGTCCAATTAAAGAAGCACAAGTTAGACATTTAGATTTAGAGGAAAACCAAGTGAGTCTTTAAATTCAAATATAGAGCAATTGACTCGCATAAAACAATAAACCTCTTTACGAACACTTTGCAGAGTGAAATTAATAAACAAAATAGATCATATTAGAATGCAAAATAATGATAATAACATTTACCTGTGGGCCCAGAAGTAAAATAGACAAGATAAAGCATACTATAGAACAGTTCATTTCCAGCACACATGAAGAATAAAACAGGCTGTAAAAAAATTTTCATACAATGTAAATTTTTTTTTTTTACTTACACTTAAAACATTGTAGTATATGATCTAACACAAGTGAATAATTAAAGTAAAGAGGAGAATAATATAAGTCACACTTTCAAATTGTTTCGGAAATGGTTTGTAATGAAAGGCACCACAATTTCTAAGTAGGCAATAAGATGCACCTGTGCATTTTAGAAGTCCGGAAACTTGGAAAGTATCTTTTATTATTTTTTTATAACCGTCGTTGAACAGATGACCCAATTTTTGGGTTTATAACTACTAATGTTCAACTCCGTAGCCTTATAATTTCGAAACCAATCCAGAAGACAAAGGAATTCCTGGATCAAGTATTAGGAGAAATTTGCCTTCGCTGGAACTAGCCCGTATTTGCATTACACGGAGAGGAAGACCACGAGAACCTCCCACGGCAACGGGACTATAACCCATGATCCATCTACCACTCAGGATATTTCACGTCAGCACTGTGGTCAGTGCAAGCTGGATGCAGATTTGTATCAACCAGTCATTGGTAGGATTTGAACCCAGTTCACCTCATTGGAAGGCGAGCACTCTACCCCCTGAACCGCTTCAGCTCTAGAAAGTACTTATCTTGAAACAATACTAAGGAACAGTTTGGTATATAAAAAAATGCACCTTTCAGAAAAAGTGTTGTTTAATAAGATATCGTTTCAAGCTCTTCAATTAAATAATTACATAGTAAGTAGATAGTTTAGAATAACAATAAGGATCTGTTCAATAAAAGATAAAAATGTAAGTTTTAATGAGAAGTTGCATTGAAATTAACACCTTGTAACTTTAAACAGCAGGAAACAATTACAAATTTTAATATTATAGCTAAGGTTGAGTGTGTAGTTTACTAGTACTTACCCTGGAAGTATAATAAAGATGTATTATCGGATTTGAAGAAGGATCAATAAACTTGTGACTAGTTTTACCTTGCATCATTGACCTAGAAAAAAAGTAAAAACTCAATAAAACAAAATATTTATAACAAATAATCAATGTAACATATATCTATGAATACTTTTAGGGATTCAAAAATTTCATAAACTTATTATTGATAGGAAATAGCAGTATACTTAGTTTCTTCTATTTTCGAATCTTTCATTAAATGTAATATCAGTTTACTTAGTTCATGCTTACTTTAATTATATCCTTGAGAATAGAAATTATGCAACAAAAAGAAGAAAAATAAATTCATAATAAAAGTTAACATCCAGTTTGAAAAAATTTAAAGAAATTTTTACATAAATATATATGGATGATTTAAGGTGTTGATCTTTTTTCATTTGCTTAAATTGTTATATTTTTGCTTAATGCAATTTTAATTTAGATTGTGCAAAATTTTCAAAGCGATTTCGTAAAACATAAGTGAAAAATTAAACAAAAACCTTCCTAAGCAGCTTAGAAAAAGCTGCCATTATTTAAGAGTATGATGGGTGGTAAAAATATTTTTAAAACACATAATATTAAAACAAGAATTATTACCCATGCAGATGAATCCAGTGCCCAGCTATATCAATAGCCATACTTAATTGAAAAAGAATCATCCATTTGGGATAAAAGCATGAAAGAACTACAAGTAAACACATTGTAGCACAACGGTCCGTAAGTTGATCCAACATCGCTCCAAACTTTGTACCTGTAACAAAAAATCATATTCAATTATAGTTTGAAGATGTAATATGATGACAATCGGTAAAAATAGCTCTTTATAAATAAAAGATATAATACCTTGATTCAACCATCTTGCAGCATAGCCATCAATAGCATCCAGAAATCCACTTAATAAATAGCAGAATGTTGCCTTTAAGTAATTAGTAGGCATATAATAGAAGGAGATGATTGCCAGTAGAATTCTGGCATAGCCTAAAATTAAGGTAACATTATTTGTATTTGCATGAAAAAAATCCTGAAAAAATAAATAAATAAACACAATTGGCTAAAAGCAGAAAGAAATCATTATAGGAATAAAGAAAAACATTTTCATTTTCTTAAATATGCAAGGTGAATGAGTCTCAAACAATTGGAGAATACAGTCAAAAATTTGTGACTGGTACCTAAATTTTTACTTTGTGGTTGATTGATATTTCTTCATGACGTTAAAAAAAAATCTCTGATATCTAGAAATTTCAATGATAAATTACTTAACTTAAATTCCAATATACAAATTTTTTCACAGGTTACAGTGATCTGGAAAAACTGTCCTTCCCCTTTAGCAGGGTGTCTGTTTAAAAGAAATTTGGGTCCGTTAATGGACCCTTCACAAAATATCTTTTCATAAAAACGGACCCTTCACAAAATATTTTAACTTAAAAACGGATCCTTCACAAAATAATTTATCTTTTAATCGGACCCTTCACAAATTTGTTTATTTTCATTATTGTTTTGTTAATCAAAAAAAACCTTCCCAGGAAGGGTGAAAGACAGATGTAAACGAACTAAATTTTGTCTTCAGCAGACGCTTCTTCCTTTATTCGTCCGAAAATGAATATTCTGCGTTCAGCAGTATAGGCTAAATATTAAATATTTGTATGTTGCATCTCTAATTTAGAAGTAGCAATTGTTGTTTATTTTTTAAAATTTAATTTTTTTAATTATAATTTTACAGTGTTGAGCATAATCTTATATGTCTGTACGATTTAAAAACTCCTTGAAAAAGTTTTTTTGCAATAACGGACCATATTTGCACAAATTCACAAAAGCAGGACACTGGTTGAACGAATGTGATTTAACATTTATTTTATATTCACAAATCACGAGTGATTTTGTCACAATTGTACAAAAATGGTTTTTTCACAAAATGTCTGGACAGACCCCTGCCTTTAGATCTATCTCTAAATTCTGGAAGTAACCCTATGATTGAATAGTTCTGCCATTTATCTGGGGCTTCTGAGCTAGATCACATTTTTATCCTTGAGGTGCTTTCTGGTCTTAATTCACAAAGCTATTACATGGCAAGCTAGGCTTGCAGAAGCGTCGTTATAAGCAGCAAATGAGGAAAGAAGAATGCTAAGTTAACAATTATCTAATTTCTTTTTATACGCTAAACTTCTCCTATTATATTGACTTATTTATTTTTGGAAGTTTTATCAGAAGTTCATAGAACATGTGCAGTGGTTAGCGTGCCTGACTGCGGAGCTAATGGCTGCGGGTTCAAATCCCAGTCAGGGCTCGGATGTCTCTCTCTCTGTGTTTTCCTCTGATATGTGAATGTAGCCGACCCTATAAACGGGTTCTTGTGGCAGTGTGGTATGAGTAATGCTGCTCACCTACGTGACTCTGGCCACAGGATACTCATCAGGCAAAGCAAAATGAGCAACACTTTTCATGGCGAAGAACGATAAGTTCAGTGCCTGCCATTAAAAAAAATTTAAAAAAAGAACATGAGCACTAAATAACAATGCTAGCTGTATAATAATGCTATTGCTCTTTAACATTCTGAATTTACAAGTGAGAGAACTTTATGAATTAAGAGTTCCAAACTTTTTTTCGCTAAATCAAAAAATATTTAAGAACCAAGAAATTAACTTAATAAGTTAATTAAGAATTAAATTATTGTGGTGCAAAGAAAATAACACAGTAGTGTTCATTCTATTTATACAGACTTATACAGATAAAAAAAATATAACAGCATCAGATATAGAGATTTGCCATAGATAATTGTGGGAATAATATTAAAAGATATTGTTTTTCTTACTTTCATTTCAAACTTAATGTACTGTTTTAAAATCATGCGATTTTTAAAACTCTGATCCATTTTAGTCATATTTTTAATTAGTTTGAATATTTTAAATATGTAACTGTAACAATGTGGCAGAGAAATACAGTATACTAAGATTTATACTCAAAAACATCATGGACACACATATAAATTAAGATTATATCAAGCCAGGAAAAAAAATAAGAACTGCTTTCAAAAATAGACAGTAAAATTATTGTTTAAAAACGAAAACTTATATTACAATTTTAGAATAAATCTTGCAATTGATATTTGAAATAAAATTTATAAAGGTTTGTGCTGCTAATCTTTCAATTGGTATTGACCAAATCAAATGCACGTACCGATTAAGTTCGGAACAAAGAGAAATATATTTTCCGACATTTAATCTGAAAATTGACCTTAATTAATTTAACAATAAATCCCTTTAAATCCGCTTCGCTCAATCGAAAGCAACGAAAGCAGAAGTAAACAACAACAAATTTAAAAAGTGAAAGTTGAAGTGAAAAAAATTATTTTTAAATTAAATTTCATTTGATTGTTAATTACTGAGAATTTTGAATGTTTTTCTTCCATTTTACAGCCGTCACCATTGATTGTTACATTATCGCATATTAAATAGCAAAAATCTATGGCAAAAGGTCAGATATCTCTTTTTCGATTTATTGCGTAATAAATATTGGGACATTTGCTACGTGACTGTGGCAGCCTTCCCACTCCCTTTCCCTTTCTCCTTTTTCAAGTTTCAGTATCGAAACATGTAGTTGTTTATATGGTTTGTGAATTATTTCAAGGATTTCGTAAGTTTATTTAATAATTATAAAACTGACAGTCATAATTTAATAGTTAGTAACCAATTTTTACCCCAATGAAGGAGTAATTTGCTCAAATACTTTTATATAGTTATTGTTTGTTACTGATAAGTGCCAGGCTCGCTATGGTACAGACGAAAATGGGACAGAAAGTGTCATAGTTCACCCCTCTCGTTGTAGTTTAAAGTTTCAACTTGTAACTCTAATGATGTAAAATTAATATAGGTTTATTCTTACGATTTAGATGCGTAATGTGGGAACTTTATAAATTGTTCTTAATTATCAAATTTTATATCTGTGCTGTACAAACTGAAAAAATGTCATAATCTACCTTTTATCTCTTGAAGTTCATTAAACTTCTACAAGTGTTTTGCATTTTAATGTGATGAATATTTAAAAGTGAACTTATTTATTTGTATGTATACATTCCAATATCTAGAATTGAAGTTTAATTTCTCTTTGTTTTAACTTCATTCTTTTCTTTTAACACTGACATGCTTAAATTACGCAAATCTATTACAAAAAGTTAGATATTCATAAGTGTTATGATTTATTTAAAATATGAAGTTGTATTAATGCTCACTTTTTCTATTTTTATAAATATTTCTTTGTTTTCATTTTAAATTATTAATCTTAAAAAAATTATGCTAATTTTTAATTATACAGGTACAATTCTTAGATTCATGAATATTACAGCACTTTTTCATATTAAACTTCTTATATTTGTTTAGCTGCTATAGTCATTTTATTAGTAAGCATTAGAAACTAGTAGAGAAAAGACAAAATTATTAATTTAAAAGCTGAACAAGAAAAAAAGCAAAAAAAGAAAATTGCACTATTTCGGGAAAATATTTCCTTATTGGTATCTTTTGATGCCAATTAAAATCAACAAAGCTGCTAAGAGTTTTGTACTTGTAAGAAACTAAAAAAAATTGTTGAAGCTTGTAACAAGGTGGTTATGAGTTATACCATTTGAATTTGTTCTATATTGCACTTTTATTTAGTTTCTTGTGTGCTACTGCCTGGTTGTCACTAGAAATTAGACTATTTTAGTGCAGATTCTGATATTTAAATCTTTATTTTCTAATAAAATCCTATTTATGGATTATTGTAGGTATCAAATCGAAAAACTTGATGTTAATGTAATAAGTACCTATTAATTTAAGATTTCATTCTTGCATATGTTTATAAATTATTTAATAACTATTTTGCAAGTAAGTATTTAATCTTGATTTAATTAAAATGACTTATTGACAAACTTTATTATGATATTAGTAATTAGTTCCTGGTGTAATGTTTAAAAAAAATATAAGCAATTGTTCAAAATTTATTTCTAATTTTTTTGAATTTTTTTTTAAATTTCAATTTGTTCCATTTTTTATATTCTGGATAAAATTTATGTTCAAAATAATGTATTTTACAAAAAAATTTGTTTTAGAAGATAATTAAAATTAAAAAAAATTTCCATTATTTTTTATTAAAAAGATTTTGAGTATAATATTAAGACAATGTTTGTCTACATATCTCCACTCTCCTTCTAAATTCTTCCCCTTTATTTGAATTTTCTAAATATTTATCATTTTAAGAATATCTGCTTTCATAGTTAGTTAAATTCCAATTTGTTTTATGAATTTAAAAAATTTATGTACAAAAAAATAATAATACTAATCAGAGTTAGAATATAAAGTTCACACTTATGGCCAAGAGATTTTCCAACTTGTTATCTTTATTCACAAAGGGGGATGGTATATAAATAATAATTTAATTAAAAAGTAATTTTCCTTTAACAGAAAAAAACCTGATAAATTCAAATAATGATTAAATTTGAAGAAGAAAAACTTGAAAACTTAAGGGATATCTATTTTATTTACTTTTCCCGGCCAGTGATGAGATTTAAAATTGCAAAAAAATATGTTCAACAAGATATCTGACGTTCCCCTAAAGGAAGTTTAAACTTTACAACTAATGGGGAAAGAAGAAGAAAAAATTCTGAGATTTTTGAAATTGGTTCATGTATGTATGTTACCTTGAGATGTTATACTTTGTATCTGAGTAGCACAGTAAAGTATTATAAAAGAAATATCAATATTTTATTTAAAATTAAATAGTTTGAAAGTAGCTAAATGAATTAATTTGTCATTCTAATGGGCATGTTTTGTTGTAAAACTTATTAAATGATTTGAAAAATTAAATTTTTAGTTAAATTTATTTTTTTAGTCTAGATTTATTTAATATTTAAAAAAATACTTGCATAAGTACTATAATTAGTTTATTTTTGAAAAATTTAAAATAAAAATTAACTTTGTATTTAAAAAAAAACTTTTATAATTTAAATTAAATCTATGAAATTTTAATAAAATAACCACCAGAATTCTTCATTGTTACTGATCTGAAAATCTATTTTCTTCTATTAAAGGTACTATTGACATTCTCCTGTCTAGCAGCTTATCTTTGAAGGGGGTTATATATAGATTTCCTGGAAGTCTGTCTCTACTAGAAAAATATTCACTCATCTTTAAAGAGATATGTCTTAAGTGTTTGTAAAGTACTTAAAAATGAAGATGTTAACTAAGCTAGGAATTGAAGGAATGACTTGTCATTCTTGTGTCAATTCCATTGAAGAAAAGATAGGAGAAGTTAATGGAGTTATCAAAATCAAAGTAAGTGATTATTTTTAATTTTGGTGTCTTGCCAACATATTCTTATATTTAGCTTTGTTAAGTGTCAACATAGTTGCTTAATATTTTTGTACTTTTTTGTTAATATTTTTTTTAACTTTAAATTTGATTTTAAGTTTATATTACATTTTGCAAGTTATAATATTTTTTTTCTTTTTTATAATAAAAAAAATTTTAAAAAAATTATTTTTCTATCAAAATTTTTAAAACTACTTTTAACTTGTTAACAAATTACTGAAAAACCGTATATCACAAAACTGTATATTTTTAATGGTTCTGAATAAAGAATTAAATATTAGTTATCTGTTTCATAAATTACAATACATGTCATATTAACTTATTTGTAAATAATTATTTAAAAAAAATATAAAAGTATTTCTTTTGGTTTCTATTATATTCCATGAAAAGATCAAAATTAAAGATAGAAATCTAAGTTATGTTTAACGTAAAAAAATAATGTCTATAAAAAATATAAAAATAGCAAGGAACTGAATTATTTTAATTGCACCAAAGCAATAAGTAATTAAGACTTAAGTCTTATAGCTCATATATTTTACTTTAGTTAATACTTAAATTTATAAGATTGTTAGTTTTTCCCTGGATAAGCTTCTTAGAGAAAAACAGGTTTCTCTGTGATTTCAATCTTTTGCATTCTTATGTTCAGTTCTCTTCAACATGTGGTACTTAAAGAAATATAGATACGTAAGTTAAAAATTTAATGTTTTAAAAATCTTATTGTAAAATAAAAATTTAATCATGAATTTGAGTCTTTAAATACTACAAAATGTATGTAAATAACTGCTAGTCTTTACTTTTATTATGCATTGCTTTTCTAAACTCTGAAGGTCAGCAATATTAGATGACCTAGTTTACAGTACAGTTATGTTTTGATTTTTAAAGTTTTGGGTAATTAGATTAAAAAACCTGACTATAATTGTTTATTATCTGTGTATGATTCACATTTGTTTCATAAAAATAAAAAAAATATTTAGCATTAAAGTGGTAATTTTATTATAGTGGATAAATAAAAAATTTATAATGGTGTATATATAATTCACATAAACAAATTGATATTGATTTTTCAAATTTTGCTTCTATCACTTATTAAATTAAAACTGACTATAAAATTTATGTAAATTTTTTTTTTTTTTTTTTTTTTTTTTTTTTTTAAAACTATGATTTCATATAAATGATTTAGTGATAATCCTATACATATTCAGTAAGTTTTTTTTTCTCAGAAAATAACTTTTTAATAAATATTTGTAGTTTTTTGTAATATGAGAGTGTAACAAATAAAAATAAAGTTATTTGATAATTTTAAGAAATAAATACATTTTCTTGACAATTTCTCTATTTTCAAAATTTTGGGATTACCCTAATTTTCCAATTTTTTAAATGTATATTTTGTTTACTCTGTCTCTCTGGTAGAGTAAAAGGCAAATAACTAGATTGTCCTATTGAAAATAACTCTAACTTTTAATACCAGCTATGTCTTTTAGAGATATTTTCCATATTGTGATCTGCCATGTCAACTGGAATCCCCAATGCAACAACTTGATTTAAACAGGAAAAATTTTTATGAAAAAATATGTAGAGGTTTGCCTGTGGTTGGGTACAAATTCGAGTTGGTCCCTTTCTACAATTTTTTTTCTTCATTTATCAGGGGCCTATACCCGGAAAGGTCCAAGACTTGGCGATTATTCTGCCACAGGTTACGAAATGAGAATCTCTCCTGTCTTTTATTAAAAAAATAAATAAAATTAAAGTTATACATATATTCATTCAGTTGCCTCTAATCTCGTTTTACTTATACTTACAATAAATTCACCAATTAGTATTAGTAAATAAATTTGAAAACAAATTTTTAATTGTATTACTTGGCAAATGCTCTAAGAAATACTATTGTAACAATTAGTAGTTATTGTAACAACATGGAGGAAAGAGTTTCTATGATCTTCTGCAACCAAGTCTTCTTATATCTAATTTCTGTTATTACTAATTTTTTAGTTGCTGGTTGGCTAAAGGATTAAAATGTTTTGTTTTTTTTTTTGTCCTTTTATGTATAAATATTTTAAATTAGTTTTCTAACTATATTTAAAACTGGTGTTTTTATTTTCGGAAAATTTAACAATTTTTGTCAGAAGTTTTTTTTTGTCTGTACAAATGTGATATATCTTTAAAATATGCATCTCATCTAGTTTTAAATCTTACTACATGTACTTCCATATATTCTTAGGCTTATTTCTTTCTTTTTTTAAAAAATTAAAACTTAACCTTATTGATTATATATGTATTTTTGATATTTAATTACTTTCCATTTATATAAGATTCATTTAAATTTATATTCAATGTTTTCTGATATAATTTGACTTTTATATAACAGTCTTATTTGAATAATAGTCAACACGAATGCCTCACTTTCATGTTTATACAAGTACGTAATGTTTATTTATTTATGTTTATCTTATTTTGCAACTCACACGCCTCAAACTTCTGCTCAAACAGAGGGCATCAAAAATCAAATAAGATAAGGGAAATAAAACACTCATTAGACTTAAAGCTTTATCTCAAAACAAAACAAAGGTGGAGCTGTCCTGCTATAAAATTCGAAGAATTTTTAGTTTTCCCAAACTCTTATTTATTATTTTGATTTGCGAAATACCTCATTGGTAAAAAATATTTATTTAACTACACAGATTCTCTAAAAATTATTTTGAAATAAAATGAGTGTCTATAAGAAAAAATTATTTTATTAAAACATATTGTGTTATTTATTAGGTATCTTTGGAACAGAAATGTGCAGAAATTGAATATGACAGTGATCTCATATCAAACAAAGAGCTTGTTGAAAAAATTGAAGACATGGGTTTTGATGTTACTCTTAATCAACCAAACTTGATCAGAACATCAGTTTCTGTAAAAGGCATGACATGTAACACGTGTGTTCGTAAGATTGAGTCCAACCTTCTCAGTTACGATGCTGTACAAAGTATAAAGGTTTCCCTTGAAGATCGACGTGCGAAAGTTGTGATGGATTCAAATAAAATGTCACTTACAGAATTATGCAGTACTATTTCCCACTTAGGCTTTGTTGTTGAGCAAATTAAACCTCAATCTAGATCAGAATCTTCTGCCAAAATTAGTGTTAAAGGAATGACTTGTAATTCCTGTGTAAAAAGTATTGAAGATTTCGTAAGTCAAAAACCTGGTGTTCATAGAATTTCTGTGTCTTTGCAAAATGAACTTGCATCAATTTTGTATGATTCTTCAGTGATTATGTCAAATGAGCTTCGTGATATTATCGATGACATGGGCTTTGAAGCCAGTATAGTAGAGGTGATAGAGTCTAATAACGAGCCAAGACTTTTAACGCTTAGTATTGAAACACTGAGTTCCACAAATTGGTCAGCAGAAGATGAGGATCAACTTTTCAATATGAATGGCGTGATATCTGTTAGTTCAACGTCTGATCCTGTTGTTTTGTCTGTTGTCTACATTCCAAATGTAATATCTGTTAATGACATTATGAATAATATTCAATCAATAGGATTTATATGCAAAGAAATTATCGAAAAAAATGTTGATAAAACTGATTCTGTGTCAGATACAGCTTCACAAATTATTATGAATGGTATTGATGAAACAAGTAAGTTTGTACTTTTATTAATATTATTTATAAATTAATATTTCTATTTCAAGAAATAAAATTAACTAAATCATTTGAAACTACTTGTTAAGTAGCTATATATTTATTTAGTGAAAATAATAGCTTTAAATAAAGGTTCTTTGATTTTACTAAATGTTACATTAAAAATTTCACTATTCTTATCATGAATAACTATTTATCATGTTAGAAATAAAATTTAGAGAAGTATTTAGTAAAATGAATTAAAATATTTATTTAAGTTTATTACAGCAAAATTTATATCATGTATGTATGGTTTAAACAGTTATTCCCAAAACAAATTTATTTAATTTTCCCTAACAATGTTTCTCAATAAAAGCTGTTAAATTATTAAAAACTTGTTTTTTAGTTTTGGTTTAAAAATATTCAACAATCATTTCAATTAAAAATATATTAAAATATTTTTATTAAATGATTATTAAAATTTATTTTCAATTGTCCGCGCCCTACAATTTGAAATTCTGTGCTTTTGCTTTTATTTCTGAGGGACAGGGATAGCTTGGCTCGTGGCCCATGTGCGAGAAGTCATGAGTTTGATCACTGTCAGCTGAAGACTTCCCATGTACAAAATGGTGACTGGTGCACATTAAATCTGTCAGGGTCACAAAGTTCTTATAACAAATCGGTACCTCGAGGGGTACTGGATCTGAAATCGATTGTGCTGTTGTTCAGGTCAAAATTACATTCTGCGAATGGATAGATCGATGGTGTATATGAATGTATCCTCCCTGTAAAATGTGATGTGTGTATGTTGTCTGTGCGTTATCCTCAGGGATGTTTCACGAACGGATGCCGATAACTCATTATGCAGCTCCAGTGCGACATAAATAAAAAGTACATAAGTACCTGTATATTTGTATTTTTTAAATGTGTTAAAATTCATAGTTTTTTCTTGGTACCAAATCTAGTTTGTTTTTTTTCTTTGTAACTACTTCATTGAATGCCGAAAAGTTTGTTCACTATTTTTTTTTTTAATGCTCTTATTTATTTTATTTTTTTATTCTTACTAGCGGCTTAATCAATCATATAAGAAAAATAAATTATTTAAAATTTACAGCTATAGGCAGCTAAAGTATATAATCTTTATTACCGCCAATCAGAAATAGTTATTCAATAAAAATATTAGAATAATTTTCTAACATTTTTAAGAATGTTCTTCATAAAATTTGAGCTTCTGTCTTTATTGCTGAGCAAGTTTTCATGTTTAGGAAAATCAAAGCATAATTTTAAATGTATATTCATTTTTATTTGGAAAAATGCTTATTTCAACTCCAAAATGTATGCTCCTCCCATATGAGGGAAGTGTACATTCTCTAAAATTTAAAGTAAAAGCAAATAATGTTAAAGTTCTATATAATTATTCTCATTATATTCTCGATTTTTTTTTCTTTATATCTAATTACAGTATCTTTATCATACATACAACTGATTATACAAATTTTTGTGTTATAAATAAAATTTTTGCTATTTCAGAACAAAAATCTCCTAAAAAAATTCAGATCTTCTCAGATGATGATGAAGATTTAGAGAAATGCTTCATAAGGGTAGGTGGTATGACCTGTGCTTCTTGTGTTGCTGCTATTGAAAGAAATATCTCAAAAATTGATGGTAAGAATACTTTTATTTTGCCCTATTTTATTGTGTTTTGCTAGTGCAATCATTTTTATAATTTTTAAAATAAGCTTAAATATGTTTTATATACAAATGAAGCATTGTAGAACTTTTTCATGTGGTAATAGTTTCTGATGGGATTAATATTTCTATTGCATATATTGACTGCTGTATCTTTAATGACACAACTTAAAATGAAATGTATTTACAAATAAGTGAAAAATCTTAGCAAAGTAGCTATATTTAACTGATATTGTATGATATTATAACATTTCAAAAATTTTATAAATGTTACTTTACTGTAATCTCTGATAATATTTTCAAATTGGAATATTTGAATAAAGATTTTAAAATTAATTGCAAATTTTAATGTAATATAAGTATTTTATCTAACAGTTAAGAAATTCTCAACGATTATTTAATTTACGAAGAAATCTAATTTAAGTTATAAGTTTTCAATTTTCTATTAAGCTTAAAAAACGTAAAGTTTAAGTTGAAAATTTTTTACAGCTCTTATTGCAAGCAATTAAAACAATTTCATAAGAAAACTAATAGAAGTATATCTAATATTTGTATTCTATTTCGTGTAAGCCAAAGTCCATCAAGGTTCAATTATCTTAAGAATACCTAATAAGTCTTTAGTACATTCTATTTTCTTTCACAAAGATTTCAATTCTTTCATTAAACATTTCTTAATTAACACAAAGACAGGCACAAAGTCATAGAGAACATAAACTTATTATGCATCAAAATTGCCAGGTACACAAAATAAAAATATATCACTGTTACAGTAAAATACACAAACAAATAATAAATCTAAGTTAGGTAAAAGACGATGAGAAAGAATTATATTTCAACAAATTTGATTTTCGATATGGCTATGCATTTAGTAAATTCCACGCCACTTAACATTCTAACTTATGTGTAGAAACTTAGTTCAACTTTAACACTTCCTTTTGCTTAGAAACGATCAGCTGGCGTTGACATTATAGGTCAGATGTATAGGTATCTGTGATCTTCTTGTAGTGCAAGTATACAATTATAAGAAATAATTTTAAAAAAACTAAAGTATATTTTTAAAATATACTGAAGGTTTTATTTTGATTTTATAATTGTTTATATGTATTTCATAATATTAATAGGGGTTCATCGAGTATTGGTTGCGTTAATGGCCCAGAAAGCTGAGATTAAATATGATCCTGCCTACATTCTGCCCTCCCAGTTGGCTGCTGCAATTTCGGATCTGGGCTACCCCAGTACAGTCTTGGATGATGTATCAACTGAACATGGAGAAGTGCATTTGCATGTAAGTATATCTTGTTTTGTGGCTATATATTCTTTTATTATAAATTTTTTTATGTAATATTGTATTTATGTAATGTATCTTATTATATTGTTACTTAAAATGTAAAATGTAGTTTTGAAATATGCGTGTTTTTTGAGTATATAATTTTTTTTTAAAAATAATAATAAACTTTTCAGATGCAATTTAATTATATACATCAAGAAAAAATTTTTTTTTTAACTTTGTGTAAATAATATTTTAACTATGCCTTGGGTATATTTCCTCTATAGATTGGTAAGATGACTTGTTCTTCATGCGTTCACAAAATAGAGACTACAGTTTTAAAATGCCCTGGAGTATTATCGGCATCTGTAGCATTAGCAACTCAACAAGGCTATTTCAAGTTTGATGCTGAAGTTACAGGACCTAGGAACATTATAGATACTATAAAGGTTTCATTATTTTTCTTTCATATTTTGTTTTCTAAGAAATTCATTACTTAATAAGCAGCTGAAAGTTAAAGGCCAAAAAATTAATTAGGCGATTCTATGTCATTTTTTGTATGATGCAAGTTTAAAATGGATTTTAAACATGTTTACAGAAAGAAACCTCAAATTTTGAACATTTGACTCTAATGATTTTCAAATTTTGTATTTTCATAAATTAAAGTTTTTTTTAACCCTTCAAGTGCTTAGTCCCTTGGCAAAATTATAATGGAATTTAACTGCTGCACTATACTGTTCCAGTTAGTAACATGGGGAAAATCAGTTATTGATGCAGCAAAACCTAAGGATGAAATTATTAGAAAATGCCGTGTCCATAGAGTGTTAATTTATTAAGTTCAAAATTTGCTTATGTTAGCATTTCTGTGAACATATGTTTTTTAATCTTTCAATTTGAAAAATTTCCAAGTTTTCTTCATAGAGTTTTATTTATAGTTAATAAATCTGGTTCGCTCAACTAATAAATGATGAAATGAAGTTCGATTTAGCATCTATATTCAGTTCCCTAACCAAGGTATCAATGATTTAAATCAAATTTTTTAAATCAATGCTGATTTTCTGATAATTCAACTAAATGTTAAAATACTATGATTTTTCTAACATTTATCCAGAACGAATTAGGGTAATTTATTTCTGCTTTAGAGCTTCTTTATATATTTAAATAGATTTTAAGAGAATTAATGGTCAAGTTTTTCCACAAAATAAAGTTGTTTTGAAAACATTTACTAAACAAACAAAAATTCTACTATGAAGTAGATGCATATTCTTTTCACCATGAAATCACTTTTAACAATTTTAAAATTGCCTCATTATTTTCTCTTAGTTCTGTTGTAAACAAAATTATTTAAAATGCTTGAACATCTTTATTGTCTTGAACATTTTTTAAAATTAAAGATCTAGTTAATTTATGAAGTAATGAGCTAATTTTTTAGCATGTCTATTAATGAGACTTGTTTTCTTTAGACTGTTATTGTTATTATGAAAAGATAATTTTATTATACCATTTACATATTACCTTACTTGGTTAAACTTGGTGACCCAAGATGATGTCATGATGGACTTTTTCCTTTTATATAGATTGTTCTATGTATTTAGTTTACTCATTTCCAAATCTAATTGATTCATGTTTTAAAATTTTTTGCTATAACACAATCTGGAAGATAAAATTTTTCATTGGCGAAGAATAAATCAATTTAGTAATTTTTGTTTCAAACAAATAGTGATCCTAAATTTACATGTTTTAGAAAGAATTAGTACTTCATATTTTTTTTTAAGTGTTCTAAATTTTGTGTTTGCAGGCTCTTGGTTTTGATGCATATCCCTTGACAGACCATACTAGAGATTCTAGTTACTTTATGCAGAAAGAAGAGATAAGAAAGTAATAAACCAATAAGTTTCTTTATTTTTTGCAAAACTTAATTTAGCTGAAATTTAAAGATAAATAAAATTGTCATTACTACATTAATAAAAATCTATTTGATTTAAAGCTTTTCTTGCTGGTAAATTCATTTTCTAAGAGTATTATATTAAAAATAGATTCTACCTTCTCCAGGTGGCGTAATTCTTTCTACCTATCATTAGCATTTGGTCTTCCATCAATGGTTGTTATGATGTATTATATGGGATTAATGATGGCTGGTAAACCAATGCACCATGTCATTCCTGGCCTTTCATCTGAAAATTTGTACCTGTTTCTATTAGCTACACCAGTTCAGGTACTTATTTGTAACTTTATTTTATTCTCTAGATTCATTTATATTTTTTTTCAATTGAAAAATATTGAAATACTTTTTTTAAAATTTGATTTATGCTATAAAATCTTTACATTGGTTTTTAGCTACAGTATAAACTGTTAACCAATCAAGCCTTTCACATTTGGGCATATTTATTAAACAACAAATAGGAAAATTGGTTTTTAGTTAGAAAAACAATAGAAAGACATCTTAAGCATTTAATTCAACCTATATTATAAAAGAAAATAAAGGAATTGCAGCCTGATTAACTATCTAACTTCTGTAGTGACCACTAAAATAAATTACTTTTATACTAACATCAATTATTAGATTATATTTTTTTAATATTAAATGTCACTTTTAATTATCTGTTAAATATATATTTCTCAAAATTCTCTATTAAAATTTTAAGGAATAGGAAGTAATACTTAGTTTTCTATTGTTGAAAGAAATATACATAGCAGTAAATCAGCATTATAACTGCAAAAATGCAGTTGTACTTTAATGTTAGTATGTTACATTACTCTATATTTCTATTAATTCATTATTCCTGCTAAATATTTACTAGGATATTTGTTGTTGATATAGTTATGACTGTTTATTAATAATAAAGATCTATACTGTTACTGTATATTCTCCTGTTTCTTCTACATTATACTACAATATTATGAATATACTCTATAAAATGTCAAAGTATGCTATGTTATAAAATCAATAAAATAAAAACATTTTTACTCTTAAAAACTCATTTCTTCTTAAGAACAAAAAAATATAAATAAATTGCACTTGATATATTTTGTTTTTGAGGGAATGTTATTTCTATGATATTGATTCTATAGTAAAATAATTATTTATTTATTTCAGTTTTATGGTGGGAGATATTTTTATGTACAAGCCTACAAAGCGTTGAAGCATCGTACTGCAAACATGGATGTTTTGATCATGTTAGCTACTACTGTTGCATACTTCTACAGTGTTGCTGCTCTGTTGTATTTCATTATTGTCCAAGCTGATCATAGCCCTAAAACGTTCTTTGAAACTCCTCCTATGCTTCTGATTTTTATATCTTTAGGAAGATGGTTAGAGCATATTGCAAAGGTAATGTTATATTAATGCTTGGCATTATAATTGACTCTCAATTTTTATTCTATTATAACATCTGTATCTTCTATAAAATCGTTAAAATTTGATGACAAAAATGACGAAAAATGTAAATTTTACTGCTTAAAGTTCGTTTGAACAATAAAAGTAAGGTAGTGTTTCTGAAAAATTGATGTAAATTTTAATACAATTTTTACTTAAGTTTATAAGTTAAATTTTATATATCAAATAATATTGTAGAGAAAAATATAATTATTGAATGAGTTAGTTTTAGTCAAACTCATTTTAAAAAAATCTGGAGAAAAAAAACCTTAATTTTTGGGAAAAAATTCCAGAAATGTTATTTTAAATTAAGTTACTATACTTAATTTATACTTAGTATCTTCCAAAAAATAGTTAAAATTTGATGGCAAAAAATGTAAATTTTTACTGTTTAAGGTTCATTTAAACAGCAAAAGTATAGTGTTGTTTCTGAAACATTAATGTAAATTTAAATATAATTTTTACTTAAGTTTAAAAGTTAAATTTTATATATCAAATAGTAATAAAGAGAAAAATATAATTATTGAATGAGTTAGTTTTAGTCACTCATTTAAAAAAATCTGGAGAAAAACTTTAATTTTTTGAAAATAAGTACAGGAATATTTTTATTTCTGTTATTTTAAATTTTACAATACTTACGAAAGTACAGAAAAAAAATTTTTATGCATATTATTGAATTACAAATTGTTTATATTACAGGGTAAAACTTCAGAGGCCTTGGCTAAACTCTTGTCTTTACAAGCAACAGAGGCTACACTAGTTGAAATTGATGATGATGGACAAATATTAAACGAAAAACAAATTGATGTTGAGCTTGTTCAAAGAGGAGATGTTTTAAAAGTATAAAATGTTAAATAATAAGTAGTGTGTTCTTAAAATTTATAGCCTGTTTTGAATGTGAATTTTTTATTTAATCAGCCAATGTATGAAATTGTTATACAAATCATATAGTTACAATTGCTATTCAGAGCTGCATGTATTCATAACTTTTCAACAAATTTGAACTGCCACATAATTAAATTATGTGAAAGACATTAAAAGAAAAAATATTTTCAACTTTAAAGCAGATTTCAAATTTTCTTAGCTTCCTGATTAATCACTTGTTAACCATAACCCACTTCAGAATGGTAATTGTGTGTATTCTTCACTTGTTTTTCACGATAAAGCATTCAATTATTATAGAGGAAAATTTATTGCCAAGATTTTATGAGTTGAAAGATTTAGCGGTTATTAGTAAAGAAATTTGGAATTATACAAATCAGAAGCCAAATTTTTATACATGCTTCTTGGTATTATGTGTAATTTCTTTTTACTTAGTATTGGGATGAATTGCAACTTGTTTCACACAGACTAAATTTGGCTGCTAGGAATTTATTTTTTAAAATTATACTGTTGCTAGAAATATTTTCTTTATTATTATACGAAGCAATATTTCTGCAATTAAGTGAAATTTTTTGAATTTTTTTTACACTTTTAAAAGTGATTAATAAATTTTACAAATTTAGTGTCAAAATAAAAATGAAATGTCAATAAGAAAGGTGATAAAATGACAATCTATGTGTCTACATTATGGTTATAATTATCTATTAAAATTTATTTTTATTTTCAGCTAATATTTTATTTATTTTAATGTAGGTGGTACCAGGGGCTAAAATACCTGTTGATGGTAGAGTTGCTTTTGGGAATTCCATGGCAGATGAGTCATTAATTACTGGAGAATCTCTTCCTGTTCCAAAAAAGCCAAATTCTCAAGTGATTGGTGGCTCTGTCAATCAGAATGGTGTGCTTTTGATTGTGGCAACTCACATAGGGAAAGATACTACATTAGCACAGATTGTGAAACTTGTTGAAGAAGCTCAAACATCAAAGGTTATTTTAAAATTTTCTTTATGGCAATATTTATTTGTGGTCATTTTCAAAAAGACATTCTTTTGGAAAGTTTTTTCCCTTATAAGTTTAGTTTTGTATAAGGCTTAAAAAAATAATTAGAAAATATATTTAAGTACAGATATGAGTGATTTGTGTTAGATGTGAATGAGATTTATGATTCATCAAATAATCTAACATCAATAAGTGATAAATCAATAACACATTTAGCTAGAATCTATGCATCAGTATATTGCTGGTAAATGCCCAACTTCACGACTTGAAAAATCACTGAAAAATATGTGACACAATTTTGTATTGCTTTTCGATTATGGTACTATCAGCTTTACGTGGATGCGGATTGGATATATTACTGAAAAACGGCCTATTGTTAGCTATGTTTTCCTGCGTCAATTAAGGATGTGATTACTTATTTGTGAGTGCAAATTGATCGTGGTTGTTATTCTTTTACTTTGTGAATGCTATAAAATGGGAACTAGAATGAGGAAAAGACTACCGGTAGGGCAAAGGAAGAGTAAGATAAGAATAGGCTTAGATTGCAAGAAGCCTTTTCTTTTAATTTTGCTTTTTGTGTTGGAATTTTGAAATTTGATCTGGATCCTATAAGGTGTTAACATGCAAGATATTTACTAATTACTTATATATTTCACTTTCTTTTTTATTTATATTGGACTTAAAATTATAATTTTTCCTCAATTTATTTCGTAATTTTAAATTTCCCAAATTCTTAATAATTTTAACTGTTTAAAATCCCAATTAGTTTGTATATGCAACATTTTATTATTTTTAAGAGGAAAAATACTTTTTAAAATTCAGTTACAGTAAAGCGTTGCTTATCATAATTTACCGGTTTGACCACTTATCCGATGCATTCAAGGACCAAGTGTTTTTCCCACCTTCTTAAAAAAAAGCAAGAAAATTGCTTAAGTGCTTCTTTATTATGAGAATATCTGAAAGGGGTCGAAAAATTACTTTTTTTGTCCCTCTTACTTTAGAAAGAACCTCATGTTCTTTCTGCCCAATTCTGTGTTGGAAATTGGTTTCTAATAAGAAAGCAAGTTTCTTATAAAAAATTTTAAAAATTAAACTTTAAAGCACGCTATTTGTAATATGATATAATAGGCACTACCACAATTGCTAATCCTAAGTCTGGAATAAGTTTGAAGGGAAATTACTTAAAAATATTCTCATCGCAGTTTTCTAAAATTGTCCAATTATCCATATTGGCTTTGGTCCAGAGAATCAGCACTCTACTGTATTTGAATTAAGAAAATTCATTGTTTTTAGAACGAGTTGTTTAATTCAATATTTATATTTTATAAATTTGTATTAGTACATTATCAGTTATGGTATAAGTCAGATTTCATTGGAAATATGAGCTATTGACTAAAATTGCTTAAGGAAATCATATATAATAGGATTAAAAAACAACTGAAAAAGGAAGTATATTGTTTTAATAAGCAGAGGATCATTATCGAATTTAAAATTAAAATATATCAATAGAAAATATTTTAATTTCCTAAATAGGTTTGGGTTTTGTTTAAAATTTTAATTTGTAAAAAATTATTTCTTGTCTAATTACTTATATAAATCATTCTTTACTTCATGCATTACTTATCCACACAGTTAATATGTTTATACATCAATTGATTTTATGTTTTTATACAGTGACTGTTTCCATTTTTGATTTGAAATATTATCTGTCTGTTATTTTGTTCTCTAAGTTAATCATAAGTTTTTCACAAAAAAAAATGCTTGTTAAATTTTTTTATGCTCTTAAATTTTCAAAATTTTTTCTTTAAAATGAAAGTTAAGTAATATTGATTGTTTTATTTTGTGTGATTTATTTCAGGCTCCTATTCAACAGTTAGCTGATAAAATTGCTGGTTACTTTGTTCCTGTAGTAGTTGCTGTCTCTGTTATCACATTAATTGGTTGGGTTGTTGCTGGCTATGTATTAGTTGATGTAGTTAAAATGTATCACATGAAACATGTAAGCAGTATTTGTTCTTTAATCCAAACTTTTTTCATTATTTATTTTTCCCTTTTGAGTTTCTTTATACATTTTTTATTCAATACAAATAGTTGATAAGAAAAAAGAATTGAATTATTTTTTTTTATTGCCATTTCTATGAATTTTTCAATTACATTGTGTTATGTTAGATTTTTTGTCATTTCCTTACTTTTTATGTTAATAAATAAAATTCTCATTTTAATAAGTGAAAAACATTCTTTTAAACTTTTCTTATACGAAAATCTTACTTTTTATTTACATAATAACACTTTAAACTACAGTAGAGCGCCGATTATCCAAACTGCTCGGTACCGAACATGGTTCGGATAATGATAAGTTGGGATAATTGGAAAGTTGTTCAAAATCTAGTTTAAATTATTATTATTTATGCACAAACTTCCTTCTCACTTTTTCCAGGCTTAGGACTGGCAGTACTATCTCCGGCGTGTTTAAAAGTTTTTTTTTTGTTTTTTTTAATTTTTTTTTTTAAACTTTTTTTTTATCATATTTTAGCTTTTTATAATTTTTTTGTCAATTACTGATTTAACCACATTTTTCTTTATTTACCATTGCAAAAGAAATCCAGAAAAGACTTTTGTTTCAAAGAAAATGCTCTTTTTTTTTAGCAGCCATATCCCTTATTCTTTTTAAATAAATCAACTGAACTGGATCAACATCATTTTGACGTTCTAGACTGTCAAAATGAAGTTCGTATTCTTGGAAAATAATTTTCAGTTGACGAGGGCTAAAGAGGTATGTAGGTTTAACTGTATAACAATACATGTATGTCTACTATAAGAAAACAGCTAAAAAAGGTTGTAAATTAACTATGGTCATCAAATGTAGTGGATATTATTTATTCTTCTAAATTTAGAAAAATTGCTGATAAGTTAAAAAGTATTCTAATCATAAAAGAAAAAAAAACGAATTCGGACATAGTTCGGATAATTGGACGTGCGGATAATAAGGGTTCGGATAATTGGAGCTCTACTGTATTTAATTTATTTTCCGAAAATAATTCCTCAATGACATAATGTTTTATAAAATATAAATGTTATTTAGTCTTAAACTAAAAGTTATCATGCATTCATCTATTATTTTATTGAAATCTTGTTTATAACTTTTAAACTTATTACTACAGAAATTTACCTTATCTTATGCAGTGAAAATTTTTATTTAGTGAAGTTGTTTTTTCATTTACTATGCAGGCAACATTTTATTTAATGCATACAATATTTAAATTTTAGTTACATTTGTCACTAACTACCTTTTAGGTTTATTTTGTTCTGTAATGTGTAGAAATACATAATAGTGTGTCATATGTGTTAATATTTATTAAAAAATATTTTTTTTAAAAAATGTATATAAATTTTTTTTTTAAATCACCCAATATTTTTAAAAATATATGTATGTTATATTTAAGAAAGAAGTTTTTTATATCTTAACTAATATTGTTTTACCCTTCATTTTGAGCAATGTAACTAAATTTTTGTGTTCTTAATAAATAATCATGTTTCGTTACTTATTTTGAAATTATTATTTTTATGATATTTTAATGTTTTCTCTAATTTCACTTAAAGAAAGAAGATGCCTCAGATTCAGAAATCATCTTCCAGTTTGCCTTCCAATGTGCACTTACTGTTTTAGCTATTGCATGTCCTTGTTCATTAGGTCTAGCCACACCAACAGCTGTTATGGTCGGAACTGGAGTGGGTGCAATTAATGGTATTTTGATTAAAGGTGCCGAGGCTCTGGAGTTAGCCCATAAAGTAAGCGTAGCTGTTTTTATTTTATCCATTATTATTATGTCATTTCAAAGGGAATTAGTCTTAAAAATCAGTTTTATTTAATTCTTAATTGATGAAGTAATTAATTTTTGCTTGCACATTTTATGTAAGAAGTATGCTACATGGTGCGTAGCGTTTTTGAAAAGTACTTAAAGATGCTTATTTTCGATATTCGTTTTTTAAAAGCCCTTAACCCTTTCGAGCCGACTGTCACATATATGTGCCAGCAAGAAACGCGCTCACATCCCGGCCGACACACCCGCGTGTCAGAGAGTTTTCTCGTTCACCCCCGACCGTCACTTATTTGTGCCAGCGTTTCGGAACGTTTTAAAAAATGAAATTTCTTCCAAAAGATGGCATTGTATGTCCATATGGTTTCAGATACATGTAGATTTGACCTTCCACTCAAGATGAAAGTACATTCACGTGGTTTTTAGGGGAAGGAGTGGAGGGGGGGAATGTTTTATGNAATCATGATAATTAAAAATATGTTTCACAAGTTTTCTGAAAATATAATTTGGGATATAAAGTGCTATTACGCAATTCCACTTTTAATATATAAGAGTTTATACTATTCAATATATGATAGTTATGACTTAGTAGCATATTATTACTAATTGAAACTGCAATGTTAAAAATTTTGTTGGAGTGGGAAACGGCGGGTCAGGAATTTTATTGTAAAAGGTCAGGAAAAACCTGCAAAAGTCAGGATATTGTTTTCTTAAAATAGTGTAGGAACCCTGTTTAAGTCATATTTAGTTTTCAGATTTGTAATGTTAAATGTTTTAAAATAACAAGTACATAATGAAAATAAAATGTGTAAAATATACATTTAAACAAGAAATAACTTAAGTAAATAAAGTATCCATAGAAATATATATAAAGCATATGTCACTTAAATACTCTACAGAACAATATTAAACAACGCGCTGATATTTCGGTAATTTCATGGAATTAGGCTTAACATCGAAAAACCCTCCGGCCCTGGGGAGACACACGGCCTCAGCGGTAAGCGCGCTTTCGCGCTTTGCGTTGCGAAAGGGTTAAAGTTGCTTTTTTCATTGGGTGTTTTTAAAAAGTGCTTAATTTTCCCTTTTCGAAATTGATATTTTTTTCTTTACCATGTTGATTTTTGCTATGTATTATGCAAAAGCGTGCTTATCACATTGTTCTATTCAACATTTTTACAATTCATTCCACCATCTATTTCGGCATACCATTGGTCCATAGCATATGAAACCACCAATTATTTTACATGTTTGATGAAATACTTGTGAGTCGGCATGTGCGTCTACTGAACAGAGTTTAGTGAAATTATTGCACTCTCATGAGCAACTCGGCTGCATTTTGCAAGATATTCTCAAATTTCAGGCTTCATTTTCCACCTTCTGATATCGAACCAAAAAATCTTGATCATTTTATAATGGCTAATAAAATCAAGAAAAGAGTTCTTTGCCAGAAACTAGTTATTTTATCAAAATCATGTAAAGTCTTTGAAAATTATTTTGCATTTTGTTAATGTATATAGTGCTTAAAAAGTACTTAATATATGCTTATTTTTTGTTGAAAGATTTGGCTATGCACCTTGTGCTAACAAACTATTTCTGTTTAATAACTTATTGTCCATTGAATAAGTCTTAGTATTTATTAACAAGAGAAATCAGCGCTCTCGCTAAGGACTTCAAATTATTAGCCAATTCAAATTCAGGTGCGAATCAATGCTGCCAGCAGATGCTTTTACGGATTAAAGAAGCATCTAAAATCAAATATCTGATCATATTTATAAATATCTAATTTATAAATATCTAATCAAACTTATACTGACATACACATCAGAAACTTGGACAATGAAATAAAAATGTAAATGCTCTTGGAGTCTTTGAGTGGCTCATGTTAGAGCTAGCTATTTTTGGAAGAATACAAATGGATGGCTCCGACACTCAAATTTAGAACTTTCTCATGTCTTCAAAGAACTCAACCTCATCAAGTATATAAAAATCTAAAGAATTAAATGAATCATGTTATTAGAATGGACAAAGAACTTCCAACACAGGAAATATTCTAGAACAAATGGCCGACCCAACCTCAGATGGATTGACTGCCTAGAAAGGGATCTCGCTATATTAAGAGTAATAGATTAGATTACCATGGCTGGAGAAAAAATTCTTGAGAAGGCCTTGGCTACCATGATACTGCAGAAGAAATTAGCTAATTATAGAAAGTTTTAGCTAATTTTCGAAATTCTTAACTAATGGCAAATCTTAATAATTTTTTATTGATTTCTTTCCTGTCGAAAACTTCAGATCGAAATACAAATTTACTATAGATTGAATTATTTTTAAAATGCAAATTCAAATCCAGAGTCATTTTGGAGTTGGGAAAAAGTAAATGGACAATGAATGGGAAACAGTGTGAAATATGTAGATATTATTTTATCACCTTTTAGGAAAAGAAATAGGAATAGTTTGGTTTAATGTTTGATAACTTCTTAGAGTAGAGCAGTAATATAAGGATAAACCTGAAGAAATATTATGTTATTGTCATGAGAAAACATATTTTATTCAAAAGTAGTAGGATAATAATATGCATCTTGCTACCATTTAGTCTGTTTTATTGACACAAATTATAGGAAAGATTTTTGTCCCGTGATCCGGCAAGTAACATTGTAATCTCCATTTCATGGTAGTTTATCTCATGCTTACATAATCTCTCTTGTTGCGTCATACTTACATTATCTGGATTTAATTCTAATTGATTATGCAACTTATTCAGCTAAAATTATGGTAATTAAATAAAATACAGGGTTTGTTCCAAAAAAAAATTTACTTTTGATATTTTTTTTTTATTTAATTTTTTCAAGATTAAGGAGAATGTATATTTTCCTTTTCAGTAGAAAAACTCATTCACCTATACTTTCTGCAAAGCACTATTTTGTTGCATAATTAATAATTTTATCGTATTTGGCAAGGTGGCAAAAGCTTAGTGCAGGCCCTGAGAAATTATATTTAGGATACTAATTTTTTTTAAATTAATGATTGCTATGACCAATTTTCAATTTTATTCTGTTCCACTAGCTAGCTAACATAACTGTTGATTTTGAATTTTACAAAATTATAGAATTTTAAGAGCCAGGAGATGAAGATAATTGTTTTTTATTTCAAAAGCAAATTTGCTTATAAAATTGTTTAAATATTTTGAGTCAGGTATATTGTGCTTAACTGCACTCATGAATACAATTAAAATTAAAAAATCAGCATATCTTGTTTGAATTTTGTTACAATAATAAATTAATCTTTTTTTTTCAGGAACAGTATATTTCAAATAACTTTTTGTTTTACCTTTTTGGTTACTATAATAGTTTTGTAAAATATATTTAATTCTAAATTTCTTTCAGGTAAAATGTGTGCTTTTTGATAAAACTGGAACTATAACTAAAGGTATTCCGGTTATGACTCGGGTGTGTATTTTTGTGGAACAGAATGTTATGTCATTAGGCAAGATTCTAGCCATTGCTGGTACTGCTGAAGCAAACAGTGAGCACCCCATTGCAGCTGCTATTACTAAATTTGTGAAAGAAGTAAGCTAATATTTGAAAAATTTAATTGAGAAAAATAGCAAAACTTTCTTAAATGTTCTTAGGAACTTATATTAAATTTTCATGGAAAGTTTTCAGTTTTTTATTGTTAAATAACTTATTTAATACTATATATTATACTTATCTTCTTAATGATATATTTTTTAAAAAATAAATATGCTGCGTGAATTAGAATTTTCTGATCAACTTTAACATGCAGTGATACAAAAGAGTACATGCTATAGCCACATGCCGAGTTTAATTCTGCATGAACTAATAACAGACATTCGTTGTGAAAACATTAAAAAAATTAATGAGTTAAACTGTGTTTTTTTTCTAATAACAGCAGGCACTGAACTTCCTTTTTTCGCCTTAGAAGATGCCGGAAGTGTTGCTCATTTATCGTTATCCTGTGGGCACCTATGAACCAAAGTCACGGAGGCGAGCAACATTACCCACGCCACACTGCCACAAATACCCGTTCATAGAGTGGGCCTCATTCATACATTCACACATCAGAAAACAACACAGAGAGAAACATACATGCCCAGAGCGGGATTCGAACCCGCAGCCATTGGCTTCAATCAAGCGCGCTAACCACTCGGCTACCTGGCCGGCTGAGTAAAACTGAAAAATATATAAGATGCATAAAAAAAAGAAGTATCCAACTGATAGATAAAATTTCCATAATCCAGTTTTAAAAAATTAATCCCAACCTGTATAGAGAATAAAAGCAACCGGTGCACATTGTTGACCTCATTGCCATCATATCATTAGTCTTGAAATTGTTTAATCTTAACCTGGATGACAACCTTGTCTGACAATTGGTTTTTTAACAATATTAAAATGAATTGAAAAAGCTCTTTCAAATACATTAAATAAAGTAACACTTTAAAAAAAACTTTGTATGTTATTTTTGAATACATAAACAACAAAACTATACTTTAATCTCTTATGTACTATGTGCATTGAAGTTGGTCAGATAATTTGCCTCCAGTCTGTATTTGTTTCAACTCATTTCTTATTTCAATTTCTTCTATCATGCAATATTTAAATAGTCTTAGAAGTGTCTTTAAGACCATTTAAAAATTTCACACTATACATCTTATACATTACCAGATGTAAAAAGAAAAATTTCTTGATTTTGGTATATGGGGAAAATTTCAAAATATAATTTAAATGTAAAATTACCTTTTAACTATGCTTCTAATGAAGATTGGAATTATTGTGTATTTCCTTGCTCAACAGCATATTTTAATTTAAAATATTTTCACTCAGTCTAATTGAAAAGATTTTCACTAACATATTACAATATTTCAGACTTTGCAAACAGAAACATTTGGCAATTGTAAAGATTTTGCTGCAGTACCTGGTTGTGGTCTTCGCTGCAAAGTGACAAACATACAGCACATGTTAAAAGAAGAATCCTCTGTTGAGCAGCTAATAAATGCTAAGAGGCACAGCAGAATAAGTCTCAATTCTCAAAAAGATGCAGCCGAAAACGTTCTCATTGACAGAAAGATTTATGGCTCACCCAAACACAATGCTTCTAATCTTGCAGCTGAGTTAATTCAAAATTTAGAAAATTCCAGTGAGTTATTTTTTATTCTTTAGAAGTTATATTTTAATACTTGGAGTTAAAATTTTGACAAGAACTTTACAAATTGTTAATTTTAGTTTTTTCCATTAGTGTCTATAGTTTTGTGAATTAAATCAAAATTGTGTAAAAATTATTTGTTGGTAATATTAAAATTTTAGAGATAAAATTCATTTTCAAATTAAAGCCCATTTTTTCTAGTTTATTTCATGAAGATATTCTAAGAAAATTTCAGAAGTAAATAGATGGGACAATCTACAAATTAGCATATTTTGATTATTCCAGTGTTTCGTAATAATTCAATTTTTTTCTTATATTTTGCTACATTATTTTTAATTATTTTTCTACTTTAGAGTAGCTTTCTCTAGAAAGAGTATCATTCACTCTCAGGTTATTTGGACAGTGATTCCGTGGTAGTTCAATTCATTAGTTTACCAAGATAGAAATTTTACATGTGTTATAACTAACACAGTTTTTAAACATACCTAGTATTTAGTTTAATGAAATAAGTAGTACTTAATTGCAATACTTAATTTTTTTAACCATCTTAAGTTTTGTGCTGTAAAAAAGATAAATGAATAAAATTGTGTTCATAATGTGCCTTATTTTATCAAGTATTTTTATTGGGATAAATATAATTCATTATGATCATAATTAATTGTAAAATTGAAAAAATTCTAAATAATTAAATGCCTTCATGATTTGTTATATTTCATTCTAAATTTGTAAATCTTTGATATATTGATATTTTGAAGAAACTTTCATATAATATCACATCTCTAAAACTAATAAAATTCTTTTTGCATTCATTATCTATTAATTGTTTTTATTTTATGACATAGTACCAAATTATAATCAATTAATTTATTAAACCCTATTGGAAATCATAAAGTTTATAAATAATAATATATAACATTTGTTTTTACTACTGTTAAGTTTATTAAAAATACTATAAACATTAAAAGGTTGTAAAAAAAACTGCTTAAAATGACATGCCACTATTAAAACTATTCAAATCTGAATTAGTTCCATATATTCTAACACCAATTTCATTAGATTAAACATTAAATATTCTAATGTCAATTTTAATAGGTTAAGCATATAGAACAATTATGTTCTTGTTTCCTTACTGTTTGGTACACCTACAGTACAAAATAGAATGCTAAAAAAGAGCTGTTACCAATTGTATGGGAGTGTATGGTTCATTGAATTGTGCTTCCTAAACTAAAATTTTTGTGTTCCTTAAAATATGTGCACCATTTATTACTCTAACAACATTCATTAGTATTATTACAATCTTAGTATAATTTTAAAGGTGACCCAGCCGAAGGTGATGCAGCTAAGTCATACACAGTTTTAATTGGAAACAGAGAATGGATGTTGCGAAATGGAATCCAAGTGTCAGATGATATTGACACCCTCATGAAAGACCATGAAGAAATGGGACACACTGCAGTTCTATGTGCTATTGATGGTATGATTTATTTGTCCTCTCAGAGTTTGATTTCTAATTTACCCTCTAATAATCAGGCCATTCATGAAAAAATATAGAATTCATGTTTCATTTGGCTCGAATATGAAGTGAAAATGACTATAGTGAAAAGTGCGTTAGAAAAAGAAAAAAAACAAAGAAAAAGTGATTTTTCAGTAATGGTTAAATTTGTTTTTAAACTTTTTCAAATATTATTTTTTAGATCTGCTTATCTGTATGATGGCAGTTGCGGATACCATAAAACCAGAGGCACACCTGGCTGTTTACACTCTCAAGAAAATGGGATTGGATGTGATTCTTCTGACTGGTGACAACAAAAAGACTGCAGCTGCAATCGCTAGACAGGTAACACTTTGCCGTATTTTATTTTTACACAAGTACACTTCATCTCTTGTAGATATTTTTTGCTTGGTAGACATAGAGATAGCATTAGCATATCTTGACTCATCTGTTTGAATGAAAAATATGTAGAAATTTTATTTTGAAATTATCATTATGATTGCATTGTAGTTTAAATGAAACTTAAGACAACACTACTTTTAATCATTGTATTTTATTTATTTTTTTGTATATATATATTTGAAAGTATACTCATTTATATCTTTAATCAACTACATATTGTTTTCAGGAATTAATTTTTCTTATAAAGTATTTTGGGAGTTACTTTTCCTTATAAATATAGAAGCAGAGAACTACAAAACTTAAATTTACTGATTTTCGGTTAATTTTCCAACTTTTTGCAATTAGGTTCAACACGGCCTAATTGTAAAAAGTGGTGTATCCCTTAAGATTTTGAATTATTTAGAAGTAATGGTCAGTGAAAACCCTATAAATCGAATTTATTAAACCAAGAATCATACATTACCTCTCGAAGAGATTTGTCCGCAGTCCGGAGCAAATTGGCATCTCTGCAGAAAACATTAAAAGTCTTGCTGTTTAGTCATCTTGAAGTTTATTAAAATCTAATTTCTATTGTTCTCTTTAAAAAATAAATAAATAAGCAAATTACGAACACAAATTATTTTTCAGGTATTGATTGTCTTAATGGCTATGTAATTTGAAAAAAAATTATGTGCTCAATATTTTATTGTTAAATGTTTTAGACTGGCCATTATTTTTCCCATTTTTCTTTCATTTAAATTCAAATAAATAACAATATTTTGATAGGAGCCACTGTGGCTCAGGGGATCAGATGACGGGACCCAAGTTCGAATCGCAGCGGTGGCTGATTGATACGAATTCTGATCCCAATTCGTACTGACCACATTGGTGACTTAAAATATCTTCAGTGATAGACAGATCATGGGTTAGAATTCCCTTGCTGTCAGGCTATAGGAGGTTTTAGTGGTTTTCCCCTCCATGGAACGCAAAGGCGGGTTACTTCCATCAAAAAGTCCTAGTTTGTCCCAATATTTGATCCAGGAGTTCCCTTGTATTCTGGGTTGGTCCAAAATTGCAAGACTACGAAGTATGAAATAGATTGTCGTCTCAGAATTAGATCAGCTTTACAACGCCATTTATAAAATAAAATCTTTTGATAAATTAAGGTAAACAAAATGTATAGAATGTTAATGAAAATAAAATAATTTTTTGCACAAGTATTTAAAATACAGCAATCAAAATTATATCGAGCAATTTAAATATTATTACTTATTATAGCCTAAAATTATAAAATTTCTATTAATAGGTTGGAATCTCTAGAGTGTTTGCCGAAGTGTTACCATCACACAAAGTTATGAAAATCCAGCAACTCCAAGAACAGGGAATAAAAGTCGCAATGGTTGGTGATGGTGTAAATGATTCTCCTGCCCTAGCTAAAGCTGATGTTGGGATTGCTATTGCTAATGGTACAGATGTTGCTGTAGAAGCTGCTGATGTTGTTCTTATTAGGGTATGTGCTGTTAAATGAAATATTGCCTTGGAAAATGCATTAATTGTCATAGCTTCTAACCCTTCTGCATTTTGCAAAAGCTAAGATTTTCCGTATTTTCACTCTCTTGCCTGATAGCTCAAATTTTCTTTAATTCAAACGTTGCTGCTCCTCTTGTAACGGCCTGGGAGAGTCCACTCGCTGTGGTCCTCCCTTAAGGTAAGACGCAATGGATTTCTCTTCTCATCTACCAATGAGGACAGGAATTCAGCTTCTTCTGCAAAACCACTTCCCATTATCACGTGACTTCCTGTTTGCTGGCGCGTAAGCAAATGTTGAAAAAAAGTGGCCCGTGTAAAAAAAAATAACAGTGGATTTGTGGTGAAAATATATTTATTATGGCTGAATGAAAACGATACAAGCAAGCTTTTCGGGAGTCCCAAGCCTGGTATCTGCTAATATTGCGATTCTTATTCACTCTAATCTAATATAAATTTTCGTATGTACCTGACTTAAAAGTCTGGTGTTGCGATTCATATTCACGCAAATTAAAAATTGTACATCAGTCCTTAGTTACGGGATTTAAAAATTCAGTATTGTGACTAGTATTCTCTGGTTATAATATCAATTTTTGTATTTATACGTGATTTAAAAACTACAAATTGGAATTCGTATTTATGCGATTTAAAAATTCGATATCACAATTTATATTTTCATGTATTTAAAATCCTATATCATGATTCATATTCATGCGATTTTAAAATCTAAGATTGCGTTTCATATTCACACAATTTTAAAATCTATTATCGTAATTCTAGTAGGAAGTAAGTTTTTCTGGAATCAGTTACTATAAAGGTGTGATGTTCTTCAATAGTGGGTAATTTGATTATAAATCCTAATTCAAAAAATTATGTTTAATATGATTGGTTTATAATTTGATATCGAATTTTTGCACACAAAATTTTTAGTGTTTTTTGCTTTGTGTCACAATTACCCCTGCATTATATTATAGTGGATTTATGAAATCATAAATAAATGAATCTACTTTTTTATAAATTTATTAGCATGTTGTGGAAATTTTCTGCATTTTTAGGAATTCCTTCTGCATTATTTTGTTGATCTTCTGCATTTGTATAACTAAGGGTTGGCAACTATGGATTGGTCAAATAACTATATATTTTAACATTAAAGCCTTACTTAAAATATTCCTTTAAAAAATATATGTAAATTTTTTATGCTAATATAGAAGCAAATTTATTAATCCAAAATTAGATAAGCTTCTTTTCTTTAGAAATTTAATTTTTGCAGATTTTATCCAATTGCAAATGCAAAAATATTTTATTTATATTTTTGTCAGATTAACATGATAATAAATCAGCTTTTGTTACTTAAATTGGAATGCTTGTGCTCTGGATGTATTTTGGTTATTCTTTACTTACTAGCTTGGGCTTTATAATTTTCCTACCTACCTTTAATTGTGGTATATCAAACAAAAGTTAAACTTCAAAGTTGTTGTTTTTTTAAAACAAAACACCCTGGAAGAAATTTCTTCGAACCCATGTAGAAGAAACTTTTTTCTAAAAGATATCAAATATTAAAACAATTTTTCCAAAAGTTAATAATTTCTATGTAGTTTAAATAATAGAATGATTTTCTAAGCTACTTAATACATCATTTTTAAACTTATAAAAACTAAAAAGCAACAATTTGAAGAAAAAAAAAATTATGAATTTCTTAAAAAATTTAAATAACTGGAGTCCTTTAATATTTTACATAAATAAGTATAATAAAACCTTATTTCGCAGTTACATAATGAATTGTTAAAATATAATAATCAATTTTATTAATACTACAAAATTAACAAATCATATATCAAATATATATTCTGTTACAAATTACATATTGAATTCATCATTGCAAATGCCATATTAAATTTTTTAATCAAATTCTGTTAAGTATGAATATTTAAATAATGCAATTTGTAGATATTAAAATTCTAAATAAAACTAAAACAATTTGAAAAACTTCATACTAGGAAACTTTGGTACTGTAATAAATTTAATTTATTTAAAATTAAGCTTCTGCGCTTCGTGATAAACATTTGTATTGTTCATTTTTAGTTTCTTCTATTTTGTTCAGTTTCTTCCATTTTTACCTGTTTCTTCCAGTTGATCCCAGAAGAAATAGGTTTCTTCAAGACAAAATACTAACCCGACCCTGATTACAGCATAATATCCTAATTGTTGTAAAATCTTCAATTTATTCATTTTTATTCAAATGTAATGTCACTTATAATTTAAAATTTTATAAAATGTTTCCTCCACTTTTTTCTCTTCACCCTCTTTTGATTTCAGTATTTAAAGTAGTCTATATTTTTGACTGCTGATTTTTCTAAAAAGTTTTAATTTAATATTTCAGAATGACCTTTTGGATGTTGTTGGTGCAATTGATCTTTCCAATTGCACAGTAAGAAGAATAAGATATAATTTTATTTTTGCCAGCATGTATAACCTAATTGGAATTCCTTTAGCTGCAGGTAATATTAAAATTCTATATTGTTATTAAATATCATTTCAAGAAAAATTTCGTTGTGAGATTTATGTTGATTCAATTTTAGGTATATTTCGACCTTGGGGACTTATACTTAAACCTTGGATGGGGTCTGCTGCCATGGCTTTATCATCTGTATCTGTTGTATGCTCATCTTTATTGCTAAAACTGTAAGTTTCATTCCTTTATCATGCATTTTTTTAAAAAAAATTACTTACATTTTTACTAATTAATTTGCACTGCAATGAAATGCTATTTGAAATAAGAAAAAGAACTTATAGGAATTAACATTAATGAAAATATTTAAAGCAAATATTATTTTTGGAAATAATTTATTTTTAAATTGTTAATTGAAAGAGGAAAAAAAATTATACATTTACCCAACAGGATTAGATATTTTTAAAACATCAATTATCTTACATGGCCCAAATCTACAGAAAAACAGCTAATATGATTTGGAAATATTATTATTTACTTCATGTTTTAATTAAATAAAATTTCTATCAACCATATATAATTTCTTTATTCATTTTTTCATTATTTTTTATTCAGCTTTTTATTAAATTTTATAACTAGTGCTGTTTATTTCATGTTTTAATTATATGAAGTTAATTTCAATGTTCCATTTTAATGCCTTTATTGTACTCAATTTGTTTTAATTATATGAATTTCAATATTCCATTTTAATGCCTTTATTTTACTCAATTTTTTTATTTTGTAAATTTAATCTAGGTATAAGAAACCAACTAAGGAAAAGCTCATGACTCCAGCTTATCTAGAAGTGCTCCGAAAAACTAGACTGCACTGCTTGGAATATGGCGATGATATATCTATCCACAGGGGCTTAGACGATATTCCAATGCCGGATCCAAAGGGGTCTACTAAAAGTAATAATCTTAGTTTTATTCTCAGTATGGTTCCAAGGAATAAAACTAAAGAAAATTCTCTTCTGGATGCAGAGAGCCAAGAAATGGAGACATTTATTGGAACAGAACGTATTTAAGTTTCAGATACTTAACTCACTTAATATTGGATTATAAATGCACAGAATCTGAAAGAGCAAATGGAACAAAAGCTACTTTCAGTAGAATTCATTTTTATCCACAGATCTGACTTCCAAAAGATTTTTAATTCTTTACTTTTTTAGTACTGAATATTCATATGCATTATATGAGCTTTCTAGAATTATTTACTTACAATTTAGTTTTGTAAAAAATCATAGAGTTCATGACATTTTTTGAGATTTTAATACACGAAGTTGCTATTAAAAAAAAATTATTTTTGAAGTGCACTGCTTGAAAAATAAATGGCAAAGTGCTATTAATTTAGGTACCCATAGATTTTACTGTACTTATATTATTTATGACACAGCATAAAAATATTATAAATTAAAAAGTAGGCAACAAAAAAGTGTGAATTTAAATTATGGCAACCTTCAACTAGTACTCCCATTCACAGAAACACTATTAACTTCATTTCTTTATTAATTTGTAATTAAATTTTGTAAATATGTTTAATTATTTATAAATGATTAATACTTTTTAAATTTAATTTTATTTAATAATTCTATTTATTTACAAATAAATAGCTTAGCACTTGTGTCAACAATAAATTTTAACACTTATTTAAAAGGCAATAATAAAAAAAAAATTATGAAAATATGTATTTTCATTATGCTACTCTAAGAGAATTTAACAGATATGTATAATTCATCAGCTATTTGAATCTGAACCCTGAAATAGCCATTTGTTACTAAATTTTTAAAAAAATAAAAATTTAAAAAAAAAATTTCTTTTTTTTTTAGTATCTACCCAATTGATAAACAAAGTATAAATCTGGTTGTAAAAAAGAAAAATTATGAGTACCAGAAAAAATCTTAATGCTTAGGTTTTAGCCTTATTACAATTGCAATCTTGAATTATTTGGAAAAAGATATAGTGCAACACCAGAGTACATTATAAAATGTAGCATGTTTTTAAACATGTGTAGCTAATTGTTACATAATCTTTACTAAGTAAATAGTTGACACGAGGGTCAAAATAGAAAGGCCCCTACAATGTCCCTATAAAAAGAACACTACAAACTATCGCTCACCAAATTTGATAATTTTTGCATTAACTAAGCATAACCATATGACATATGTAAAAATGTTTATGTTTGACATTCACTAAAATTTAAAAAATTTTAATTAGGCAATAATTTGCATGGCTGAAAGAAGATAATTTTTGTTCGTTTGTATAATTTTTTTAAATCCCAGCAACAAGTAACATTAATATAGTTAAGGTATGAAAAAAAAATCATTGCAACTCATTTAAATTTATTTATTTAGTATACTTATTTTATAAAATATTACTGTGATTTGAATAAAATCTTTTATGATGCTATTAATATGATTACAAATTTGAATTTTGGAGCCCTTATTACTTTATGATAGATGGCTATTACAATATCCAATATAATTACATTTTAAATTAATGTAATAAGTACAGAAAAATTAATCATAATTAGTGTAAGTTTTTATAAACTGCTAATGAAAGTTGGTGATGATTACTTTAATTAATGCTCAATATGGATTAAAATGTTTTTAGTTAATACTTTATGTATACTAAAAATCGTTATATTTCATGAGTGAAAATGCTTGAGGTTCTTTTAATTTTAGCGTGTGTGTAGAAATGAACACTCTAAAACACATCATTTTAATAAAAAATCTATTGTTGAAATCCATTTGTGATGGAAATGTTAATGTTTATTCTTGTTAACTGACCAACAACAAATTTTGATTTTATTCTTTATGCAAATAAATCAAAAGATTTTCATAATATTATTAATATTATGCCTACAATAATAATATTTTCATAATATTATGCCTACCCTGATTGTTTCCTAAAAGTGGTAATAAATAACAAGGAATTTTTTTTAACAAAAATGTCCCCAACCCTTAATATAATATAAATTTAAGTACTTTTTTGGTCAAAAACATTTTGTCGAAAGACAGATTTGAAAACTCAATTCATTACATTATTTTATATATTTTTTACCAGCTAGAAAACCAAAATGTTTTTATCATATTGTTGATGTACTTTATTTATAGATTTAGTATTATACTTTTTTTATGATTTTTTTTTATCTAAATATAAATGCATTTAATAAATGCTATATTTTATTGAATTTAATTTAATATTATTAAAAACATAATTTTATATTTGTGATACAATTATTTTGAAAACATAAAGCCTTTTTTTAAAAAAATTAAGTTTTATATTAAATCTAAATGTTCCAAGAGTTTATATAATTAAATTTCTATTGTAAAAGAGTATATTTCCTAAATAAGCTTATGAATATTTAAAAATATTTTATTCAATCTAATTATTATGTTTTAAAAATATACATCCTCCCACTACTTTGGAACTAATGTAGTTCCAGTCCCTGAAAATATTTTTTTCTAGTGGGTAGCAAGTGTAATTAGATTTTAATAAATTAGAATAAATAAAATTTTGTCCACCACTACATTAAACTGATATATTAAAGGTTCAATAGAGAAAATGTCATGTTCTAAAGATTAAGAGAATTCTGTTTTAAAAATTTAAACCTCAGTTCATTAACCACTGATAATTATATTTCGCACAAAACTCATATGTTGGAAGATATGTTAGTACATGGAGTTGAGATTTTTAGTATTATTCAAAATACTATGGTTTAAATTTGAAGAGATTTCAGAAAATTCATTTATTTTCATTATTAACATTAATTTTTAATTATCATACTTTTTGCTTTTCGTTAAATTATCAATTCATATTAATAATAAATTACTATAATTGTATTGAATAAAAATGAGATTATTATAGTTGGAAATAAATGTTGAGAGTTTTCATAAACTAATTTTTGCTATTGGTAAATAAAACTTGTTTTAAAATGCTTTACCAAAACCATGAAAAATGCAAATTTTCATGCACCCTTTTTTGATTTTTTTATGTGTGTATTTTCCACATTTAAGTCATTATCTTCCTTCTAATTAAGTTTTGCACAATTTCAATTTGTATGGCATTTAAGATATTTTACTAAATAAATATTGTACTGTTTCAGGTTTTGAAGTATGAAATAAAGACTGCTTCTATACTAGTTTTTTGTTTGCAGAGTTTCTGATCAGAATTTTTCCTTGGCTTCTATATTTTAAATACATAAAGCTGTATAAGAAATATTTTACAAATGAAAAATAAAATATAGCAGTTCTCTGTTTAGTTGAGTTTTTAATTGTACAAAAATGATAGTCCAAAAAAAAGTTGTTTTTTTTTTAATTCTAAATTAGAACCTCTGCATACAATTTTGCTATTATAGATTTTTGTCACCTTAAATTAATTTTATCAGTATTAATTTTGTTACAAGAATGATACAGATTGTCAAAAGATGTGATCTTTATAAATAAAAGAGCCAATTATATAAAACATTATGTATATTTTATGTAAATATATATTTTATTAATAAATATATAAATTTGCAATTCAAATATGTCTCTTCATTCTTATCTATACACTTGCAAAACTACACGAAATGTTTACAAAATTCTGACGCTTTCTTTCTAAGGGTGTTTATAAAAAGAAGAATGATAACATAGGTATTCCATAAAATTTATTGAATGTATAAGAAAGTTACTCATGGCAAAAATGTCGAAGACATTGGTTGAATGCTCTTTGCAATAACAATGTATCGATCAAGGAATCAATTTGTGCTACTAATGTTCGAGACTGTAGAGATACTATTTCCCAATCTTTGTTTCAATTAAAAGACACACACATTGTTTAAACTGTATATAAATATGATTTAATACCTATGTTGCTTTTAAACCATCCACATGTCTCAAAAGTGATGATTTAAAAAACATGAAGTGTTAACTAGATAATTAAATTCCATTAAGTTATGAAGTTTGTGAAAAAATAGTGTTCCTAACAAACAACTTTAAAACATTCTTTTCAAATTAGCAGCAGTTAACAGCAACAATGTAATGCAAACTGAAGAGAAAATGTACAAATGCTTTTGCAAATATTTTAATTGGAATGGTTTGATATGCTGCAGAAAACATTTCGTGGTTTCTCAGTTGGCAGTGACACCTGTAGATGTACTTAGTCAAGTTTTTACATTTTGTGACTGTAAAATACCTAGCTTTCTAAGCAAATTGCAGCAAGCAGTACATTCCTATTGCCTTTTATTTTTCTTCTAATTAATTTTTCGAATTGTCATTCAGTTTTGGGACGCAAAGTATATCACATGTAAAAGTGATGGAAATTGTTATCTTTGTATTCTAACATTAATAAAAAAAAAAAACACAGTAATATTAGAATTCAAGCTAACTACATGAGAAGATACATTGAAACTAGAATGTTTTCAATAAAAATCTGTTAGATTATCAGAATTATATTCATAAATACAAGAAAAAGTAGTTGGAAAAAAAATTTCATTCATATTCACAAATATATCAATACTAATTGCTTTTGTGAGTTAAAAAAATTTCAAGCTTGAATATCTGCTGCTCTCAGATCCAAATAAAAATGCCTTTAAAAAAAAGTGAGAGTTATGATGTATTTCATAACCATAAATCATTAAAATACTAAATATAACATTTTTAACTTTTTTTTTATCTGAATTTATACAAAATAATGTAAAAAGTATGAAAAATATGTTCAATAAAAATTCTGCTTCAAAGGGTTAACAAGACACTGTAATCTGTTTATAATTAACTAAATCACATATTGAAGACAACATTTAGTCTCTTCAGAATTAAGTCGCGAAATTAATTTGCTTCACCACTGTTGAGTGAAAGTTGTTGTCATACACATAGGAGTTTAAAAATGTAGAGAAATGTTTCTTCATATTTTTCATCTGAAAAACGGTCAACTGATTCACGTGCTGCTGACCTAATTTTGTACAAATCATCGTATCCTGTTTTAAATACTTTTTCTAAAGCATCTGCATAAGTAATAACATCATTAGCTAAAAACCCAGTTCTTTGATTTTCTGCGGTAGAAATTATATCCATTTTTGGTCCTCCAGAATCATGAGCAATGGTAATCAGTCCTGCTGACATACATTCAACCACACCTAGAATAAAAATTGTTTTGCATTTAAATTTGTTTTTTTTTTTTCAGCTTTGAAGAGAATTATTCTACTAAAAGGAAAAAATTCTTAATTTTTATCCGTAATGGACATACCTATTTATTTTTTTTTTTTTTATAGAGATTGGATAAGGAATGACTAAAGAAAATTTCACCAGTTAATGTATAAGTGTTTAAAAAATGTTTCCAGTCTCCAAATTTGCAATGATTTGACTAAACTTTTGATTACCTTAAGCATGTGAAGAAAAATAATACAGTTAGCCTAAATTTTGATATCATTTAAAAAATTATGGTAGTCTAAAATATCCTGAAAATTACATATTACAATACCAGAAGGATCGTTTAGCTCTCCAACCCTATTTGTTTTACAATTATTTTTGTTTTTTTATGCAGGTTGTTACATAAAAATTATTTTTCATATATTTGTATAAATATGGTTGTTTGTTTTTTTTATACAATTTAATTAAGGAAAGTGCTCTCCCCCTCTAAATCTCCCTCTATTACAACTGCTCATTTTTAGAATTTTTCACCTTTCTTGTCCATCTTAATACTGCCGACCAAATCAAATGCGCCTAAGTATAAGCCAGCTCCTGCTCATTTTATAATAGCTATATATAGCTCATTTTATAATAGCTATATATAGCTCATTTAATAATAAAATTATTGAAGAGTCATAAATATAGAGAAGGAGTGTTTCCAAGAAACAATGGCTGATAAGAGAAAAACATATCCCTAATTGGGTTATGGAGACCACTTTATATAAAATTCAGCAGAAATGGTGTTGTGGGTTTTTAGCACGCATCACTATGTTATTTGCGGAAGATTTAATAACAAATTTTAATTTTTGATGTGAGGAAATACATTAACTAATTGATACAGTTTTTTTTAATGCAACAGTACTATAAAAACTTTTTACAAATAAGATCTCTAACTATTGTGATAAATTCAGTATTCCATTAATAAAATTATCCTGGAAAGAGTTAAAACTTCCTGTTCTAAATTAAGTAATTCTGAAATTAAAAATAATATAATTTTTGTATTATTTTGCAATAAAATTTACCTTAATAAATAAAGCAAAAAATACTTTAAATTAGTGGTTCTTTTTAAAAGTAGTCTGGAATATGTGTATTGTTCTAAAAAATACCATTTCAACCAACATGCCTAAATTTCAAATTCCAGACTTTCTTTTTCAGTTCATCAGTGGGTTAAAAATATATATTTGTCATTTGTGTGGCCCACCAAAAGAAAATTGTTTGCTTCTTCTGATTTAAACACATTTCATGCAACAAAAGCATGTCCAAGGTGTAAGTTTTTAAAATTACTCCATAAACATTATCCAATTACACGTAAACGTAGCAATTTCTATTAGATTTATATAAACCAAAAGATAATACAAAATTGAACTTACCAATCCCAAAGTGCTCATTTGTCATTGTATGCAAAGCCACACTGGATTTAGTCATTTCATTAAGTAAATCTTGGAATGTCACATTTATTTTGAATTCTACATTTGCTGATATGCCTAAATCATTGCACATATCTTTTAGACGTTTCACTCTTTCATAGTCCTCATCGTGTCTACAGCTTCCAATTAAAACCAACTGAGGCGGGTAAGGCACATTACCTAATCTCTTCAGCAACTCGTGAAAACTCTTTAATTGAAGCTGGTGATTTTTTTCGGGGCGAAACTGGGCAATCGATACAATCCTCATTCTTTTCTCATTTTTATGACGTTCAAGTGGAATGTTGTTGAATTCAGTCACATCACAAGGTGGATATACAATACACGTGGCTTCGGGTTTATGCCAAAGATTTAAAATATGGCCATTAGTCCAAGATGAGTTAACCATAATAAGTTCTGAATATCTACCCACTGCACCATATATAAAAGCAAAAAGCTTATAATAAATCAACTTTAATTGTGAAAAAAATTTACTATTTGATATAAACCTTCTGTTGTTAACAGCAATAGTCCTGGATTCAACTACTTTTAACATATCAGTGCTAATTGTTGGATAATGTACATAACACCCAACTTTGCATGAACCCAAAACTTTAAAAAGCGGCAGAGTAAATGCATAGCCCATAGTATCAATATAGATGTCTGGTACAAAATTTGATAGAGCTTCAAAGCCTAACACCATGGAACCCATGCTTTGTAGCAGTAATGTAAAATATGGGTAATATTTAGCTTCAACAAAACCTCGACTTCTTAAATGGATAATTTTCACATCTCTAATCAGTTTAATGTTAAAGCGCAATTGGACGTTGTTTATCACCTCGTCATCGTTCACATCATCTCCAGAGTAGATAACACATTGCATATCTTTGAACCTAAGGAAAAATAAATAAATGTTTGTGAATGATTTAAAATGTTACATATTACATTGAAAACTGAAATTCCAAAAATTATTTTTTTTATTTTTTTCCTTTTATAACACACTTAACTAATACGACACCCGGTGGCTGAACGGTAGCGCTTCGTGCTGTCGTGCCACAGGTACTGGTTCAATACTCGGGCCGGGCAAGGTTGACTCAGCCTTTCATCCTTTCAGTGGGTCGATAAATGAGTACCAAGCATGCTTGGGGGTTCCGCGTTCGGCTGACCACCTGACTGAACATCTGCTCCTGCACCCCAGAGCCTAAGGTCAAGAAAACTGAGATGGGCACAGTAGACCTTGGCCCTCATGGGCTGTCGCGCCGCTGAGTTTAGTTTAACTAATACTACATATTTTTTTCTTTAAATTTGTGGAGTTTGTGAAAAAAAATCGCCATAGTTCAAAATTTATATATAATTTCAATGAAATAGGAAACATAATATTTACAATTGAAAAATAAATCAAAAATCAATGTTTTTTTTTTATAAACCAGTGTACTTTCTTAAAGTTTTGGGTTTGCCTACAGAGACATTTCCATATCAGTAACTGTTTGCCACAACAATCACCAAGGACCTTGCATAAATTTTAAAAAATTATGCTGCAGTTTTACTCGGGATGGCTGTATTTTAGTTCCCTTCAATGATTTTTTCCCCTTTTATTTCAGTTTTTCTCGAGCCACTGCTTGGAAGTCACCGAAACTGGGAGATTATTGTGATATGGGAACGGATACGGAAATGTTACCAAATTTTTCGGGAACAATAACTCAATGTTAAGTAAAGAGGGAACAATGCCTACTTGAATATATTTAAAGATCTATAAGAGCATCTCATTGTAAAATATGGAAGAAAAGGAGAATTTAAAAGGTAAATTTTTTTCTTTATCTAAGCATAAGAATGAAAAAGACAAATACAAATTCTTTATCTTTGATGGCACAAATAAGTTTTTTAAAATCCAGCATTCAAACCACGTCTACTCTGACAATAAAATAATACAGTAGATAAAATAAGCATATAATGATCTTAACCGTGTTTAAAGATAAAATAATGCTACTAAGTAACTATTTAGATTTGTAAAAATCGTGATATGATTGGATATATTAATTAATGGCATAGCTTTTAAAACCTAAATTTTAACAAAAAATACATTTAGAAAATTGAAATTATTAAATAGTTACATGCATTTAAAGGTTGTGATTAATTTTAAGTGAAAAATATTTGTTTATAGCTTTCTTTTAAATTGTTATTTTACAGCCTAAAAAAAACTTTTTTGCACATTTTTCCTGGTTATATGCTAAACACTTCGTTGATAAATCACTTTTTGCATAGCATCAAGCTTTCTAAGACTAAGAGNAATTGTCCATTGTTATTTTACAGCCTAAAAAAAACTTTTTTGCACATTTTTCCTGGTTATATGCTAAACACTTCGTTGATAAATCACTTTTTGCATAGCATCAAGCTTTCTAAGACTAAGAGAATTTAATTGATGCCTTCGAAATTGTGGGCTTGCAGACAAAGTTGGTGGGTTAGAGTGTATTACAGGGTGCCCCTTGGATTGGGCACTGTTACTTAGAACTTTTACTGTGCATGAAATATTTTTATTTTCGTAGCGTTTTTATTACTATATTTATCAGAAAATCTCTGTTTCAAATAATTTACCCTTTTTTCTGTAAAAAGTTGCCAAAACAACAGAGACACACTATTGCAAATTTTTAACATTTTGCATTACTATGCAAGTGCTTTGGAAGCAAACACAAACTTCTGCAACTTAAGACATCTAGGAAAATAATACTACTAGGAGAGAACAGTTTAACATAAAATTCCGTTTAACATAACAAAAATAATGCGTGTATTAAGATAGAATAAAAAAAAGTTTCTAACAAATGTAAATAAAAAAATACATATAATAAAAACTTGTGAAATTTTGTGTACCAGTTTTCAAAAGTATTTCATATGATTTGAAGTAAAATAACATATTAAAAATTACTGTTTCTGGATAGCTCTAACAGCAGCCCACAATACACGCTCGCCTCCTCCGCCAGCATTACAGTAGGGATGAAAAAATCCTATCGATAAGCAATTTTTATTCTTTCTTTTCCATAAAATTCGTTTAAAAATTAGAAAAAGTTTAAAGACAACAATAGAAAAACATAGTACAAACAAAGAACATAATAGTAAAGACATTATAGCGGCTTCACGACACTTCACTGACATAAACAAAAAGTTTAAAAGAGCAGACAAAATTTGCGTCATCAAAACAACAAGCAACATATAGTTGCCATCCAAATATAAATATATATATACATGTCATTTATTAATGAATTTAGAATGGCAGAATTCAACCAAATTTAAAAACAATATATTTACGATAAATAAGGATGAGTTTTGTTAAAATGTTTATTAACATTTCTTGTTATATTAAATTAATAAACTACATTTTTAAGTACATGTATTATGATTATAACCGCAAGCTTGTGTTCCAAAACAAGAACGAAATCGTAAATTGACTATGTGATGTTTATGAATTTGTATTATCTTTTAAAGACGTTTTACTCTTAAATAAAGTTTAATAATTTTTATTTGATGAATCGTAGCTTATTTTTCCTGAGTTTGCAATCTTCTTTACAAAGCTATTGTTACTTTATTTCAAAATGTGTTCCTGCAGAATGCACATGAAAATATCCTAAATTTGTAAGACTGAAGTTTGATCATTTCATTTAATTATTTAAAAGATATTATAAATTGGATTAGTAAATATTAAAATTTATGATTAAGATGTTTATAATGTATAGTTTTATCGTATTTCTGATCTTTTTAAATGCGTATTCTGACATACTATAATTTGCATTTAAACTTTAGTCTTCCCAAATCAATATTTGTTTCAAACTTAAGAGTGTTAATGGAAATATCCCCGAAAGAAGTAACTTAGAAGCATACTATTATTGTTATAAAGCTATGATTTATCTTCCTACGAACCTTTTTGGGGTTCAACTATTTAAAGCTGTAAATTTTACTGTCACCTTTCCGTTGGCTATGCGGAGATGAGTAAGCTTCTGACTATTGAAGAAATTATAAAGTATCTAAGAATGTTTCTTAGAATCTACTCTGTCTGTAATTTCAAAATTACTTCTTCATAACTTTAACTTTTCTTCATTTTAATTATAATACAATTGCTAGATTTAAACGAGGGAAACATATTTGATAACCTTTAAACTGTAAATTCTGTTGGGTAGAAATAGATAATTTTGTGTATACTAACTTAATTATCACTCCTATGACAAAAGTTTATATGTATTTTTACAGCAATTGTATTTAAAAAAAATTAGTGATTATTATTAATGTAATAATATATTATTAAATGTAATGTGTATTAATTTTTTTATTTTCTAACTTAGTATGTATTTATAAGTATATTTCCAATTTTCTGTTCTTTTCTCAAGTTTTTATAAAGTATTGATAATAGAAAAAATATATTTGTTTTGTTACTTACATGCTGACTAAAAAACTATCTCCCTCTTCTTCCCACTTCTCNTTATTATTAATGTAATGTGTATTAATTTTTTTATTTTCTAATTTAGTATGTATTTATAAGTATATTTCCAATTTTCTGTTCTTTTCTCAAGTTTTTATAAAGTATTGATAATAGAGAAAATATATTTGTTTTGTTACTTACATGCTGGCTAAAAAACTATCTCCCTCCTCTTCCCACTTCTCTGTCAGTATTCCTAGCTAGATTTTTGGAATCCAGTTCTTAAAAACAACTTGGTTCTTGTTTAGTATAATCAGTAAACAAATTTACATCACCTCACATTATGTTGTTGTTGTTGCTTATCCCCTTGGTCCCCCCTACCCCTAGACCAAGTCCAGAAGATCATGTTGCATCAGCAAGTCATAGACAGTCTCTCCATTACTCATCAGTTGCCTCACAGAGGCACCAATGCAATCCAAAAGATGAAATGGAAAAGCGATGGCCGAACCTCACATTATAAATATTTCTTTGTTGAGACTATCATTATATTATCTTTAATTCAGAATCATTACAGTTAGGTATTGCTTAATCTAAGGTTCTGGAAGAAATACTTTTAGAAATCTAATAGCAAATTGTAAAGTAAAAATTAATGCACTAAACAAGTCTTTATAATATGTATTATGTTAAGCATTATTATTGTATATTAAGTATTTTGTTAAGCTTTTATTCATGATCTGTTATCATAGGGATGCACAAACTATGCCTATGAGTTGTCTATTGCTTTATGTTAAAATCTATTTTAAGAAATGAAATAAGTAATATAATTTTCATGATTACTTTTAAAATAAATTCAATAATTTTTTATTAAAAAGTACTGAAATGATAACAGATCCAAGATAGAACAGATAGAAGATCCAAATAATTCAAATCTTTTAACTATTTGTTCTCTTTCTCATAAGTAAATTTTCCTTAACCATAACATGTTCTAAAGAAATATAATTTCAGTTTTTTTTTCTTTTAATAAATTAAAATATCAGTAGTTTATGTGTGGTAATTAATATTATAAAATCGATTCCCCCCCCCCCCTTCTNCCTTCTTTTTTAGAGAAAGTTTAAAACCTACTTTAACTCAAATTTATTAAGAAATGCAAACTAGGCAAGATTTATGTGAAAATTTTTCAACTATAGTGTATCATTTGTTGTGCTTTTAATTTTTAAGACAGATTATTTTGTTCTTATTATAAAGGACAGTGTTTTCATCGCAGAGAAAAAATGGGTGAGAATTTCTCACCCTTTCTCAAAAACAGGGTGAGATTTCAAAAAGTTAAGTGAGATTTCTAAAAATTAAAAAACAAAAACGTAAAGAGACATGAAAAAAATCATTTCTTTAATTATAATACATTTTTAATATCTTCTAATTTTTAAAGCATTGAATATTTTTGCTGCATCATCATATGGAAAATGTTCGATATCTACTTTTTCATCAGCTATTCTAATTAGGTAACTCAAATGCGTATTTGTTTCGTTTTGATCGTTTCTACCCACATTTGTTTCATTTTCATTTGTCCGTTTCGGAGTAGAAGATATTGCCTTTACAAGGTATTTGTCCATCTTGCATTAATGCGCAAAAAATTTGAACGTGAAGAAACCTTACCTACAGTAAACACATGGTTGCAGAGAAATGCGTTCTGAAAGAGGTTCGGAGGGATGGTGTTCTGTAGTTCTTAAAGATTCTGAACAATGCTGGTAAACAGGGAAGCTAGATAATGGGGCAGATGTTGAAAATAATGAAAGATCCAGGAAGAAAAGTGAAACGGATTTCATTCTAATTGGCGCAATGAGAAATTTTTTTCAAAATGCGAGAAATTCGCGAATTTTGAAATTGGTTTATAGAATGCGCGAATTTCTCACGGTAATCATTTTTTAATGCGAGAAAAGAAAAAAATATGCGAGATTCTCGCGCTGTAGTGAAAACACTGAAGGATTATTTTAATTGGTAAAAAAACTTAATTTATTTCACAACCGTCGAAATCTACAATGTTTTTTTTTTTTTAAAAGCTAGCTACTTTGGGCATAGCCTGTTTTCATTCTTTATTAGATTATTTTCAATGTCTATTTCCATTGCAATCTTAACAGTATTGAGTCTGGCTAATTTGATCTGTGTTATATTAATAATTTTTTTCCCTCACATATTTATTTTAATCTAATTATTATTATTCTTTCTAGGTGTTGAGAGGATGATTCATCATTGAGAACGATATTTGTCTACTTAAAAATGGCTGAAGCTGCTCAAGTCAGTTCTTTACCTTTACCTCCTTTGCAGTATGTCAATTTATACACTGATGAGAATATACAAAACAAGAGGGCTCCTTCCCCTCCCAAGCCATGTATGGACTCTTATACTATGTTTGGATCTCAATATCATGCTGACGATCCAATCATTAGACCTCTTGAAAGCCAAAACATTAGAAGACTGTATCCCCAAAACTATGATCACAAACGCGAACTTAAAAAGCTTAACCATTCCATACTTGTTAACTTTTTGGACATGCTTGATATTCTAATACGTTGTCCTGACACAAATAAAAGAGAAGAAAAGAAAGAAGACATCAATTTGTTATTCATTCACACGCATCATTTGATTAACGAGTTTAGACCCCATCAGGCACGCGAGACTTTACGTGTGATGCTCGATGTACAAAAAAGACAAAGAATTGAAACCACGGAAAGATTCCAGAAGCAGCTCGAGAGAGTCATCGAGATGCTTCAACAGACAACGTCTAACATGCCAGATTCGGCTGACATGGACTGTAAACTGTTGGTTCCTACTGAGTCTATTGGCGTAACGGAGAAAGAGAAACAAGCTGATGAAAAGGAGGAGCACTGTTATGGACTGGATAGAATAATGTGCGATATTGTTGATGCCATGGTATAAGAAGATCTAAATTCCACAAAGTTCAAAAAATAGTATTAGTGAAAAGCGGGGCCAATGCTGTGTATAATAACTGAATCATTATTGAAGTTGAATTCAATAAAAGAGCCCTCAGCGTGCCTTATCATTCAGATTTTGTAATGAAAATGTGAATTTAAAGATTGTATACATCTCAACTGTTCATTTTGCATTTATTAGTATGACATTCATTAAAGAACGTGTATACTGAGAACATATTTTTTTCTTTAATCACTCACCATTTTTTTCACAATTAAACTTATGTATTGCATTTTTTATCCTAATGAATAATTCCTAAAGCTAAAAGAGTGGGTAACTAGCCTTGGAGTATCACTGCACATTATTGCGTATAAAAAAAATTGCTGTGAAAATTAAGGGAAAATTACTGATAAATTTTTTTAAAAAATGATTTTTGTATATTCATTGATGATAAGAATATTTCCTTTTGAAATATGGCATCAAAGATAAACACCAATCTATCTTGCAGATGCCTCATGATTTTTTAAAACTTTTATCACATCTATGGATGATTTTAAAAAATTCTCACTTTTTTTTTTTTATTTAACAGAAATTTTTAAAAATAAAAACTAGTTTTTCTACACCAATTTACAAAAGTTCTGGTTATTTAAATACCAGAATTTTTGTAAATTGGTGAAGAAAAACTAGTTTTCTTTATTTTTAAAATTTTCTATTAAATAAAAAGAAAAATAATGAGAATTTTTTTAAATCATCCTTGGATGCCCTAAACTCAATTAATTTTTTCTGATTTTTTAGGCATTTAAATTAAAATCCCTGACATATTTCTGATTTTTACAGAACAATAAAATTGCCTGTTTATTCTGGCAACCTAGACTGATTAGTGACTTATTAACTACTATTAGTAACGATTAGTGACTAATTTTAAATTAAATAGTAGAAGTATTATTTAATTTGAATTTAACAAAGTTTTAATAGTAAAAAAATATTTTTGTGCATTTTTTTTTCTACTTAATCTACGCAAAGTTTGCTAAATAGATGTTAGATAGGAAATCATTTTTACAATAATCATTACCATAGACAAACTTCTGAAAATTTTGCCGCTGATTTACCCAATAAATTCTGCTACCAGGGGAACTAGTTAACTCTTTTATAAAAAGTTGACTCAGTATCACTTTTATTTATTTATTTATTTTTTTTGCAAAAGTTTTTCCTTTTACATCTTAAAAAATTTAGAATAAATTAAAAAAAAAAAATTTTAAATTTTACTTAACAAATAACTGCTTTTTATTTGCATCCTAAAATTAAGCTGTAGTTAGTGGCTATACTTCCCAACAGAATACAGTAAAACCTCTCGAGAGCGACCACTCTCTGTTCCACAGTAAAATGGTCGTTAATAGAGGTTGATGATTCTTAGGAGTTATTTCCATTGACTTCAAAATGTTCTCAAAAGTACACGGTTTTTTGGTCATTGTTATTTCCTTTGTGCGGAAATGCCACTTGGCCTTTCCGCACCCAAACCGGATCGATGAACAAAATTTAGCAGCAACAAAAATTATCTCTACTGATATAATTATGAGTAAAAACAAATTTATCAATTATGAATGATAGAATTATTTTAAATAAATGAACAACTATGTTTTTTGTTTTAGTTAGCATTTTATTTTATATCATAAAAATTATTAACTTTAAAAAAAACAGTTACAGGTGCTTAATTTTTCAGATGCTAAAGTGACTTGTTTTCCTTATTTAACTTTCAACTCAAAAATAAATGATTGATAGCATTGTCTTTAGTGCTTTCTAACTGCAATATGAGGTTGTAGATCTCTTTCAGAGATTGTCAAAAAGAGCTCTCTGGATAAGAACCTGAAGCAAATATTTTGAATACATTTTAACCTACTTATTTGTTTTGATATTTTTTTATGTTTCCTTATTGGACCTGTTCCACATTTGGTGTAGAAGTTTACCTGGTCACTGGGAGAGACTAATAGTCTTTATTAAAGAGTTTCTTCAACACAAAATCTACGGAAAAAATTCTGTGCCTTCCAAAACTGGTCATAAATAGAGGTGGTCTTTCCTTGAGGTTTTACTGTATTACTAAACTGTAACTTATCCTAGTCTAGGTTTATTTTTTTACTCCTTTTTTAAAAATAAAAAAAATAACTGCATAACTGGTTTTATATTGGTTATTAATTGGCTAAAGTTCGACCTTCTTAAAATATTTGGTACATTTCTTTTCTTGTTGCTTAAAAAAAAAAATTCATATAATAGTTAGCCAAATGTGGCTCACATAATAATATGTGCAATAGTATCATAAAAGAAGCATGTTAAGACTAATAAATCATTTTGTAGAACTATAAATGTCAAAACAAATATTAGGGTGACTCTTTATTATCCTTAAAAAAAAATTTCACATTAATTAGCTACTCGAATACAAATTTTATTTAATATGGGGGCAAACCAAAAATTTGAATAATTATTTTCTTTTCAAACTAAATAAACCATGCAAGCAAAATAATTATCTCATAATTTTATATTAATTTTTAAAAAAAACTAATATGTATTCTAAATGAATAAGCGTCGCCAATAGCCCATTGTGCAGCTTCAGTGCGACCTAAATGAACTACAACACAACTAAATGAATAAGCTTAAACATTTTTTAATTTGTAGTAATTTTTATTACTGATTTTTGTAAAATTGAAAAATCATATGAGCTTATTTTGGTGGTAAATTAAATTCGATGTTGTTTAGATGTAAGGGACCTTCCATAAATATCATGTTTGAAGGAAGTAGGTGATATTGTGTGGAGGACAAATAACGAGAAATGTGTCATTTGGATTGAAATAAAAACATTTCGAAAAAGTGGCCTGTTTAATATCTTATGAGAGAAAATAACTATTTTTATGTATTCTTACAAAAAAATAGTTATTATAGAGTATTTCTTACAAACCAATTACTCTGTGTAGGCGATGAAAGCCTATGTTTACAAGCAGTGGCATTTAACCTTAAAAAAATATACTGCGGAATACTGGCAACTGCTCATTACCTTAAAAAAAAGACATCAATGTAAAGAATACCAGGCAAGTTTGAACAGCACAATGGCACACATCCATTCCTTGTTATTATTCTGATAAACGGCGATCATTTATAATAATCTTGTACCTTATAATGTCCGTTGCCTGTATTCTATCTATTTATAATTTAAGAAAAAAGAACAAATTGTTAAAAAAAAAACTTATCCCATTTAAATAAAAAGAAGAGTTTCATAAAAATAAAGAAAACATAGAAGAATGTGACTAACTCCTCCCGCTACTAAAATACTTTTCATTCAACCAAAAAAAAGGCCTCCTGCTGCGTGAGTGCGATTCACGCCCTTCTGATTACCTTTGCGAAGGAATAAGGTAGGTACTTTTATTTACATCGCACTGGAGCTGCATAATGGGATAATAGCGACTATCTGTAAAACATCCATGAGGATGATCTGGAGGCATGCCATCTCAATTTTAATCCTCTGCAAAAGAAATCCCATTTGTGAGATCATTTCCTCAATTTAGACACAGATCTGAAGTGGAAGGAAACTTTCCACAGATCCCTGTATCTATGGTACTGCTCAGTGACTGACCACAGAACTTTCGATTTCACGAGCATGTACTCAATTGGACTTATCGGAGTCGAGGATCGAAGTCCAATAATCACGGGTCTCTATCTTTTAAGGAATTGGTAACTAATTTTAAACCATAGTTTCTACTACAGAATGGCAACAAGGAAATGATAACGTCGGATCAATGGGCTTTTCGCANGTGCAAATTTTTTCCCCACTACCTACCCGCAAAAAGACTAACTAATCATGTTCTCCATTTTTTTCTGCTATAGGCCTTCGATTTGATGTGAATTGTACGATGAGTTGTTGTAGTTGTAGCTCGTTTACGCAGTACTAAAGCTGCACAATGGGCTATTGGCGACGGTCTGGGAAACATCCCTGAGGATGATCCGAAGACATGCCATCACAATTTTGATCCTCTGCAGAGGGGATGGCACCCCCACCCCTTCGGTAGCCCAACGACCTGCCTGAGAAGTCGAACACTTTACGGGAGAACAGTTTAACGAGGACCAATAACACACACCCTCGGTCCCTGCGCAGACTGATCCAAGTGGTCAACCACCCGCACTGACTGCAGCCAGTTATGCTTGACTTCGGTAATTTGCCGGGAACCGTCCACTGTGGCCACTGAATCTGATAAATGCACAGTAAACAAGCGTCATCTTTTGCAAGAAACTCAGCAATCGGGTTCGCTTCTTCTTGGGACGGAGAACGGAGATGCGCTTATTCTATTTCGACTGTAATTAAAAGTGCGTGATTTGTGTGCAGCAAAAATAGTCTTTGAAAAATATTTTTTTATAAATTTTAGAGGCTGGCTAATGTTTTTAGATTTGAGCCGGGCTGAAATAGATGGACAAAATCGAAATGCGGTAAACAAATCGGCTTAAAGCTTGTCAAAATGCGATTGGATGAAAAATGAATGAAGAAATAAGTCTTGGAATAAATATTTATAGCAGTTTCAAAATAAAACTGATATTTAATACTTCAAGATTTAATTTTTTAACGTTTAATTAAATAGAATTTATAAATAGTGATCAAAACATGTCTATACTTTTAGTGGGATCAGCGATATTATCGTGTTGTTCAAATGTTGTTTTTTTAGAAGTTTTTATAAGGTTTAGTTATATCTTATAAATTCTATAAACTTGTAAATATTTGTAGATTTTAATAATTGTTCTTATTTTTCGTCTGTTTTAATAATTATAAAAATAGTTGCTTTAAGTGCAAGTTTCATTTACATTTATTTTAGTAGGCAGCTGAAGCTTAATTTAATGCATTTTGAAAGCACAAATTTTAATTGTTATGCCAGTTTTAAAGCACAAGTTGCAAGTTTTTTAATTTATATTTGACAGAAAACGTTAAATCTTTGTTTCTTTTTTACGAAAATCGTGCCCTCCAATAATTTTCCAAAACTTAAACAATTATTTATATGACGTTTCTTTTTATAAACTAAGAAATGCTGTTTTATATGAAATTTCACTGTTTGGTTAGATTGTAGAATTATGGTCCAATGAATTAGGCACTGTACCTGTACTTTTTATTGTATCTTCTAGTTCCTTAATTTTTCTATCTCCATTTCTTATTGTTAGAAAATCGCAGTTTTAAGTCATTTCTCTGTTTTCTGTAAGAATACAAAGATTGCAAAAATATAAAAAGGAAGAAAGTTTTAACAAATCAAAAAATGTTTGAGTAGTTTGATGATTTATGTGTAATTTAATAAAATAATATAACAATTACCATATTCATGCATGTGATACATTGAATATCTTTAAATGATTTATTAATACTAATTTTTATTATTCAATCATAATATTTTCAAAGGAACAAAATTTAGGAAGAATTACACCAAAAGTTTCATATTGTTATGTTCAAATTGAACATGAAACTTACGCCTGTTTTCTTTAGATTAAATTATTAGCTGATTTATATAGTTCATGTCATGTAAACGTTTAATAGATTAGATGTGTTTATGCTTTTAGCATGTATTCTAATAATTGTTATGTTATTAGTTATGTATTCTTATAATATTAAACCTAAAAATATAATTAATAAATTCTTATAATACTAAAATAAATTGCATTTGATCCACAGTACCCTTCATTGCTAAATATGGAAAATTGCTCATAAATTTAGAGATATTTTTAGTGTTTTGTTTTTTGTGTACCTCCTATTAAGTTTAATTAAAATACATAATTACCTAGGGTATGACTTAAAATTGTCAAAGTAATTTTCTTTTTGTAAAAAAAAAGGTTTTTTACTATTTGGGAGTCACTATATTTCAACTAGGTATTTTTTTAACACAAAACAAAGTGCCCATCACCCAGAAAAAGGGATGATTTATGTATTAATGTCTATGCTAAAAATAATTTCTAAGTTTTGGAAACTCAGTGTCATGCGAGAAACTGAAAAGAAACATGTCACACATTAAACTCAAAAAGTATAACTCTGAACCATCCCAAGGCAAACCTCTATTTTTTCCCCCCTTAAATTTTAAAGTTTGAAATTCCTCTGCACCTTGGCTAGTGTAGTTGGCTTCAAGAGGTACTGATATCGAAAGATCCTGCCCTCCAAAAATTATGAAGTAGTTGAATTTATTTGCACCCAGTTAAAAGAAATATATATATTTCAGTTAACACATATCATATTGATCTATTTTGCTTTGGTTATATTAATACAATATTAGAAAGCACTCTTTTTTGAAGATATAATTGTGTGAGCTGATGATGAGATTATATTTTTTCCTTATTTTGTTTTCTGGTTTTTTAATTTTTTTAAATATTTTTAAAACATTTTATTTATTAATAATTTTCCTTCTTTTCTTTAAAAATATTTATACTTGTCCTTGTTTCCTTTGTATTTTTAACTAACTATTTTTAACTTCCCTTTATATATATATATATAAGAAAACTGTACCAGCCCCTCTCTCAAAATAATTATGCTAGCTATTAATTGCCAGTGTACAAAACAGTTTATGGAACAGACATTTGAAACAAACCTACTATCGAAATATAAGCAATGAAAGAGTTATTAAATAAATGAAAGAGGTATTCAAATTTTGTTCTCTTGATTATGAACTCTTAAAGAACACATACATAGTATTAATAGAAACCAATTTTCCTATTTATTTTTAGAGATGTTCCTGGAAGTGGAAATCTTATCACATTCTTTCAGTTTCTATTTATAGCATGTGAAGGATTTATTTTCACAACTAATTTTGGAAGAGTGAAACCTGTTGTGCCTCTTAAGTAAGCTTGTTTTCTAGTAATTTCTTAGGCCAGAAAAATTAAAATGTAAATAAAAAAAAAATTTAAAATGTATAATTTGAAATTTTTCCAATTTTTTTAAAAAAATTTATATTTTAGTATATGCAAACATTAGGTTTAAAAAAAGAAAAAAATATTTATCATATAGTGCTATTTTTTGTTGTTGTTGCAGGAACTATCTTGTCTTAGTCATCATGTTTTTTGCAACTAGTGTGTTAAATAATTGGGCTCTGAATTTTGATATATCAATGCCTCTACACATGATTTTTAAATCTGTAAGTAAACTATCTCTTTATAATTTTTTTAAAATTTACTTTTTACTTAGGTATATTCTATTCTATCATAAACATTGAAGTACAAAAATATAAAGAAAAATTCTAAACTTGAGTGAACTTATGGCTTAAAATAATAAAAATGATGCAAATTACAATAAATTATCAGAAACTTTTTGGTTTTTCTTATTAGGATAATGTCTGAGTAAAAAAATTATTGACTTTGTGCTTTATATGAACATGAATATAGCTCAACAATGTAAAAAAAAAAGCACATGAGTTACTCCGTAAACAGACACAAACTAAAACTGTAGTAGGTCTGTTTGAATGCAGTATTTGTGTTTTTTTTTTTCATATTGTTTAACTTTATACATTGGAATAAAATATTTTCAATGTTCTCTTTTATTTATAAATATTCATTTTTCAAATATGTCTTCAAATGGTAATAGTCCTGATAACATTGCTCTTGATGATTTATAGTTATCTATCTAAAATTGTAGTTTTAATAATTTTTACCGCTTTAGGTCTGAGTGTTTAACATTCATATTGCAAAAATTTCTTTTAAATATTTTTTGCTCTTTTTTTGATTAAAAATTAGTTGAAAAGTGAAAACAGTAGCTGCTTAGTTTTCTTGGTTAGCTCACAATTCTTAAAATAATATTATAAAATTAATAAACTATACATTTTTTTTACATAGTTTATTTTTTATAAAGCATGACAGGAAAAGTATTTGAACATTCTGTTTCATTCTATAAAAATTAGGAGCATTTCATCACAATAAGGCAGGACTTTTAAAAAGCTTTCACTACAAAAACAGAAAATTAATAAATCTGTATGTTAAAATGCATTATTTGCTGCATTAGTTTACCTGTAATAGCATGTGGCTAAAATTTCTCTTTTTCAGCATTTTAAACTATTTACTTCATTGTTTTAATTAATTAATTCACTTTTCTTTTTATCTTTTTACTAAGGGTTCATTAGTGACAAGTATGCTTTTAGGAATGCTAATTCTTAAAAAAAGGTAAGTGTTATCATAAATATTTTTGAACTCCATTAAGAAGTTATTTTAAACTATTTTGTTTCAATTTCGTATGTGTTTCTTTTTTAAGTTTGTGAAACATGTTTATTTCAATTGAAAATGTTAATCAAATTAAAGCAGCCATGACACTTGTTCCTTGGAAGTACATATTGTGATTTCTCAAACAACTTGTAAACTTGACAAAAAAACACTGTCATTTTTACTTGATTAACTGGTTACTGCTGATAACTGAATAATCGTTGATGCATGTGCATTAGTACTTAACTTTCATACATGCTTTCAGTAAATATAACATTAAATATTTATTAATATATTTCTCATAATTATTTTACTCCACAGTGGCAACTGTGTTTCAAAAGCGAAACAGAGGCTCAATTTGTAACATTGATTTACAAAGTCAATAAAATTATTCATTGTGTACAAATTTTATTATATATAAGGTTAGATATATTCTGCTATTGATATATAAAGTCAGTAAAAGGATAACATTTAACATCAATTATTTTAAAATATCTGGTTAAAAAATTAAATTTAGCTAATTAATAATGCTTTTCACTTTGCAATAAAAAAAAGATTTGTTTATTATTTTAGTAGGTATGTACCTTGCTAAAAATAAGTCTATTAAATAATGAGTTCAAACTTTTTTTATTATTTAAAAAAAACGTGATCTTTCTTTGATGTGAACCTTGTGAAAAAAATACTTTTATGATGCAATGAATTTAGTTTTTCGATTCATTGATAATACATTAGTTAGGTATTCTTTAATTTGATAAAAATATTCTATTAATTTAAAAGACCAAGTAGAACAGATTAAGTCTGTATAATATTTACAACATGCAGATAATATTTCAGAATTAAAAAACTTGAAGCTTTGCATATTTTATCTTCTTTTGAGAATCAAACTATGCTATAGAATAAAGAATTCTATTTTTATTTGTTTAGTATAAAGGAAAAAAAGGTTTGGTTAAAGGGAAAAAAATCAGTTTGTCAAAAGATAGATTTCAGTATTCATTCAGTTATATAATTTCAGTAATTTTTCAAAATGAAAATGTTTAGCATTAGTTATGTAGCCTTAATTATGCTAATTTTTTAGCATTAGTTATGTAGATTTTTCCACTTAACTTTTAGTGACAAGGCCACACGTTGACTAGGTTATGCATCTCTAAATTTTTTATTGCTTTACTTCACTTCACTTTTATCACTTTCTATTTTGACCTAAAATTATGAAAATAAAAAAAATACTTTAAATAATTGTATTTTTTTTTCAGGTACACATTTTCTAAATATGTATCTGTACTTATGGTTTCTGTTGGTATTTTCATAGCTACATGGGCATCACAAAGTATAAATGTAATTTTTCCATTTTTATTCAAATCTTTTCATTTTCTTTTCTTTCAAAAGTTATCTTTTAGTTTTAATGTTAAAATATCAGTAAATTAAACAAAAATACTTTTTATTTCAGAACAAAATGCAGAATACTAAAAGGGAGAATATGTTTTCGGAAAATCAGTCTTTAATTGGTACCTCATTTATGTGTTCTTACTTTTATACAAGTAAAAAATACATAGTACATTTTTTGCTTTTCAAAATTTATTATCTATTATGCAAAATATTCCCTTCATCTATATCCAAATCCTATAATAAAATTGTTTTATGTTATTTTTAATTTATAAATGTATATATTTGCTAAAATTTAAAAGAAATTTTTTTTCTCTCTTATTTAGTTTCATTTTTTAATACAAATATTGATAAAAATTGTATCAATCTTGATTAAAAACTCATTAAAAAACTGAAGTTTTATATTACAGTTATTAGTGATTTATTTTCTAATTTTGATAATATACATTTCTTACAGGTCTTAATTTTTTTTAAAAAAAATTTCTAAAATTGTTTGAATAATTTAATTTTTAACTGTAAGTTTTTTTTCTTCTTTTACACAAAAATGTCTTCCCTTTATTATGTAACTTTTGTTGTGATAAAATTATTTATCAATGCATTTTCTCCCAGGTATTTCTTTGCTGACACTTGCACTTCTTATATCAGCTGGTTTAGGTATTTACCAAGAACGTATTTTTAAAAAATATGGAAAACATCCAAAAGAGGCTCTGTTCTACTCAGTAAGTATTACTATTTTTTGTTATTGAATCTTTTTTACTCTCATAATACTAAAATCATTCTGTAGAAGGATGTGAAATTTCCACTCGTCAGATCGTCAATGGCAATTAAATATTTAAGACTGGTATTGCTTTTTGAGGCATGTAAATTGTTGAGTTTTAAATTTAACTTACACTTATCTAACATAGCTACATAGTTAAACTACATAGATTATCTTGATTTAATCCAGCAGCTCCTGGAAGTGTTTTAAATCACGAGACTGCATTTTTCTTTTGTTTAGAACAAAAAATGCTGAGTTGAAAATGTTGATGAATGCTGAAAAATGCTGATGAATAAAAAATGCATTTTTCACTCAAGAAATTTTGTAGAAGCATTGAGACCTTATGACAACCTTATTTTGGTTTATTATTATTGCAAAAACATAAATTACAAATAAGTTCTTTCTTTTATGGTTTTTGTTATCAAATGTTAACATTTAAAAAATTGTTCAGATTTTTCATTATTGCAAAATAATTGTGAGTAAAAATTTTAGTCTGCTTAGTATCCCCAGAATTGAAATATAGTATAACTCCACTTCATTGAGGAAGCTTTCTGTTATGATTTATGTTACAAAACGTTACAATTATGTTAGTATTATAGATATCTCACTTAAATGTTTCCTTATTATGAACAATTTTAGTGCAAACTATAGTATAGTGGTTGAACATAACATGTCGTAATTATATGCTATGTTTAAAGGTTTAGTATCCTGCAAGTATAGATTTATATAAATTATTACAATTTTCTCTAGCTAGATTCTTATACAATTTGTCTAAAATTAATTTTCTTAAAATATTTGATTTTAGGATATCGTTCTATCTCAGATTTGTTTTAATTTTTCAAAAACGTATCTATTTTTGTCACCTGCAATATTTATTAGAAAATAAGTATTTTCCTTTTCATATTGGTATGTTTTTAGTATTAATATATTAAAATTCAAAAATATTTTAAAACTAGAAATCACTTTTATTTTAATTATTAATTTTGTTTTTCTAGCATGCTTTACCTCTTCCTGGGTTTTTATTATTTAAAGATATTTATTCTTTGCTGCCATCACTTTCAAAATCAGGTAAGCTATGATATATTTTTGGAATTATTTTTGAACTTAATCTTAAGAAATGTGTTTTATTTCTTTTCGTATTTTAAAAGATTTCATAATTTAGTATTAAAAATTAATTTTGTAGACAATCATTAAAGTATTATTCTTTAGTAATCTCAATACCATCTCTTACTACTGTATGATGATTGTTGTCATTCACATTAATAACTATTTTAAACTTTCTTTTAAATGTAAATGAAAGATTACAAATAGTATATTCATTTTCAATTCTATATTGAAGTTAATATATATATATTACTTTCTGGGTCATTTTTAAACACTTCTTCGAAAAATATTGTCACTAAATATTATATTATGAAATATTTACTGTCTGCCTTTAAGTCTAGGTTCATCAGACTCCCCTTAGTCACATGCTCTATCTCTTTCCGCGATTTTGTCAGATAGAGGAGGGAGTCTCGTTAAGATGCGCTCTTTTTTCTGGTAGATCTGTGTTTTGTATTTATAAAGTCAATAGAGGTTAAAAGCTTCAGGAGCGTTGAAGTAAGAGGATCAATGAAATATTCGACCATTTTTTGACAAGATTTTGCTAGATTAAAAATTATTTTAGAATTTAAATTTTTTAATATGCATAAACTGTACCAAATTGTATACATTTCTACAAAATTAAGAAATTTTATGATTTTTGGAAGGATAATGTGAAACATTTTAATTGTGTTTCACGTAATTTACACTACCAAAATGAATGTCCATATTTATAATTAAATTTAAAAAGCAGTTTTTTTTCTGTTAAACTTCAAAATTTTTAAATTGTCAAGAAAATTACTACATCCAAATTAATTAATAATATCTCAACAAAATTTATTTTAATAAAAATTCATCTAATAATGTTTTATATATTTTAAAATAGAAACTATAATTAATTGAAAAACTTTTTTATTTTTTGAAGTTTGTTCATATATCAGTTAAAAATCAGTTAATTATTCTTGAGGTACATAATTATAATGTAATTATATTTTAGAATTTATCTTAGGTAGTTCTTTAGTTAAAAAAAGCGCCTTTAAATTTTATTTCAGTATAGAAAACAATTGTATAATATCTTGCAAAATCATTAATATCTTCTCAGGTATTAGGCAGTTTTCTAAATATTTACCAGAAAAAATATAAGGCATATCAAAAAATGATATGAAAATTGAGAATAAAATTCTGTATCACATTAAAATAAAAAAAATACAATTCCCTCTTTTTAACTGCGATTTTATTTTAACTTTACATCTGCTATGATAAGGTTAAACAGCTTTAATGCTTTTGACAGTATTCTCGATTGTTTTCATGTACTATTACAATTTAAAAAGATATGATGATTTCATTAAAAAAATAATAATTAAGTGCTAAAAATCTTTGTCCTATTTATCAAATCCTTTGTATTAATCTTTCTTGATCCCTCTTTTGTATGAGCAAATGTATGTTATGAACGAAACCAACCAAATACAAGCAGCTGGAATTATAAAAATATGTAGAATTTTTTTTTTTGAAAACATTAGAGAGATTAAAATAATACAGCATAAATAAACAAGAAAGAAAAAAACACTGCCAAAAATTTGACCTTTATATTTTAGCAATAAAATTAAAATGTTATAAATTAATAATAAATACCGTCATTCGGGGCTACTTTGTGCAGGATTTCGCAGTTTTTGAACTTTGACAGGTAAAAAAACTATCTTAATTCAAACTTTAGTAAAATTTATCGATATTATATTCATAACTGGACTCAGACGAGTGAATTTGATCAATATTGGCATTATTTGTTTGTAATATATACGAATAATAAGTCAAAACATGCCTTGCACAAAGTAGCCCCCAAATGGGGCTACTTTGTGCAGCGATAGGAATTCAGTTTAATAATCATGTTTTTAGTAAAATATTGATATAAAATTGTTAAAAAAAATAATTGTTGACATTTTTAAAGACAAAAACATCAAGATATGTAAAGATATTAGTTTGAAAATAATTGTCAACGTTAAAAAAAACATTTTTTTTGAAGAATTTTTTTTTAAAAAGAATGTTTATTTCAAAACATTTGAGTTTAAACAAAAGGAAACCATATACTTTTTTTAACATTGAAATGGATGATATTTCAAAAATAATAATTATTACATGTTCATTAACATTTATAATATTGATAAATTTGAACATAACATGCTTGAATGAACATGACAGAACTTGATCTTCAGTTTCTGTCAAAATCACCTGATGTTCTATAAAATATATTTTTATGAGTTAAATCGTTTGATTAATTCATTCGAAAAATCTTTGTAGAAGAAAAATATTAGTTTACCAGGAAGTTTCACGTGTTTCTTGTGGAATTTTATTAGAGATAGTATTTCTGCGGATTTTGTACTTCCGAGAAGCTTCTGCAATCGACATACCACCAGCAACTGCTTGCAAACATTGTTGCAGCTTTTTTAAAGAGTAATCACGGTAGTTTCTCGTTCCAGGTATTTTTTTAAAAACGTCTGACCATTTTTCTGTCGGAAAAAAAAAACGAATGAAACTTTGAACAAAGTAGCCCCAAAGTGCATTTTTTTTCATTTTCCGTTTATTTGTTATTAATTTTCAATTTTTTTTTTACGCTAACATGATATAATTGTTTATTAATATATAAATAAAAAATTTTGCACTTACGACAATTGCTTTATCTACGTCTTTGCATTTCACATCTAAAGCTTCCACGCACACTTTTCGACATCCGACGTCCTCGGAAAGTTGTTGACACTAGATGAACGAAACACACTCTGAGATTGTTTTAAAATTCGAAAAAATGTTTGTAGTAATAGAAGAGACTTCTATCTTCAAATTCCACACATTTTTAACGTGAAATAAACATAATACTGAATAGCAGCACTTGAAAAATGCCAAATTCGAATTTGCACAAAGTAGCCCCGAACAATGGTACTTCTATAGAATCATTACTTTATGGAGTAGATATGATCTTATTCATTTATATTTGCTTGTAAGATAGTTTTAAAAACATAAATTTGGATTTCAGAATGAATAAAACAAAATAATCGGGATTCATGCGATGTTTTAATAAAAAGCAGAACATGCTAAAAGTTCATTTATATTGTAAATAAGAGAATTTAAAATTTTTTAAAGAAATAATTATGAAATGTATAAGGTTTCCTTTTAACAAATTTTTCCGTACAAAACGGTAAGTAAAAGAATTGCCCTCCCATTTCACACTTCTGTCACATAGTACTATTCTGAGGACAAAAATTGTTCTTAAGTGTGCTCTCTACTATATTCCACCTTTATAGCTTCTCTCTGAAAAGCAACTCCATAATTGCTTATTCATGCTTAATACTTCTGATTTATACTCAAATAAAATGATCTGAGTCTTAATGTTGATATAAGAATAATGTCGTCTTTTCTACAAATTAATAATAGATTGAATGATAATATATTTGTAAAAGATGTTTGCGTACATAAACGTTGCATTTGAGCTTAGATGGTGTAGACTGATAAACATAAAAAGTAACTAATTTGCTTTGTTGTAATTAAATGAAAAATCAATATTTTACTTTCTAGACTGTTTTATAAAAAGTCAATTTTATAAAAATTAGTAATTTTATTATTTACAAATTTTGTTGAATTTTCGATATCTTAAGTTATATACATCAAATATATATATACATTTTGCTTTTTTAGAAGTTATTTACATTATTCCTCCGATTGGCCTTCCCAAACTTTGGTTGTGTCTACTTGGTAATGTTATTACTCAGTATCCTTTAAATTTTCTTGGCTCGTTTTCCAACTTTCATTTGTCTTGGACAGACCAGGTTGTATCAGACACAGTACTATATTTATTTAGACTCATTCATTTTATAGACTTTTTTTTTATATTGTTATTAATTTTTTTAATATTTAAAACTGTGATTATGCAGCATATAAAAAAGCTAATTTTAATATGTTTCACCTTTCCTAGAGTGGTAACTAAAAAATCTTATTAGTAAATGAGACCACATAATTCTTTATGCAGAAAAAAATCAATGAGTGAGGCAGAGCATGCTATTGTGTTATTAATAATGGGGCAAGTATGAAATAATTAATTTCATCATTTCGATTGCATCTTTCTATAGGCAGACCCGTATAACATACATGGAGGTGCGAACAAATTATACAAAAAATTTGTCACCATTGCTGAAATTTTTACTATAACCAAAAAAGAAAAAGAATAATCTGCCACCAAAAAAAAAGTATCTTTTCCTAATTCTCAAGGGAAAAAATATTCGTTTTTGCGCTACCAATGTAAACAAGATTTAAAATTACACTTTGCGATTTATATTTACAGGATTTAAGATCATGTTTTGTACTTTCATAATTTTATATTAAATATCACTTTTTGTATTCGTGCGATTTAAAAGCCACTATTATGATTCTTGCTGAATTCTGCTTTGTTTTTGCACTATATATTTTTTTAATTAAGAAACAGTGCATAAAATAACTATTTTATTATCAAATTCAAATTTTGACCTTTATTTTTATCTGATTTGATGTTTCTTTAACATGCAATAGATACATCTGTGTTCGAACAGTATTTACGATTGCTGCAAGATTTTCATCGCTTGATGTTACTATGATTATAACGTGTCGAAAATTCATATCTTTACTTTTTTCCATATTTTATTTTCAAAATCCATTTACTGCTCTGCATTGGTTTGGTACATTTCTAGTATTTGCTGGCTCTCTACTGTTTGCTGATGTTATTAATCTGAGAAGAAAAGAAAAAATTAATTGAAAATTTATTTCAAGATTTGATGGTTGTTGAGACATTTGCATTTTGTTGTAGATTTTTTTTGGAAATTTATACTTTATTTATTTTATACATTTATACTCTTTGAAATAAATTATTTTAAATACAAAGTAACTTCATTTATTTCTTTTAAAATTTAGATTTGTGGCTTAATGTAAGGACAACCTTTATTAAAGTTAAAAGGTTGTTTCATTCGTCATAAAATAGGACAGAAAAATCAAAAATACTTTTTGTAATGCCTTAACAAAATTAAATATCTATTTATATTTTTGAATTCAGCTGTTCTTTCATTAAACCCTTCGTTAAACTGTAACTATAGCTGGGTAAAATTTATTTTACAAAAAAAAGGAAAAACAACACTTTTAAATACTTTTTAAGAATAAATTGTATTAAATTACATTATTATACATCTATCATTATAATGATTAGTAAATGTATTTTATAAATTAATTTTTTAGACTAAACAACATAGCATATATCTCTGCATTTAAGTCAAATTTTCAAATGTAGAAAATCAAGGGGTTGACTTATACAGCGGTAATTAAAATCAGATATTCGTTGACCGTGAAATATTGATGCATTTAATAACATCTTCTTTACTTTTGAAGGTTTTTTTTAGAAACAATTACGATGAAAAATTCAAATTACGTTGATCAGAAAAAGAAAATATAATTTATTCAAGAATATTTCCAAAATATATCACACTGAAAACTTTTAAAGCAAACCATAAAGCTAAAAATTTTAACAGCAGAAATTCAAAAGAATCGTCTTTACCCCCATTTGAAGAATTTAAAATTCCACACTTTTTAAAAGTTTCACAATAACTTTATTTGAGGGTAAATGTTATATTGAGGGAGTAAAATATGAACTATTTTTAACTTGAGAAAATTGTATTGACTTCATTTTTTTTATGTTTTTTAATGTTAACCATTTTCGTATTTAGTTTTATCAGTGGTAGACTTAAAACACCCGGCATACCAAAAATATGAAGTTCACTTACATACCGGTATTCATAAGTAAATATTACCTAAAATTTTTTTTTACATTTTAGTGTACTTAGAATTCATTTAAGTTTACATTTTTACAGTCAACAACTATTCTTTATTAAAGAAATTTCAATGTTATATATATATAAAAAAAATGGGAAGGTAAAGTTTTATAGATAACATAAAAACATGACAGGGTCAGGTTAACAAAGATTCTTCTGTATTTGACGGTTAGAATGTTGAAAGCTAGTATCTGCAATGGATCACTTCATTGAGATGTTAATGCATTATCCCCTAAGCGACTAAATGAAGAAAAAAAAATTTATGTCAGCAGGCGCAAAAAATTGGAAGGTTAAGTTTATATAAATTTTAGCATCCCTATATACACAACAGCCTTTTCATAAAATCTTACATGAACAATTTATGTTACGCTTCTAATTGTACTATTGGGTGGAAAAACTGTGTGCAGTATGTCTGTAGTTATGTCTATAGTGTAGTAACTGTTAATGTTTTTCTCTCTTAGTTTAGGAAAAGGAAGTATTTTATTGATCTACTAACTTTCTTCTCTTTGACATTAGCAATACATATAAGGTTTGACAGAAGGTGCTAAAATTTATGTTAACAATTTAATTTTACGAATATATTAAATGTATTTCATAAACAAAATATGCAACATTTTTATATCATAACGTAATCTATAAATATTGGTGATATTAATCAAAGAGACAATAGAGAAACATTTAATTTATGGTATCACACCTGTTTCAATGTCTAAAGTCCATTCAGCAGTTTAACTTTTAAAAAAGGATAAAGAGATACTGAAACACCTTAAGATGTGTTAGTGTAGATTATGTTAAAAAAAAATGGCAATTTTCCTTTGTGGAATATAAATATTTTCTTCAATGATTAATAATTTTTTTAAATTTTTTATCTGTACATTTAGTATCAAACACTCCTCATATGTGTATAGTTCTTGACAAATGAATGCAGAAACCATTATTTTTTATATTTTTTAAAAAATATTACAGTATTAAAGTTTAAATATAAAACTAATTGTAAGGAGAAAATTGAACAATGATTGCTTGAAGTAATTTTAATAGGTAAGATCTGAAGAAAAAAAAATTAAAATATTTTTCCAATTTAGTTTGCAATTTCTTTCAAAAGATTATAATGTTGAATATATTTACAATATAAAAAAACAACTAAAAATAATTTTCACAATGCTTAAAAGTATTTTTAATGAGTTCTTTTAGGGTATCAAATAATTGTTGATTTCTAATAGTACAAAATTATATAACAATTTTTAATCTAAGATGGATGACGTTGTTGTGGGGGTTGATACAATTTTACTGATGGCCTGAAGTCATGTCGTTGTTGTTGTCTTTGGTCGTCATGTCGTTGTTGTCTGTGGCCATCATGACGTCTTTGACCTTGACCAGATCTGTGTCGATTATCTTGATAATCAGAAGAGGATCGAAAATCTTGATCTCTTTCTCGGCCATTCCAGTGACTTGGTTGAAAGGAAATAGGTCCAACATTCTGAAATAAATAGATTAATTTTTTAAAAGATGGTCAGCGGAAGTTAATTACTCATTTCTTTTTTATACACTTTGTACATAAGTTAATTAATTGTTACTCTCTTATAACTTTCGTAGAATTTCAGATTTTTCACTTTTTGCCAATCTCATTCCTCAAGTTTAGGAAATAGGGTGCCCTTTTAATTAATGGAATATTTTTTTGGCTATTTATGATTAAGTCATACAATTTGGATGTTAATTATACAAAAATATTAAGTCAGTTCTGTAACAAAGTCAGTCAAATGAAATGTTAAAACCAGTATATGTAAAAAAAATGAAAAAAAATTTGATATGTTTAAATGCTAAAAAGCATAACAGAAGAAGCTTGCAAGTAAGTTTTTTCTAATAGAATTATTTTAAATATTGAGAAAAGATATTTCTATTCAAGCAAAAGTTTACAACTTAAAAATTTGAGCAATTCAGAACTGACATGACGGGCTCTTTGATTTAGAACTCACCTACAGCATTAAATTTGGAGGGAAAATAATAATAAATGTATAAGTAAGAGAAAAAAAATATGCACATTATCATTTGAAAGATACAAAGAATTAACAGTGAAACCAGAACAGTCACTACATTGTCACATTATATGTAGAAGGAAAAAAAATATTAATGCTCTGCAGTATAAACATGATAATTTTGAAAAATTGATGACTTTTTTTTTAAGCCTATAATTTTTTTTTTATCCTTTTTGAATTAACGAAATACTGTAATTCCTAGTTTGTTAATTATTAAATTTGTAACAAATAATCCTAGTAATTTTATTATTTATATTCCGCAGGTCAAAAGTACCCACTGTTTTTGTTATGTAACTTATTTAAGTAAAAGTAAATTTTTCTTAAAATTTTTTATAACATTAGATATTATTAAACATTAATTTAATACCTTTAGAATAAAAAATATACTAAATATTAAGTAACTCTTAAGATTAAATGATATATTAGATTATTTTTGAAAAAAATTAACAGAGATTTTAGGATGAAAAAACAGGTTTTTCAGTTAATTAATCACTTTGAAACTTTATTACTAAAAAACTGCAGACTCAAATAAAACTTTGTTTCGTAATTAGACAGTTGCAGACTCAATTTGTAATAGGACAGTTACACCATAGGAAGAGATGACAAGGAAATTTTATTGTAATGTTTACAAATATACATGTATAAAAATAAAAAAATTGTGTACTGGCGATAGATCAGCAACAGATGTGTTAATAATATCTAATAGTGTAATTTATTCCAGATAATAGGGTTAGTATGGGAATAATAATAGTGTAATAGGGTTAGTATGGGCTAGAAAAAGAACTTGAAAAGAAAAATACAAAGATGCAAAAATATCATTGCAATTCCCATATATTTATTTAAATATTATGTTTCTATTTCATATGCATCCATTTGACAAAAAATTTCTGTTCATTAAATAAGATACAATAATAATCATAAAGAAACGGGGTGCGTAGCGTTTTTAAAAAGTGCTTAAAGGTGCTTATTTTTGATTCACGTTTCTCAAAAGCCCTTAAAGGTGCTTTTTTTATTCGGTGTTAGTAAAAAGTGTTTAATTTTCTATCTTTTAATAAGAGATTTTTTCGTTGCTGTAACGATTGTTGTTCTAAATTACAAAAAATGCATTATTTTCAGAATTTTCTCTGCACTATTTATCAGAGACTAGTTATATCATCATGATTATGTCAAGTTTTTGAAAATGTTATTGAATTTTATTGATTTCATGTTTATAAATTAAGTACCTTAAACGATAGAAAAAATAATTTTTATTACTGCACAGATCCTAATTATGATTTTTTTTGGAAGGTGAATAAAAATATTTTTCGAGTACTTGAAAGATGCTTATTTTTTGCAGGGTTCATTCTAGACTAAAAAAAGGGCAGGGTGCTAAAATTGAAAAGGGCACTATACTTTTAAAAAAAAGGGCAGCAAGTTTAAAAAAGGACATTGTATTTTATAAAAAGGGCAAATATCTTACCCTTCTTTGCATAGTTAAAATGAATAATTATATATAAGTTTACTTTTATCACTAATCACAATTATAATTATCAAATGTATAACTACAATTTTCCAAGGAAAAAAGGCTACAGTTTGAATTGAAAAATTTAAAAAAAAATTCAAACGAGGTTTTTTTCCTTTATCTCAATATTTCTTAGTTCACTAAAAATATATTTAAAATTTTACACATACCTTTGAAAGACNAACTTGCATTTCCTGAACATCATCCACTACTACTTCTTCATAATTTCCATAGTCAGTAAAGAAAACAACACACGTTTTGCCCTCGGGTCCAACACCAGTTACTTTAGCAGGATAAAACTTAAAAGAAAAATTTAATAGTTCAGTAAAAGAGTGTAGAAACAAAACATTATCGTAAAAGTATTAATACAGATAAGGTTTAAAAAGTGACATAATAGTGATACCAAAAGCTAGTACAGGGATAATCTAATTGATAATAGATGGTTACACTTATCAAAAATATTATTTTTTTTTTTTTAATAATTATTTAAATTATTCAGAGGAGCAATTAAGAGCCTTTTTAGTGATAAAAAGGACAAAATTTACGTGCAGACAAGATGTTTGGATGTCTACTGGAATTATGTGATGGAAATATTTTAAAGTATGTAAAGAATGAAACTGGAAACAACACTAAGGTACAGTTAGCTGTTAAAATGTCAACTTTGGAAAAATATTAGCTAATTACTATGCTGCTAAAGATCCTCATTCAATAAAGTATTTTCTGAAGAATAAAAAAATAAATTCTGCAATGATTTTTATCCCTACTTTCTCTTACAAGGTGGCCACAGAACAGGAAAAAGCAGGAACTTTTAGCAATTTCGAAATGAACTAAAATACCAAAAAAGTCAGGGAAAATGAATAAGTTTAAGGTCTTCAGCAATTTCGCCAGCGCATCAAATATGTCAAAAAGCATTGGGGGGAAAGTTATGACTTGTCCTTTAGGAAGCATTGATTTGAGCATGAATCATTGATCTTAGATTCTGTTCATGATAAGCCTTAAATTGAATTTTTTCAGTGAAATACATTAACTATTAATTAATTGCTGCAATAGCATTATTATTATAATTACTCTAAATAAGCAAATTTTTATAAATATTTATGTTTATGGATCAAAATTGTCATAAGAAACATTAGACAATGAGAGAAAAGTTTTTAAAAGAATGATGATTTGCTAAGCTATAAATAGACTTAACATGCTTCGGCTTATTGCAATTAACTTTTAATAAGGCTAATTGCAATAAACTTTTAATAAGGCTGCTTAAAATAAGTCTTCACTCCTCAAAGATTATTGCAACAGCTTGAAATAAAATAGTCTGCTTTTGTAATGAATAGTACAATATTTACCAATTAATATGAGGCATGTGAGATCACTGCAATAGGCCTAAAAATTGTCAGGTTGCTTAGAAAATACTGGAAATTTTATGGTACACAGAAAAATGACAGTAGCATTTTGCAAGGAGCCAGATTATTCAATAAGTCGTCATAGATGTAAACATTTGAAGAGCTTGGTAAAAAATAACGTTAAAGGATATTTCAGTGTGATTTTATAAAAATGTTAACTGGTCTCTAAACATGAAACTGTTTACAATGTGCCTTTTTCCACCAAAAACACTTTATTTAATGACTCAGCAGACTAATTTGATGTTTTATAACAATAACTGACTTAAAAAAAAAAAGAATTGTAAAATTTAGTGTATTAAAAATATCACATACGATTTATTTCCCACTAAGCTCTTCATTCATTACGCTATTATGTATTATCATTTAGGCAACTCATTAAAAGAAATGAATTCCTACCTTATGATCTTCCCAATATTTAGCCAGAACTTCTGCACCAGGTATAATAAAAGGTTTGTTAGGTATTGTAACAGTTCCCTCGTTGGAATGGTCATAACCATGCAATTTAATACTAGAAATTCTTTGTGATAGATCCTCCACATTGCTGTGATCATTTCCATAAGGTCTATCTGAAGAAGTTCTTGAATTTTCATAGAAGTTTGAACCTTTTGAAAATTTCTTTGAAGAATTGGCACTGTCATTTCCACGATAGGTATTGCTGTTAAATGTTCTTTGTTGTTGATGGGTATTCTGATTTCTAGGATTTTGAAAATCGTTTTGAAACTTATTTCGCTGATCCATTCTTTTGTCTTTAGAATAAAACTGTCCTTGGGTAGAGTTTTCTGATGGAACTTGAGTTCGAGGTGCGTCCTGGTGTGCCCAATTTTTACCATTTCTGTTGTTGTGGTTATTGCCACCATTATTATTTCTGGGATATTTGTAATCATTTTGGTTTCTGGGTGGTTGCCGATTGTCGTATTCGTTAAAATTACGATAGGGTTTGGCATGATTGGCGGTATCACTAGAGTTACCAGATAAATTGTGAGGGAAATTAGATTCAGGTTTGGTGTTGCTCTGTTTCTGTAAGATAAAAATATTGAATTAATTACGAAAAAAAAATTCAAGTAATTTGGTAACAGAAAAATTTAATGTGAATAAAATTAGCATGATGCTATACATCAAAATATTCCTCAAAGCATGTGATTTATTTCTTTTCAATGATGCATACTGATTAATATTCACAAAATTTACAAGTTATACATTGCAATTTATAAATAATACACTAACAGTTACATTATAAATTAATATGAAATCACTACATAGATTAAAATATAATTCAATAGAACTGAAAATAATCTTTTACAAAAAGTTTCGTGGCCTGCAAATTGAGATTCTACAGCAGAGTTTCAAAAAAAGTTCAGGTTTCAAAACAATAAATTAGATAATGAGATGAATTTGGTCTAATCATAGTTTGATAATAAAAAATAAAATAACTATTCAACAGCTTTCAAATGGAAATAACAGCAAGTTCTTGGTTCTCTCCATGTGAAATCACGAATTAGAGAACCACTACTTGTAAGCAATGGCCATTAATATGACAGCGGAGCTCTTATGGCATAAGAAAGCATCATGTTGTACAGTTTTATACTCTTCTGGGACTTCAAAAAAGACAGTGTGACAAGCGAGAGGTATATAAATTGGGTCAGGGTTCACTATATTCCCTTCTCTCCATATCGAGCTCATCTGTTCAACAATGTTCTAGAAAGTAAAAAAAAAATTGTGGGATGGATTGGCCATCTTTTAGATGTAAAGCTTTTATATCTGTAAGAGGATACCATACCCTGAATAGAGGGGAATTTTTTTTTCATTCTTAATTACTGTGTCTTCAATGAACATTATGTATGGTCACGCCTATATTATATAACTCTTGAATGATAATTTTATTTTTAATAATATCAGTTGAATTTCATTATAATGAAAGATCAGTATACTGATCAACTATAATATCAACTGAATTTTATATTGAATTTCATTAAAATCTGAGCAGTATCTTTGAAAATAATCAACAAATCTGAAACTTTTATATGCCTATAGATTTGTATAATATGGATAAATCGTATTATCTGAGACACAAATAAGTATATGGTACAGAAATAAGTAAAAAAAAAAAACTTTTTCTAATTTTTGGTTACAATTTAAAAAAAAGATAAAAATAAATGTTCTTGGAAATCTATGATACAATGCGATTAAGTAAGAAAATTTTGATAAAATGTCAACTAATAAGTTTTTTTTATTAACCATTTAAAAAAGAAACATAAATCACATGCAAATGTTTAATTAAGATTTAAATTTAAGTTAATGATAAGGTAATTTTATGATCTTATATCATTCATTGCTTAATATTTTTATTATTAAAAAAATATTGATAGTATATATATAATAGATTTCCACAATTCTATTTATATGAGACTTATATACACACAACTCTTATCAAGTAAGAAAATTATCTATAAGAAGCAGTAAAGAGCTGTCTCAAATGATAATAAACACACTCTAAATTTGTGTTAAAATGAAATTAATTTAATTACATTGCTTTTAGGAAAATTACAGGAATATTAATTTATTTGATCATAGTTTCAAATTTATAACTAAATTAATAACTAAAACTTACATCTTTTCCACCTCCAAATACTTTAGGTTTTCCTTCTTTTACTCTGGCAACCTCTGCAATGTTTGCTAATCTCTGTTGTTTGAAAGCTTCATCCTCCTCTTTTGTCTCTTTAGTTTCAGTCTCAAGAGCCCGGAAATTTTCTGTAAATAATAAAAACCTTATCTATAAATGATGAAAAATGAATAATTAAGCTACAGTACATTTACAATTTATTTATTATATCTGGTATACTTAAAATATCTTAATTCAAAAGAAAATAATGAAAAATCATAAGATAATATGCATTGCTTAATGTAACATAATAAACTTGTTTCAAAACCTGGTCGATTGCTATGGAAAATTTTGAGAAGAGAAATTATAAATACCTTCAAGTTTAATGTGGGAAAACAGATTGTGTTTTTGATCTCATCTTGCTAAATGATAAGTTTTTAGATTTTGATAACATTTTTAATTTTTCTTAGCTTTTATATTAATTTCCATTTTTAAAGTGAATACTTTTCTAAATTCACTTTCGATAAGGATTCTAAATAAATATATATTAAAGATTAATAGGCTATCTTGTATATTGCATGGCATATAAGCTATCTCATCATTTAAACCCCTAATAGATTTCCTCAACAACTAAATTATTAAGACAAATTATCCCATGGAATTCTCCATTCACAATGGAACTCCCTTATTCCTCATGGAATAATATGATAATATAGGAGAGAATCTAGTTTGTAATGGTGGGAAGTAATGCAAAAAATTTTTTAATGGCAAAAACAAACAGTATCAAATGCTTAGAGGTTTAATAATAACTTAAAATAAAGGCCATAAATTTTTTAATGAATTATTAAATACACATACTTCCTTTCATTGGTTGTTTAGTAGCAGTTATAGGTTTCCCAAATGGAATCCATGGAGGAGGACCATTACCATCTAAATTACCTTTAGTGCGCACATGTGATGCCAATTGCTAAAAGTAAATTGTTTATAATATAAAATCTAAGTCTCAAAAAAATTAAATATAAATGACAGATAATGAGATGAACTAGGATTTAAGAAACATTCAGAATATAGATACATATAAATTATTCTCCACATAAAATTCTTACCTAAATTACAGTTGTTCTCCCAAAATAACAATGCATTGAATTTCCATCAAATATTGTCAAATGCACAGGCATTATAATCAAAGAAGCATATTACCTGCTACAAAAATTTTACAGAATAATAGTTTAATTCAAAAACATACTTACTCGACATAGTTCCCATTTTTCAACCATTGGTGCAACATGACCATCTAGTAAATTGAACTGGTTTTCACTCAATAGCAAAAAATTGTTTTGCATCGTAATCTTGCCTGGCTTTAAAAAAATTTTGGTGCCAGGTGGAGTATCCATGCTATTAAATAAATTGAGAAAAACCTTATAAATTAAAAGAAAAATACAGCTTCACTGTTATTTAAAACAAAAGAATTTTAGCCAAAAAAACAGTAAGCAATATGCAAAATAAAATACTAAAACTCTGATTTATACTTATATTGCTATTTTTGGTTAAGTAAATTCAAATAAGAGAAGTATTTAGGCNGATATAGATTAAAATATATTCCAATAAAACTAAAAACAACCTCTTAAAAGAAACTTCCGTTGCCAGCAAATTGAAATTCTACAACAGAGTTACAAAAAAAAGTTCAGGTTTCAAAGCAATAAATTAGATAATAAATTGAAAGCAATAAAATTATTACAAAAACAATACAATTTGGAAACTAAATATATGTACGATCACAGGAAAATTATTGAAAGAGTTTTGCCTTTATTAACACAATAACTTTATTTTTTTTTAAAAATGTTAATTAAAAAAAGGAAGGGAAACTAGGGAACAACTTACATTGCTGTTTAAAAATGTTCAATGAGTTTGAGAATTATAAGATTTGATCCATTATCTTAAGAACAACTGGATAGATGCTGATGGAATTCTATATGATCATAGTTTGATAATAAAAATAAAATAACTATTCAACAGCTTTCAAATGGAAAGAACAGCAAGTTCTTGGTTCTCTCCATGTGAAATCATGAATCGGAGACCCACTATCTGCAAGCAATGGCCATTACTATGGCAAGAGAGCTTTTATGGCATAAGAAAGCATCATGTTGAACAGTTTTATACTCTTCTGGGATTTCGAAAGAGACAGTGTGACAAGCGAGAGGTATGGTATATGAATGGGGTCAGGGTTCACTATATTCGCTTTTCCCTAATGCAATTTTTCCCAAACTTATGAATTTTGTGTACCCTTTCTAAATTTTTTATAACGCTGCGTGCCACTAATAAAAAATGAATGTCTTTTTTTTAAAAATATGTTTATTTAAAATGGAGAATAAAGTTAAAAATCACAACTGGCTGTTGACACCACAAGTATTAACTGTTAACTCTGCAAAAAATAGCCAATAGAAAAATACTTAACCGGAAATTTTCATGGCTAGCTTTGTTTTTAAATAAAATTTTCGTTTGTTGCAAGATATTTCGCAAATAACGCTAAACTCCCCGGCTAAACTGTTCACATACCTGTGGGGGTGCACATACCACACTTTGGGAAACACTGCTCTAATGTAAAGTTGGCCTTGATTTCATTTTAATGTAATAGCAATGTGCATTTACATGGAACTCATCTGTTCAACAATGTTCTGGAAAGTGAAAACATTTGCGGGATGGATTGAACAGCTTTTAGATGTAAAGTTTTTATATCTGTAAGAAGTTTCCGTGTCCTGAATTGAGGAACTGTTTTGTACTTAGTATCTCCGATAAATGTTATTTATGGTCATTCCTATATTATATAACTCTTGAATGATTATTTTATTTGTAATTATATCAACCATTGTTTATAATGAATTTCATTAAAATATGTCCAGTGGCTTTGAAAATAATCAAGCAAATATGAAAATTTATTTTGAAAGTCAATATATTTTACTATCACCATGCACATAAAATAAAGCTTTTATGCTGCTAAAGCCAACACATATTTTAATAAAATTTACATATATTTAGTTGATAGTACCTTTTACAAAAATTATAGTAAAAATCTATAGTTTCAAAAATCATATACAATTTATGGAGAAAAAAAATAAAAATGTATTTAATGTTTCAGTCTTATTTTTTTAAGCAAAAACAAATAAGTATATTGTACAGTTAGGTAAAAAAAAAAACTTTTTTTAATTTTTGGTTACAATTGAAAAAAGAAAGATATAAATAAATGTTCTTGGAAATCTATGATACAATGAAATTAAGTAAGAAAATTTTGATAAAATGTTAAGTAATAAGTTTTTTTTTATTTACCATTTAAAAATAACAAATCACATGCAAATGTTTAATTAAGATTTAAATTTGTGCAGCATAAAAGTTAATGACAAGGTAACTTCATGATTTTATATCATTCATTTCTTAATATTTTTTGTAATTAAAAACTTTCTCGTATGCTGAATAGCTTTTATTCATTATATAAAGCAAGAAACAAAATTGAGTTTTTAATAGATTTCCCCAATTCTGTTTATAAGAAATTTACATACACACAACTCTTATCAAATAAGAAAATTATCTTTAAGAAGCTGTAAAGAGCTATCTCAAATTATAATAAACGTACTCTAAATATGCGTTAAAATGAAATAAATTTAGTTATATTGCTTTTAGGAAAGTTACAGGAATATTAATTTATTTGATCATGGTTTCAAATCTAATTTAAGATGATTATTATTTTTTTACATTTGTTATTTTTACTCAAGGAAGGAACAAATCTAGATTTAATTAAACCACTCCAAACATCCTAGATAAATTTATGCTTAAAACTTACATCTTTTCCACCTCCAAATACTTTAGGTTTTCCTTCTTTTACTCTGGCAACCTCTGCAATGTTTGCTAATCTCTGTTGTTTGAAAGCTTCATCCTCCTCTTTTGTCTCTTTAGTTTCAGTCTCTAGAGCACGAAAATTTTCTGAAAATAATAAAAACCTTCTCTATAAATGATGAAAAATGAATAAAGCTACAGTACATTTTTAATTTATTTATTATATTATTATATCTGGTATATTTAAAATATCTTAATTTAAAAGGAAATAATGAAAAATCATAAGATAATTGGCATTACTTAATGTAACATAAAATAACAAACAGGGTATAATGTAATCACCAATATTAACATAAATTCTTAGAATTTTTGACAAAAATAAATACTTGTGAAATGCAACAATATAGTTTTCAAGTAAGGTAAAAAAAAAAAAAGAAAACTTTTTCAAAACCTGTTTGATTGCCAGGGAAAATTTTGAGAAGACAAATTAGATATACCTTCAAGTTTAATGTGGGAAAACAGATTGTGTTTTTGATCTCATCTTTCTAAATGATAAGTAATTAGATTTTGATAACATTTTTAATTTTTCTTTGCTTTTATATTAATTTCCATTTTAAAAGTGACTACTTTTCGAGCTTTACTTTCGATAAGGATTCTAAAAATATATATATAAAGATTTATAAGCTATTTTGTATATTGCACGACATAACATGCTTTCTCATCATTTAAACCCCTAATAAATATTTCCTTAACAACTAAATTATTAAGACAAATTATCCCATGGAATTCTCCATTATCCATGGAACTCCCATATTCTTTATGGAATAATATGATAATATATGTGAGAATTCTAGTTAGTAATGGTAGGAAGTAAAGGAAAAATATTTTAATGGGAAAAACAAATAGTATCAAATGCTTTAAAAATAACTTAAAATAAAAGCCATAATTCTTTTTAATGAATTTATTAAATACACATACTTCCTTTCATTGGTTGTTTAGTAGCAGTAATAGGTTTCCCAAATGGAATCCATGGAGGAGGACCGTTACCATCTAAATTTCCTTTAGTACGCACATGTGATGCCAATTGCTAAAAGTAAATTGTTTATAACATAAAATTTAAGTCACAAAAAAAATTAAATATAAATCACAGATGATGAACTAGGATTTAAGAAACATAATGAATGAACTAGGATTTAAGAAACATACAAAATAAAGATGCATACAAATTATTCTTTACACAAAATTCTTACCCTAGTTACATAATTACTAAATCACAGTTGTTCTCCATCAAATATTGTATTATCACAGACATTATAATCAAAGAATATTATCTGCTACAAAAATTTTACTTTATACAGAATAATAGTTTAATTCAAAAACATACTTACTCGACATAGTTCCCATTTTTCAACCATTGGTGCAACATGACCATCTAGTAAATTGAACTGGTTTTCACTCAATAGCAAAAAATTGTTTTGCATCGCAATTTTGCCTGGCTTTAAAAATATTTTGGTGCCAGGTGGAGTATCCATGCTATAATATAATAAATTGAGAAAAACCTTAAAAATTAAAAGAATAATATAGCTCCACTGCTATTAAAAACAAAAGAATTTAAGCCAAAAAAAACAGTAAGCAACAATGCAAAATAAAATACTAAAACTATGATTTATACTTATATTGCTATTTATGGTTAAGTAAATTCAAATAAGATTAGTACTTAGGCTCAACAGCTGGACATTAGCCCAATAGTGGGATATAAGAATATTTGATCCCTAGTGGACTAATGTTTTATTGTGGCTATTGTCATATTTCTCAAGAATTTTCAGATAAAATTGGATTCAACTGCAATTGCCAAAGCACCTAAGTCCCATAGTCCATTTCTAGCACTTACAATAAATTTAAAACATATAGGCTTTTTAGAAGTTGGCTACAAATTTCCCCTTTTCTGTAATGCATTTTTTTTTTCTAGTTTTCTACATTTCATTAGTTGTTAATGACTAAAACTTGGCCCATTTGCTTTTGATACAGATTTTAGTCTGGTAACCAACTAATGGAAAAGTAGAAATTTTTTAACTAGCACACTACTAAAGCAAACTTGCTTGCCAAACAGAGTTATTCTTTAATTGACATGGAAAAATGCAGACTTTTATTTCTTGCATGAAAGTAAATCAGTTGCATCTGAAACTGAGTTTTGGATGGATAAGGCCAAGTAAAGAATTTCTGAAATAGCCTGTTATAGACCAGGAGGTTAAGGCTCAACAATTTCATGGCCTACAGTATGATTGTGGCAATGTGTTCAACATTGTGCACAGGCTGTCACTGGTTCCCAGATCCATCAATCCAAAGCTGGATGGGTTTCACGCCCCGTGGCAGAATCACGACGACATTGTCGCAGAGCGTTACAGAGCTCTTGCAGAAATATTTTCTTTCCAAAAGTAAATATTTTTAGTTTTCTTTCCTACAGAAATTTACATGTAAAATTTGAATCATGCATTTAGATAATCACTTTTTGATGCGCTTAATTTACGCAGATAGTATCGAAAATTGATGTAATGTTTGATTGAATTTCCGGCAGTTATTAATATTGATTTTCACGTGGATTTTAAATATCCTGATATATTAAAAAAAAAAAAATATGGAAAATTCGAAGGGCGCATTTGAGTAAATGGCAAAATTTTAAAGACAATGATTCTACTGATTGCTATTGATGTTTCTCCGAAGTTTTTAAATCCGATATTTAATACGATATTAATTACAACAACCTAATCTCGAAACGAAACACGAATTTGAGTAACCCCTTTTTGTGCAGTCCGATTCACGTGATTACTACTATGGACTTTCTGATTTTTAATTATTTTTTATTGTGATAATTATTTACAAACTGTGAAGAAAGAAATAATTAATGCATCCCCCCCCCGAAACAAAATGCGAGAATATCACCCATAATATATAGAATAAAAAATCATTACAGTTTAATTAAAAAAATATTATATTTAATTATTTTTGTAAACACAGCGCTTTTGTTATTTTAAATTAGTGACATATATGTTTGTTATTATTAAGAGTATCTTGCAGAAAGATATTAGTGCTAGAGATTTTTGTTGCAGATATCTCAAAAAAGTTCTGCCACAGGGACTTCACGCTGCCACTATCAAGCTCCAGTCCTCCACAAGGTAAATCCAGTGCCTTAACCATTGAGCCAATGCAACTCTTTGAGTGGATGGTTATGGGATATAGTAACTTATACTTACGTAATAGACTTCCATGGTCCCCATTGCAGGCAATTCACATATACATTTCCATCTGTTAATAATAGCCTCAAAATGGTTGGAGCTCCAGAGCCATACTCGTATTTAGGAGCAGAGGCATTTTTAATTTTTTGTATTTGAACTACACCAGAGCCAGATATCTAGAAAGAAAGAAACAACTTGTGTCGTTAATTATTCAGATGAAAAGTGGGAAGTTGATAAAAGTACTAATGAAAAGTTTCATAAAACCATTTTCTAAATAGACACATAAGAATTATAATGAAGATTTTTTAATAACATACATATAAAACTTTTTATACCATTTGTTTAAACAAGTGAGACCAGTTGGTAAATGAAAATGAAGCAGTACAGTTAAAAGCAAGAGCTAAAATAAAAAGTGAAACAATATAATTAAAAAAACATTTATGCTTACAGAATCAAGCTTTCCACGATTCGATTCATCAGGGAAAAACTTTCCTCCTATTTCCCGCAGATCAATCTAAAATTATGAAAATGCTTTAAAACAACACATAAAAGCAGCAAGTATTCAATAGTAAATACTTTAATAAATATAATTCTTATTGTTCAAAGTATTTTAAGAGAGCAATAAAATGACACATGTCCATGAAAAGCAAATATTCAGAAGTAATCTTTGCCCAAAAAATTTAAATTATTCTCACATCTACAGAAGAAGCAATTTCAATTTCACAAAACACTAGTCAAAAATGATAGCTGGTTTAGAAGTGTCCTCTCTAGTAACATTTTTGATATTTCAAAGGAAAGATAACTGAAAACCAAGGGAAAAGAATGGTTTATGTCCATTTTTCACAAAAAATGCCAAATGAATTGTCATCTGTTGCACTTTGAGGATTACTCAATTTTGACAGGATTACTAAATCGGTTCATCCCGAGAGTTATAACACAGTGCAGGTGGGCTGCAAAACCCTTTTTTTTCAACATGCAAAATAATTTTTTTTTCTCAGAATCAGCTTTAAATTGACATAAACCATATGTTCATCGAGATCTTCAACTGTTAACCAAGAAACACTCTCTTTATTTCTACTTAGCTATCACGATTTAGAAGCTAGACCACACTCGTCCAGTCCACCTTAAGTTCAACATCGTATTCATTATGGTTATTTAACTATAGGCTCATTCACTGGACTTTTTGAATGCAACTTGTATGCAATAGATCCTCTATCTTTGTTGAAACATCTTTATTTATTTCAGGTTGTACAAACAAAAACAAATACGAGTCAACACTCTATTTACTTCTAATTGAAATTCAACCAATTTGAACTTTATTATGTGAAAATCATTAAATCAAAGAAGCAAGTTTTGTTTATTTAACTACATCTATAATACGGATATTACTATAGCCCAGGGTATAATTATTTAATATGTTTTAGATATCTAGATGTCTAATTTTTTTTAAAAAATAATTTACTCACGTCAAGAGCTTTGCGAATGATCCCATTCACATCTACATGATTCAAACCTTCTTTACATATTTCAAGACCTTTATTAGAGAGATACCTGAAAAATTAAATTAAACAAATAAAGAAAAAATAAAGATCACAAGTGTTTTGAAAGCAATTTTTATAACTATTCATAAATAAAATAAAAAAAATTTATTTAGATATATCGTGTTACATGAGAGGGAAACCTCATACAGTTAGTCTAACGGCAAGGGAACTCGTAAACCATGATCTGTGTATAACTAAGGATATTTTACATCATCACAGTGATCGGTGCAAGCCGGATGTGGAATTTATATCGTTGACGGGATTCAAACCTAGTTCAGAACATTGGAAGGCAAATGCTTTATTCCCAGAGTCATCGCTGTTACTACTCAATACAAAAGGTTGTTTAACACTCAAACAAATTTCCTTATTATCATTCTTTATAAATATGTCCTGCAATGCACCAAAAAAAAAAAAAAAAAAAAAAAAAAAAAAAAAAAAAAAAAAAAAAAAAAAAAAAAAAAAAAANAAAAAAAAAAAAAAAACAGACAGCCCTAAATAACTTTTGATTTAATGATCAGATTTTCACATTCTAGGACACAAACTTAATAGCTTGAATTACGAAATCAGTCATAAAAACATACTTTCTATGAATAATCATACCTTTTAAACGAGGGATTTGGATTTCTGACCCTCAAATTATATAGGGTAGCCGCAATCTGGCAAATATGGTTTTAATAGTTTGGTCAGGAAAGCTCTCACAAGTTTGGACCCCTCCTTAACATAATTTTACTTTTTGAGTATTTCACCATATCTCAAGAACATTTTAAGTGAATTAAAAAAACATTACACACAATTATAAAATTTGTTTATGCGAAGATAATTCTATGCAACAAAAACAAAAAAACTTTTAATAATTTATTTTTCATTATTTTATTTAAAAATGGTCCAAAATATTTTGAATTGTAAGATATACAATTTTGTGCAACATTTTACAGAATGTAATTTTTAATGGCAAAACACAAATTTTAAACAAAATCAGTCTAATTTTTGTATTTTGCCATGTAAAATTATATTCTTTAAAATGATGCAAACAATTGCATACCTAACAATTCAAATTTTTTCATCCATTCTTTAATAAAATAATAAAAAACAAATTTACTAACAGTTTCTGCATTGAATTATCTTTAAATAAAAAATTTTATTAATTTTGAGCAAAAATTTTTCAATTCTTTTTAAAAAAAATTTGAGATATGACAAAATACACAAAAGAAGAAAATTAACACCAAGGAGGCCAAACTATGGGGACCATATTTCTCAGATTGTGCCTACCCCCTATATTTTGGGGATCAGAAATCTGAAACCGTTGAAAAAAAGATATGTTTATTCAGGCAAAATACGTTTTTCAGTCTGATTTTGTAAATTAAACTATCGTCTGCACTAAATTATTAGCTTATTTGAGGTCACCCCTTTAAACCATTAAAGTTCAATCCTAAAACATGAAGATCAAATCATTAGATCTAAATTTATCCAGGTTGGTTCTTATTTTATTTTGCGCACTGTACATAAAGTGACCAACACTAATAACATCACTAGATTATAAAATCAGCTATTTTTTAAAATTAAAATCTGTATGAATGGAATCATTGCAATAATCAATGATATTAAAACTATCCTATTATGAAATAATTTTCTCAACTTCAAATTGAAATTAAGTAAAAATATATGTTTTAAAAGTGTTTAAAAATAAAATAAAAAGCTTAACTTTTTCTAGTAAGGTAATTGGAATTTTCTATTTAAGTTTTAATTGATGCCTAGCACATAAGTAACAAATTTTATTTCACCCTTATGGATAAAAAAACCCTTATAAATGTGCATTACTTATGGGAATAGAAGGACGAGAGTTAAAAAAGTAAAAGAATTATGAAGGAGTGTGAAGGAATACGGGGAGATTTCTGTACAGTGATCTGCGGCTGAATAATTGCCAAAGGGCAGTGGCCCACGAGAAAATAAAAAAACATCAGAGAAACAAATCAACCTAAAAGTTATAACTCATAGCCACACCTCCGCAAATATCTACATGCTTTTTTTACAAGAGTTTGTAAGTTTAAAATCCATTTGGCATCTTGGCAATTGTAGTTGGAGCGGCAGATCACAATACGGAAATATCCCTTGGATGTGATATTTGTCCCAAATGATAATTGTTTATGTGTTAAGAAAAAGTATGGAATACCCATCATCATTCAATGCCAATGATCATTAATTACTCAATAAGGCAAATCTATTTTCAATAAATGGCAGGAAGTGTTTGTTATTTTAAAACTAACTTAGCAAATAAATATTGCAAGTGAAAAAAAATTATATTGCATTTTTATTTTAAAATTTTGCTCTAATGAAATAAATACACTAATTTTTAAAAACCCTTCTGGAAATTAAAAAAAAAATTAATTTAAGTTTAATTAAACTATCAAAAGTAGATACAGTAAAAATGAAGCAATTAATTTATCTTTCAATGCATTTGAACTTTTTTTTTTCTTCTGCAAAGTGTGGATGCTTACAGAAGGACTAACTCGAAAGGTATAACTCGTAGCCACCCTCAAGCAAACATCTACAAATTTTTTTAAAAAAAATTTGCAAGTTTAAAATCTATTTGGCACCTTGGCGATTGTAGTTGGCGTGACAAATCAAGATACAGAAATATTCCCTGTAAACGTTGACAGAACGAACAGGATTTTAATAGACGGCGGGAACTGAACATTAATGATAAGAGAATAGACAAAAAAAATAAATTCTCTAGATCATTCTAAAATCCAAAATCTACTAACATAAATACTATTCACCAGGGAATTTTAAAATTTCCCCTTAATCAGCCTCCGATAACCTGAACAACAATTGCTTTAAAATGTTTACAATATTTAATGAATTTATACTTAATATGATTTTGAAATTAATAGACTATTTTTAACGTGAATTGATAGTGTATTTAGAGTTAATAAATATCCTAATTTAAGAAAACTAGCCAGTAAATTAGGGGAACGCAAAAATTGCAATGAATTAAAAAAAATCGAAACACTTATTTTATTCTAATATTAAAATAATATTACCATCCTTTTGCTGTTAATTCTGTTAATAAATCCATTAAGTTCAAATGAATTATTATCAAAATAAAAATAGTCAGCTGTAATATTTAGCAGCAAGTACTACAGTAGCAGACAGCTACACAAATAAAATAAAAACAGTCACAGTTAAAGTTACAGCTGCAGCTCAAAAAGTTATGTTTAGGTGATTATAAAATTAACAAGTGATTAAAGAAGTCAATTAAATATTTATCAGAAGTTTTATATCCTCAATAAAGTTCTTACATCTAAACAAAAATATTAAGATTCACAAGTGACATTAATAGTATAAGCTAGCTAATTTTTATTTCGAAGCAGTGAAGTGAAATAATTAAATATTTATGTTTCCATAGCAACTAGTTAGTATACGCACACTCTTGTGATACATAAATTTATGGCTTGTGACAAAATGAATAATATTTTGTAAAGAAAATGCATTTAAAAAAATTCAAAGTGACCATTTGATGTTTATACATATTAAAAAAATAAAAAAAACTTGCGTTTTAAAAGTATTTTATTTATATCGTTATGTTCGCTATTTTTCTTTGTGAAATACTTATAACTCTCCCCTTCCCAAAAATTTTTTAATTAATGAGATTATTTTCTTTTTAAAGGGAGGAAAGAATTTCACTTTTATTAGGTGCATATTTATCAATTCAGGTTAGGAAAATACAATATGTGAAGTACATAAAAATTTAGCATCATAGTATACAGCGAAATATTTTATTATTTTTTTCTTAGTGATTTTACTGGAAACTTCAAATTTTATAAAAAATTATACTTTTAGAAAAAGAAGGATGTTGTTTTCTTGTTAATTTTATTTTAAGATAATCGTAACTTTAAAAAAAATTTGAAAATTTCATGTCAAATATGAATGAAAATTTCAATCGAAATTTTTCATGGATTGTTTAAAGCTCATCAGTCTTATTAAAAAACATTTTTTTCTTTTTCTATTTGATAAAAAATATAGTTTTAATAACTTACAAAAGCATGTAATCCTTAAGGAGGATGGACGCAGATATAGATCTCCTTTTATCACTTTTTTTGTTAGTTGATTGATTAAAATGTCATAAATCATAGTTTTTAAAAAAATTATCATTGTTTAAATTCGTTTCAAAAGTATAAACAAAATTTTAATAAAGTTTTTCAGATTCTATACTAACCAAAATCTGTTTTTCTGTATGTATGATAAATTGTTTTATCAAAATTTCTATGAGCAATTTGCTTTTAATGCTTATAAGCATTATCTTATTATAATGCTTATAGCATTATCTCTATTAAGTCTTTTTCTGAATATAAAATGCATCTCTATCTAACGAAAATAAAGATTAAAATTAATATTACGATTCAAAACGTAGTAGGGCATTTTATTCCTTTTAAGTGCAGTCTATAAATAAAAATTACACTGATAATTTTGAAAGTTCGAATGTTAGATCAAATACTATTTAATCCTTTGTAATATTAGTTCTAATATTAGAAGATAGGATTCAAGAGTATAGCGTTTTCTACCACGGCAGTATTACATTGCATCTTTCTAATGTTAGATAATATCTTTTTGCTACCTGAAAAGTTTTAGCCCCTCTTGAACTCTTTCTTAGGACTAACTTCAGTCTTGACAATTTGTAAAAAGTACATATACTCATAGCTTTAAATTTGTCATGCCACAGAAAATTTAATAGTTGATATTTAGCTTGTATTAGTTATTTAGTAAATTATTATTTTTCTAGGTTCAATGTTTAAAGACCGTAGAACAATACCTTATATTGATACATCTGGATGGAAATTTGAAAATGGCATTCAAACAAATCCTACCAAAGTTTATAATGAAATAGTTCAACAGAAAAAAAACGCATTTTTAGACATGAACCAATCTTTGGAAGAAGAAACAGAAACACAAACTGAAAGCATTGATCAGGTTAACATTTAATTTATTATTGAATGTAAATTAGGCTCAGTATTTGGAAGTTTTTGTGAGAAGTTGAATGTAGAATTTAGGAGTTGATATTAATAGCAGGAATTGGTTATGACATCAGGCAAAACCTCTTAAAATTTCAAGATTCTTACTTGGTTCTTGAAAGATTATTGAGAAGTGCAGCAAATTTCATACAAATTAGAAATTATTCAGGTACTGGCACTAGTTCAGAGAAAGAACCAAAAGGCAATTTGCTAAACTATTTAAAAATATGTGCATCATTTCTGTTTTTTAATATAGTTAACTGCTGGTTAATCAAAAAGCATTAAATCAGCATAGGATTTAAGACAAAGTAAATTTTGAAATAAAGCAATTGTTGAAAAGGTTTAAAAGTGCCTATTTTTGAAAAGAATTTATTAATTTAACATACACAACAGAATCATTTATAAAATAGAATCTATTTATATAACATATAAATCCTTCACTTTATTAAGAAAAAAGTGCTGAATGTTTACTTCTTTCAGCAATGATGTTCACTAGTGCGATAAATGTAGTATTGTAATTAATAGATACAGTTATAAATGTGAAGTTACAATAATATAGTTTTAGATTTTCTATAAAATAGTATAAGTAAGCAATGAGGATTTGTATATTTGTTAACCGATACATTAGTACTTAAAAATATTAGTCAAGTTCGAAATTAATTCGGATACGGAATTCGTATCGACTAGCCATCGTTGAGATTCGAGCCTGGTTCACCTCATTAGAAGGCAAACGGTCTATCCCTTGAGCCATGAAGGAATTGTTAGAAATTAATGAAATTTATTCCATATAATACTGATAGGGGTACATGTCCGATTGCCTTTTAATTCTATTCATTTGCATGTCTTGCCTCACTTTACGGTTCAATTTGCATAATTTCTTCATGGTGTTGCAATTTTCACACATTGAAGTGTATATATATAATAGCATTCATTTTGTTATTTTTTCATTTAGATTCAAATTACAGGAGAGAATTTCGAGTCAGATGTTCCCAAAACAATTCCAGATGACAAAAACAAGTTGGTTGAACTCAAGTAAACTTACATTTAAAATTTTAAAACTTATTTTTTACACCAATAAACAGCAAACAATGAATTTCACACCCAAATTTCTTCTTGATATAGATTGGAGACAAAAGAATGCGAGAAGTTAATAAGTTTAAGGGAACCTGAAGCAATACCTAACCCATATTTGGTTTTGTTGAATAGACTGGATGAGGAAGAAGGGGTCAGAGCTCCATCAATTGAAGATAAATTGAAAGTGACTGTAAGTTAGTTGGAGCATTTTGGTTCTAAATAAATATTCAATAAAGTCATAAAGTAATAAAAAGGAACTAAACATTTAGTATAAAAATTACAAATATAAAATTGAAATGGTAACATTACTCCAAGTAAAAAATACCAAAAAGAAATATAGTTAACACTATTTATTTATAAACAGTTTTTTTTTTCTAAATTGCGTTATTAGTATTGCCTCAATTAATAGTTTCTAAAGTATGTAAAAATATTTAATTTTTTTTTAAAAACTTAAAATGTCAAGCTTTGTGTGAAGCTTAAAATGGAGATTTAAATTAATAGAAAAATCAATGTTAATATCATGTAAAAATTTGTTTTATAATATATTATTTAATTGGTACAAATTGAAAAAAAAAAGAAAAACACTTGAGATACTGTATTAAATATTAACAACCAAAATACCCAATAGTAGTTTTAAAAAGCTATATACGTATATTTTTATTTACTATATGCAACATTTTACTCTGCATTATTAGATTTTTATGGTAAAGATAAAAATACGTTTTTTTTCTTCTTAATATTGTTTAATTTTCCTCAAAACAAAAATAACTATTCTGATTGTTAAAATCGTTAATAGATATATAGTTGTTTACAAAGTAATTTAATGGTCAAGATGTTTTGTTTCCACACAAAAAAACTTTTTTTGTTGCTTACTGCAAATTATAAAAATGTTCAAACTATTTTCAACTTATTAAAAATATTAATAATCATAAAAAACACAATATTTATGTATCAATAAAATGTTCAATTCATAGTATTTATTCAACAATTAGCGTTTGATGACATATAAGACAAATACAAAAGTTTTACACATAACTTAAACATGAATTTTAATATCTCATAATGTACTTATGAGATATTAAAATTCATCAGGGGTAGAAAATTAATATCTTGCTAAAGCAAAGGGAAAAATGATGATGGAAAAAATTATAAAGAACGTAAACAGGGCTTTGCCACAGAAATACTAAACTGAATAATCATCTAGGGCTACAGAATAAATAAACAAAACCTTTTATTTATGAGAACTACATAGTCAAAGCTTATTTTTTCCCCACTTTGCTTTGCAACTCTTCTCTGTGTTTCCTCATTCTCAATGAAGTACATTTAATTACATACACTCTGAAATTGTTTCATTGTTGTTTAATAATTCATTAAAACTTGAATAGGGGTGAATTTGAAATTTTATTAACATTTTTATCAATTGCAACATTTTGTGCCTACAATTTAGTTTTTATATTATGGCGCATTCAAATATTGATTTAAGATGGAGTCGTTAGGAGCTGGCAAGTCTTTTTACTCTTAAAAGATTCGATTGCATATTAACATGGGTATTCATTATTTTAGGAAGATCGATTATGGTTATCAACTCGAGAGTTTTGTTCTACCTGTGAGCAATTAATAGGGCTTGAAGAACAAGATAATTCAAAAACTTATGAATATTTGCAACCAAAGGCAGTTCAAGAAGCTTTGCGCCCAAAGGTTTTCGAGCCTAGTTTAAGACCACCGCAAACTCTTCATGTTTCAGAATTTAAAAAGGAAGTTATTCACGAAGAAGACAAAGGCACTTTTCATCCAGGAAATGTTAGTATGTAAAAATTTGAGAAAACAATTTGTGTATCATTATGGATTTTTCATATCTTCATATTCTTAAATCATTAAAACTTTTTCATCTGAATTTAAGATGCTAGGTTCTTTAATTTCTCCTTTTTCTACTTCAAGAAAATACTACATTGTTTAGAAATACTATATAATAAGAACGTAACAATCTAATGGTAGAATTTTTTTTAAAGTTGCTAAAAATTAAATAATAGAATAGCAAAATGGTAAAATAAATTTTCACATGAAACAAAATTGAAGGCAAAAAAATTCCGAAATATTTATTGTTAGATATATCTTTTTTTCTGATATTTGATATGCTTTAACTTTATTATGAAAAAGCAATTCATTAATTGAATTTTGATAGTTTCATAAAAATTAAAAAATGAAAGAAAAATTTCATGTACACAACAAAATCACATGAAAAAGTGAAAAAAGTGTACAAACATTCCTTTCTGATACTTCATTTAGATATATTTTATACAGATGAAACCAGATCACTCAACAACCATTAGACCACATTTAGCTCAGAAAGCATGATATTCCAGAGTAAAGAATACATAATCAGATTCATTTTTTTAAGTGTACAAGTATTATACTGCATTATTAAAAATTGATAGCTATTACTAAGAAGGAAAATAATAAGATAACTTTTCTTTATATTGGATCTGTTGAAACACAAAAAACCATTTTCTAACAAAAATAATCTTGAATTAACAAAGACGGTAGTGTTTGAACTCTTGCTTTTTTTTCTATTTATTTATTTATTTTTTTTGTTGATGATTTACCACAAACTGTATTCACAAACGTAATGTTTTTCAAAACTACATAAAAATTTGTATTTTTAGGAATTCGAACAAATAATCGATCATGATTCATAATAAAGGGATTTATGAATTTCACATTGAGATTCATATTCAAACAATTTATGAATCACATATTGAGTTTTATAGTCAAACGGGAGGCATCAGCATCCAAATGGAGATAGTGGAAATTGAACAGTTTAATTTTTTTAAAATTATGAAATAATTATCTTGTTTTTTAAAAAGAAATGAAATATTTTTTTTGACACTATAGAAATTAAAATTAATTTCAACTAACTCAAAGTAACACAATAGGAATATTATTCATCTTTCAATACCTGACTTTAAAAGAAATTTTCAGTGAGATAGTAGCACTTCAACAGTTGAGTTCTTTTAATCTCATTAAATAATGACTGATGAAATAAAATTACTTTCAGGTAAAAAAACCAAAGGTAAGAAAAAAGAAATATTTAAAGCAAGATTTTTACTCTCCTCCTGATACATGGTTTGATCTTGGGAAGCATGATAAACAAATAACTCAAGAGGTATGAAATGCAAATTATAATATTGTTCGTATTCGTTTTTAAATACAAAATTCATAAACTTGTTTCATTCACTAATCTTCATTCAAAATAGCAATTTTAATTCTAATTATTTTGATGATGGGGGAGACTTTAAAAAGTTATATAGGAAAAAAAAAAGAATTAAAGTAGATATTTAGTTTATGAAAGGCAGCTAACTACATATAGAATTACCAGATATTGATGTTTAAATAACTGGGTGAAAGAAATAATAATAATTAAAAGAAAACATATTTTGCTATGACATGGATAATCACAAATTAAAGCTCATTAAATAATTAATATTAATTTTTGAACTAATATTTAAATTTTACTTATAAAAACTTATAATACTAATTGCAAGATTAAAAAAATGAGTTAAATGAGATAGGTATAATAGATAAAAGATTAGTATATTAAATTATAAGGTACTGTATTTTTCTTCATCACTAGCTCAACACTCCTTTTTTTCTGTAGGCAATAGTGTTGTATAATTAAATATATACTACATGAAAAAAATCATTTAAAAAAAGTTAAATGAAAAAAAGTTAGTTTAAAAAGCCAAAAATGAAAATCTTGGTTTCTAGATAAATTATCGAATTCCCCAATCTTAAATAGAAGTAGTTTTGTTTTTATTCAAAAAATTAATAAATAATCTTAAAAACTAGCAATTTTCCTTCCTGAAAACAATCTAATAGATACATAAGTCTATGATTATTGTAAAATATTTATTAAACCATTGAAAATGATGAGAACCAAGATCAATATTCCTCTTATTATAATTTTAAAATATTGAAAAGTTGTTAAAACGAGAAAATTCTCATTACAGATATCTTAGAGAAATTATAATTTTCATATTTATTAAATATTTTATTTTTAATATAGTTTAATTAATTTTGACCTTAAAAAGTACTTTCTCTGAGGGGGTTCCTCAGAATGTATGTTTTAAACTAACTCGAATGTATGTTTTCAACTAAAAATAAGCATATTTAACACTCAAATATAGTTTCAAACAATTTTTGAAAAAAAAAAAAAATTTATTATCACGATATGTCCAGTAATAAAAAATCTTTCTTCCTCTTGTTTGAAGTTATTCATTTATAAACATAAAATCAACAAATAAAAAAACATTATCAGACTTTACATAATCATGATAAAATAAATAGTTTCTGATAAATATTACAGAGAAAATTGTAAAAATCATGCTTTTTTTGTTTTAATTTATGATAACAATCGACACGACAAAAAAAAAAATCTCATTTTGAAAGATTTAAAATTAAGCACTTTTTGCAAATCCCAAATTAAAAAATAACCATTAAGGGCTTTTAAAAAACACAAACATATTTTTGAAATGCTATGTACCCTGTTGAAACTTTTATTTTACACCCCTCCCTCCTTAATAAAAACATTTATTTGATTTAATTTTTCATTAAAGATATGAAATTTTTTTAATCTGTCTTATTTACATGTAGCGCAATCATATTTAAGCAAGACACATTACATGCCAAAGTTTTAATGTATCCTTCTGGAAACTTAGATTTTCAAACAAAGTGTTCAAGTGCTTCTTCAGTAAAAGTTTATTAATTAACATTTTCATCATGGATAAATTACTGGAGAATTTTATAACCTGGCATATGCCTCTTTTTAAAAGAGGAATTCGTGTTGCTATCATGAAAAATAAACATTGAAAAAATTAAATACCACCTTTAAAATATGAGAAACATGCGAGAAAGAATATTGCATATTTTTAACTCTCTAAAAAGGCATATTAAAGCATGTTGTATTATAGCATTATTCTTTAAGTCATAACTCGAGGAGTATTATTAAAATATTTATTTTAATGACTTAATTTAGGAATTGGAGTTATTGAACTCTACTGCAACTAAAGCTTTCTTGAAGTTTTTGAAGGATCGTAAAAAAGAGCCACCAAAAGTAAGTTATATTAATACACAATAACAATTGCTATGGTGGGACTTATTAAATTTTCTTAAGATGTTTTGTTTCATAACTTACATCACAGCATTTATTTTTTTTTATAGATAATACAAGATATAAAAAAGAAAGTTATAGACATGAAGAGTGAAAATTAAAATGTTCAGCACAGGATGACTTGCATTTAAATGCTATTTTGGTATTGAAAAGTTATAGATACTTTTAAGTTTGTATTGTTACCAACATCTATCTTATCATTACCAGTTGATAAAATACGAATAAAAAATCTGATAAATTAGTTTGCATCTATAATAATAGTTCCAGTTGTGCCATTATTTATGAAAGTGGAATAAATTCATTTTTTGGACAATCGAGGTTTTTAAGGATTAGTGTTTGAATGAATTAAAAAATATTAGCAAAACATGATTAATTTAGGTGTCATTTCTATCATTTTAATTTGATGAAACATCAAAATGCGTCAATGATTATTAAAATCGAAGATAAAAGAAAGAAAGGACTTTCTAGCTCCAAATGAACTTATTCCACTATTAAAAATAATCACTCAGTTATTAAGAGGTTACGTTATTTTCGCAGTGCTAAAAAAAAGGTTTTTTAGAAGAATTTTTTTTTAAATCAGTAAACCAGTGAAATAGATCAAAATTCTGAAAAAGGTTATTAATAGTTTCAACTAGTGAACTGCAAAAATTCATTTTTCTTAAGTGATACAAAACAAAATGGTGGCTTAACAGCTTTCAAAAGGTATTTTTTTAAGCTGAATTGTTTTCTATGTGAGGTAATTCTTTTCTGTGTATTTTTTATGATGAATCATTTTCTGTGCAAGTGAGGTAATTTTTTCCCTATTTATTTTTTTATGCTGAATCGTTTCTTATGCAAGTGAGACAGTCTTTTTCTTACTTATTTTATATGCCGAATCGAATGACACCAAAATCAAGCCAATAAGATGAACAGATCAGAAGTTTATTAGTATGACGTACAACAAAAGTACAATTTCTGATTATACCATCTAAGCATCTGAAATGCCTATCTAGAGAAAATATTTACTACTTCCTTTGTATTTTGTTACGCTGAATAAAAAAAACCAAAACAAAGTCGATACGATAAATATTTTAAAGCTATGAAATTTTTTATGCATGAAAAATAAAAATTTTTTCTTACACCTAACTATGCGTTTGATATTATTATATCCTGTGAATTATTTTTATGCTGCTGATTCACATGAAACTAAAACTTCACATGAAACTGATAGGACTATTAGTTTAGAAGTTATGATAATGTCGAGTATTAAAATTATAATTGTTGACTTATACTCTTTTACGCATAAAACCCTTATAACTTCAAAAGTATCAGTTCTATCTACTTTTAATTTAATTAAAATTTAGTATAAAAAATACGTAGGAAACAATGCTTCAATTGTCAATTAGATATCAATTGCATATGCAAATACTAATATAAAACTGTAATTTTTATTAATAAGTACTTTAATTTGTGAGCTATTAAGTACATTGATTTTATTTTGCTATCATTTGCTTTAGAATAAAAAAATATGTGGGAAATTAGGTGGTACTTATTTTAGAAAAGTATTACAGATGCATCATCAAAAATTGTATTTTTTTAAAATTTTATAGTTATTGAATCCCTTATAACTTAAGAGATATTAGGCCAATCAACTTGATTTTGATGTCATTTAATTCAGTGTAAAAAAAACAACATAGAAATCAATAACTTAGTGTAATGCATCTCTAGAGAGTAATGTTTCAGATTTGCACCTTTTTGCTTCTCAGTAAATTCAAGATTCCTCCCCATAAGTGAGCACATCAAGTTAACTTTTGGAGAGAGGTGAACTTTAGATTTTCTTATTGTGCTAAAACCACAACTTATAAAACAACATCCAGCTTTTCTAAATTATTAATTGATCGAATTTAATAAATTAATTATTTCAAAAATTGTGTGCCTTTTTTAAAGAAAAGACTCATAGTTTTTCTAAATAATTACTTGAACTTTTGTAATATTAAAAAAACCGATAAAAAATTAAACAATCTTACATACTTCTGTGAAGAATGTAATTTTAAACATAGCCAAAATTTGAAGTCAATTGAAGATTGAGCTATGAGTTTGACAACATGAAAGTATTGGACTGTAAGTTACTGCACAAAAATTCAAATTTGGGGTACTTGGGCATTTATCCTGCTCATAAAATTTTTTTTTGTATATTTTAGGCACCTTAAATTTCTTTCTTTCTTTTGATTAGCTTAACTCTTTAAACGTAATAAAACTGTAAATTTTTTGCTATGTTAATCCTCTTGGTTATCATAATAATCAGTCTTGAATCAGTTGCTTGTCATAATATCCAGTTTACCATATCAATTCATGAAGATCAAGGATTCAAAATTAGCCTTATGTACTTTCAGAAAATATACATGAAAAGTTCTGCAAATCTTTCATCTGTATATTATTATTTCAAATAGTACTTAATGTTTCTTGTATATGAAATACATATAACAAGTAAATAAATAACAGGAATCATATGCATAAAATTTATTTTCTAAGTTTGAAAACAAACTGTTTTTACTTCTAAATAACATAATAAAAAAAGGTGGGAATGCTCTAATATAAAACTAGTTATATGCATTATATGTACTAGCAGATAGTTAACAGTTTAAAATAACACACAAAAACTATAGATAAGAAAAACAAATTCCAAAAATCAGACTAATATCATTAATTTATTTCAGATTAATATATATACAGACATTGACATATGAGTAAATACAAAGAGAATATATATTTGAAATAGGCATATATACCAGATGATACTGGAACTTTTTAATAACGAGGTCTCTTGTATTCAGGCGTTCCCCTAAAAGAAAAAAATTAAATATTAAAACATCTTGTTAAACAAAAGCATTTAAAAATAAATAACAAAATAATTCACTTACACTCCAGTTGAGAAAGAACCAGTATCCTTTTTACGAGCAATGATCTAAAAAGAGACAAAATTAAATNACAAAATGGTGGCTTAACAGCTTTTAAAAGGTATTTAAGCTGAATTGTTTTCTATGTGAGGTAATTCTTTTCTATGATGAATAATTTTCTATGCAAGTGAGGTAATTTTTTTCCTATATGTTTTTTTATGCTGAAACGTTTATTTTGCAAGTGAGACAAACTTTTTCCTATGTATTTTTTACGCCGAATCGAATGACACCAAAATCAAGTCAATAAGATGAACTGATCAGAAGTTTGTAAGTATGAAGTACAACAAAAGTACAATTCCTGATTATACCAATCTAAGCATCTGAAATACCTATCTAGAGAAAAAATTTTACTATTTCCTTTGTATTTTGTTACGCTGTATTAAAAAGATCCAAAACAAAGTTGATAGGATAAATATTTAAAAGATATTAAATTTTTTATGCATAAAAACACAATATTGTTCTCACATCTACTTATGCATTTGATATTCTATCCTGTGATTTATTTTAATGATGCTGATTCACATGAAACTAAAACCTACTAGATAGGACTCTTAGTTTAGAAGTTATGAGAATGTAGAGTGTTAAAATTATAATTGTTCACTTATACTTTTTTACGGATAAAACCCTTATAACTTTTTAGTACAAAACTGTAATTTTTATTAATAAGTACTTTAATTTTTGAACTATTAAATAAATTGATTTTATTTTGCTATCATTTGCTTCAGACTAAAAAAACATGTGGGAAATAAGGTGGTACTTATTATAGAAAAGTATTAAAGATACATATTAGGCATAGTCAAAAAATTTATTTTTTTTACACTTTACAGTTATTAAATCCCTTGTAACTTCAGAGCTATTAGGCCAATGAACTTGATTTTGATGTCATTTAATTCAGTGTAAAAAAAAAAACATAGAAATCAATAACTGTGTGTAATGTTTCTCTAGAGTGTAATGTTTCAGATTTGCACCTTTTTTGCTTCTCTGTAAATTCAAGATTCCTCCCCATAAGTGAGCAGATCAAGTTAACTTTTGGAGAGAGGTGAACTTTAGATTTTTTTATTGATTATTTTTTTTACCACAACTTATTGAACAACTTCCAGCTTTCCTAAATTATTAATTGATCAAATTTAATAAATTAATTATAGCAAAAGTTGCATGACTTTTTTAAAGAAAAAATTCATAGTTTTTTTAAATAATTACTAGAAATTTTGTAATAAAAAAACCTATAAAAAATTAAAGAATCTTACGTACTTCTGTAAAGATTGTAATTTTAAATATAGCTTAAATTTGAGGTCAATTGAAGATTTGATTTAGCTACGAGTTTGCCCAACTTGAAAGTATTGGCTTGTAAGGTGCTGCACAAAAATTCTAATTTTGGGTACTTAGGCATTTTTCCTGCTCATTACATTAACATTTTTCTTTAATATTTTAGGCACCTTAATTTTTTTTCTTTCATTTTATTAGCTTAACTCCTTAAACGTAATAAAACTGCAAATTTTTTGCTATGTTAATCCTCTTGGTTATTATAATAATCAGTCTTGAATCAGTTGCTTGTCATAATATCTAGTTTGCTTTATCACTTCATGAAGATCAAGGATTCAAATTTAGCTTCATGCACTTTTAGAAAATATACTTGAAAAATTCTGCAAATCTTTCACCTGCATATTATTATTTGAAATAGTACTAACAGTTTAAAATAACACACAAAAACTATATAAGAAAAACAAATTCCAAAAGTCAGACTAATATCATTAATTTATTTCAGATTAATATATATACAGGCATTGACACATGAGTAAATACAAAGAGAATATATATTTGAAATAGGCATATATACCAGATGATACTGGAACTTTTTAATAACGAGGTCTCTTGTATTCAGGCGTTCCCCTAAAAGAAAAAAATTAAATATTAAAACATCTTGTTAAACAAAAGCATTTAAAAATAAATAACAAAATAATTCACTTACACTCCAGTTGAGAAAGAACCAGTATCCTTTTTACGAGCAATGATCTAAAAAGAGACAAAATTAAATTACTCTTTTAAAGCATATGATACAAGTGTTAACATTGTAGCATACATTATAATAGTACTTCCTTACTGTACTTCTAATTTAAAAAAATTATAATCAGTATTTTTGTACAGTTTTATAAAAGAAATTCACTTAATTCATATAGTAAAACTCATATGAAACACAACAAATAAAACAAAAATATATAACAAATTTAATAAATTAATCTCGGAGACATTACACAATAGCAAAGCTTTTTGTTTTTATAATTACTGAGCTGTTGTAGAAAACATAAATTCATATACTTTTTTTTATAATGATGGAATAAAAAATTTAGCATTAATCAGAATACAAATTCCAGATCAGAAGTTTTTTTTCCCCCCTTCTCAGTTCTTGTTTTATAAACAAGAACTTTCCTCAGAGCTGAAACACAAAAGGGCTCAAGAAAACACGAGGAAAAATGTTCTTCGCAAATTATTTATATTGGTTAATATTATTCAAGGTGATATGTTATTTCAAATGCTTCCCATTTAGGTTTGCAGCACTGACTTACAAGGAGTGAAAAGAAGCTGTTGTTGTCAGTACAGATGGTGAATGCCTTAAATTATCCAATCATTGCACTGTATTTTTAAGCAAAGAAAACATTTCTCAGATTAAAGATCCTTTCAGCAATTTTAAAAAATGCATGCATCAAAATTTTTCTCTTTTTTAATATTTTCTTAACAGAGTTTATTTGAAAACACTATGCAAAATAACAGAAATCATTCATTTAACATTTTATTATCATTAGCAAACATTTTAAATCTAATTTCATATATGATAATAAATAACCTTTTATAACACTCTTTTCTAATCACGTTGTGTTGCATGTAAAGTGTTTTTTCTAGAAATAACAATACTGATCACAGCTTTGATCCCCCCCCCCATTGAAATAAAATAATAAAAACTCCATCAATGTCAGGCAAGCATAAGATTAAATGGTGAAAACTTTAATGTTGATATACACGGTTTCAATCAATCACATTTGTATCTTAGATCTTTTATTATTTCAAATACTTTACACTGATGTTTTGGGTTATGAACTGCTGAACAGCTTTCAATTATTGCAATTTCAATTGAGATTTACCCTACAATTTTTAAAAGTTAGTCACAATTTTATTGAAGCACAATTTTGCTAGAATAACACCTGCTCAAATACACAAGAAATATAGAAAGAGAGAGAAAAGTTCTCCCATTAACTTACATTTGTCATGTTTTATGTCCTCTCATTATAATAAAAATATTAGAAAGTATGCTACTTTAAAATTTAATTAACATACATCTTAATTTCATACTCAAAAGAAAAAAAAATGTCAAAATAAATACTTCCAACTGACATAGGATATGAGAACAATACATAAACTACACATTTAATATGGAGCTAGAGTGAAAGTAATGTATTTACTTGATTAATTTTCTGAAGTTCACGATCCAGCTTGGTCTTCTCATCTCGTTTCCCAGTTCCAGTTCTACGAGTTTTCCTACCATCAGCCATCTTGACACCATATTGAAAAGCAGCCCTAAAATAAGTATTCAATTTCTAAATTGTATACAAGTACATTTATACAGTAAAAAAGTACAAAAGATCCATGATACAATATATATATATATTAATAAACACAAACGTGTGAATGCAGCTTGCATAAAATTTGTCACAATCATAGAAAGTTATTTAATATTACTTATTACAATACACAGTAAGTTCTGATTACTTAATAAATGAATTGTAGAGTAGACTTAAAATATATACAATGCATATGCATTTTAATAATGCTTTGTATAAGTATACCATGTATAACAAAAAATACACAATTTAGAAGAAAAAAATAAACTGTCCAAAATTCTATATTCTACCACATAGACAATTTTAGAAAAAATGGATACAATAACAAAAAATTTGGTGTGTCAATAACAAGTCTTATAACTTCAAAAAGCTGCTAAATTTTTAAAAGGAAATTAGTGATTTTTTGAACAAATTTCAGGTGAAATCAATAGGGAGTCAATAAATTGATTGCAGAAAGTTATTAATTTTATCTAAGTTTGCATATATATATAAATCACCCTTTTTATACATTTTTTTAATCACTAGATAATTGATAATACTCAATTTCAGTGAAGTCTTACTTTGGTAAAGCTTCCTTGTGGCTCATGTAATCACTGTATTCCTCAGCAGTATCGAAATCCCAACGGCCAATAGGACCTTTCTTGTTACCCTGTAAAGAGCAAAAAAAGGTAGAAAATAAAATTTTCAATAATTCATGAAAAATTTTAACAAATAAAATGATTTTCAAAGTGAAATTCTATTATCTTTTTAATTTGTTTTTACCATTGAATTAAAGTAAAGATTTGTTCTCAAAATTATTATGTAAATATTAAGAAAAGAAAATATATATATTTAAAAAAAAAAAAAGCTTTTAGAACAATTTCAACAACTGTAAGCAGTTAATGCTTACAGTTTTTAGTTGTAAGTATAACAATAATGAGTTTGAAAAAATGCTATTTTTGATGACAAAAAAAGACTCTTTAGATATTAAAAAGTTTAGTAATATCATAAGTTAAAGGTTTATCAGCTTTTGGCTTTGTAAAGACTTGAAAACAATAGTTTCCATATAAATGAAAAGTACTCAATTTTAACTCTTTTTCATGAAACTCATAATGTATTAAAGTTAAAAACTTGCTCCATATTTTTCTTTTTTAAGTTACACGAGCAATTTGGATTACTAGGTCCTAACACCAAAAGCTTTTTCATTAACAACAACATAAAGGTGATGTTTTTGGACCAAACCCCTGAACTGTTAAGATAAAAGAATATACAATTCTGATAAAAGAATATTACAATTCTGATAAAAGAATAATACAATTAAACAGCAAAATATTTTTTTTATATAGACCTTTTAAACTTGTTATAACTAAATAACTGAAATACAATATGTTAATAAGGAAGAACAACAAAAGTAGTTACAGTCAATTTGAAATTTTTGGTATAAAATAAAAAATCTAGAATAAATTTTGATAATTTTAAAATTTTTAGTATTGTAAGAGAGTGTAAAATAAACTAAGGTTACGAAGATTAATAATAGTTAATATGAAGTAAAAAAAGTGTAATAAAAGCCAATTTCAAAATGTTTAACAGCTTTAAAATATGCCAATAAATAAGAAAAACTAGCTTATTAAAAATATATGTATTGGTACAACAATTTCATTTTGAAATTTAACTTCTTTTTTTTTTTAAAGTAATTGTTTTATTTCTTCAAACAAAGTCATGACCATATTTACCATATCCATCTTAGAATAATCAACTTCATCATCACTGTCTGCAACAGCATCTTCATTTTCAGGAGCTCTGTAACAATGTTAATAAAAATAATTACTGTCATCGGATATACACATAAAAATCAAAGAAGTTTTCCATATCATAAAATATATTTACCCTGGATAGCATTCAGCGTAACTTTCAGGAACATCTCTTTCAAGTTTGCTAGTTAACTTAGCCTTTAGCCTGCTGTCATCACCTTTCAACACACTCATCAAACTAAAAAATAAAAAAAATTGCCTGTTAAGTCTTTTTGAAACAGAGATTTAATAGTGTATCGATACAATATTATTATTTGTTTTATCAACTAACTTCATAGAAGGAACATCACAGTAAATATATTTAAGCATCTACATTATATTTTTTATGTCAAGAATATTTCTTAGAACTTTTTTAAATTTAGCATGCACTTTCTATCTACACATAGTATCACATAATTCTATATTGAGGAAAGCAAGCATTTTATAGCTATTATGAATTGCATGTATATGAGGAAAAACAATAAATTAATATTAAATAATAGAATAAACATTATTAGCCAATTTTTCTAGTCATAACAAATAGCAAAGTTGAATGAGAAAAAATTTCTTAATTTCTTCTTAAAACAGCATGCACAGAAGATAAAAGCAACAAGTTTCAGGAGAAACAAGCTGCCTTTATCAGACAGTAAGGAATACTACAATGCAAAAAGAATAATGGAAAGGAGCAATTTTTAAAAAAAAATTATAATATTGATAAAAGAGTAAAAAAAAAAATGATAAGTTAGAACATAACATAAAAACACAAAAATACTTAAACAAGTTTTTCCAAGCAACAGAGAAAAATTTAAGAACATAATTGTTCTCGTTAATCAATATGGCTAAATTTTTACAAAATCAAATGCAAAATTGCAGTTAATGTTCAGCAATTGAAGATTTAAACACTTCTTACTTAAAGACAGATATACAATGTTAATTAATCCTTTTTAGAGCTTTTGGTTTGTCCAATAAATAATGAACAGGAGATTTTGTGTTAAGGAAGCTAAATTTATTGGTGGTTGTAAGAAATCACATTTCTTAGATTCCTGGCAGTTTCAATAAACATAATACAGAGTAATGAAGAAATAAAACAAAAATGTTATTTTTTTTTATCTTATTACAATGCAACATAATTCTTAATTAAAATTAATTTTGCAATGGAATGTCTTGAATCATAATTACAGCTAATATATATGTATGCATTTAATTATACTAATGACAATTGCTGCTTCGAAAATAAACATAAATAAAACAAACTTAGTATTAAACACAAGAGAATATATCAAATTTTTAAATAAAACTTACAGTCTATCTTTAGAGTGATCAGCATTTTCATAATCTCCAGAGAGCACACTATCCCATTCCTTAAAAAAAGTAACATTGACTGTTAATTTTTTTATTCGTAATTTTTATCTTTGCAAATCAAATGACAATTACAATTAGATGAATAAACAATTCTAACAATCTTGAAAATACCTTTTTATCTGTAGATTGTGGTATAAGTACACACTTATTGTGCCAATTCTGTACTTAGATTAAAATTACAGTGCTTTCAACTAATTTTTGGTGATTTTTCTTTAGAAGTTTATTTTAGACTAAATGCCTAGAATTAAGAGGATTAGAAGTATGGAGAACAACTTTTAAAATTATATGAATTAAATGAGAAAAAACAAATACTTGTCATTAAATTGTTAAAGTTAAAAATAATATTCCTTTGCTTATTTCTAAATAAGCGTTATATACTTTAGAGTGATAATCACACAAAAGTGTAAATATATTTGCCAAGTTAAAAAAAATAGCATTTACTTTTTAAAATTTTAAAGAAAATAGATAAAAAATATCAATTGCAAGATTTGACACTAGCAACTATTTTGATAACATTGATAGTCTTTCTACGCCAGAACATAAATAAATAAATAGGAACATAAGACTCAGTTCTATTTGTAGTTGTTCTTAATTTTTCAATTTGTTTCCTACATTGATTTGTAGGTTTACAGGTACATGTTAAGTTTCGACCTATAACAATTTTAAAAATCTACAATTGCGGAGAATCACTCTGTTTTTTTTTCTTTTTTTTTCACAATAAAGTAGGATGCATAAATTATTTTCATGAATAAACTATAAATTACCTGGAAGCTTTCAAAGTTGAGTCTAAGACTATGATTTCTATATGTTAAATCAAATATATATATATATATCAGAAGAAAAATGTATACTAACATTAACAAAAGCTTGGATTTAAAATTTTTCAAAATCAATTGGGAGAAGGATAAAAACTATGAAGCCAATAACATTAAAGTCAAATGAATAAACGAGCTAGGCTATATCACGAGTATTATCAATAATGATATTTATGGAAGTGTTGATAAATTTCATTTGAAGAAAAAATACATTGACAAATGTAAGAAATAATAAAAATCAATTCCAATTAAAAAATATAATATCATGAAAACTCCTGACAATATATTGCAATATTTAATTACATACCACCCAGCTATAATTTAAAAAATATTTTCCTGCCCAGCATGTCTTCTTCATTTAATAATATATAAAGAAAACCTTTTTTTTTTTCAAACTGAAAAGCCTGCACTTGAAACTTCCAAATTTCACAAACGTCAGGATTAATGCTCAATGTGATATATAGTTCTGATGATCAATAAACATAAATATGATATCAATATTAAGTTTAAAAAATGAAAGATATAGAAATATAAAAGCTGAAGATTGTTCTTGAAAAATACATACATTCTTAGCATCACGCTGCTTCTCTTCTCGCCTTCTTTCATCCTACAAAAGCAATTTAAAAATTTTTTAAACAGTCAAAAAAAATTATAAACTGTATAACATAGAGTTGAATGAAAAATAAATATGTAACTGCAAAATCAAAATTATTCAGAAAAAAGCAGCAAAAGATAACTGCAATAATATAAAGACTTAAAATCTTGACTTCTTTAATTTAAAATATATAGTATCAAAAATATGTAATGTAAAAAATAAGTAATATAAAATAATAATATTAGAATATACATACATCAGTTCGTGGTTTTTCAAAGTAAGATTTCCTTTTTTCAGGTTCTGAAGGGTTTTTATCAGTTTTATCTTTCTTTTCCAAAGTTGGTACATAATCCCCAATGTCTCCAAAAATACTGTAAAAATAAAATAAAAAAATCATTTTGTAAATAAAATTATCAAATTCCTTTATAATAAAGCGTTTCTTAACACTTTTACACTTGGTAATAAAATTTTTAGTTAAAATAAATTTTTTTGAAGTTTAAGAAAGATTTGTCATTAAAACTTAGTTATGCTCTTAATAGGATTTTAGACAGACTTTTTTACTTTTTAATAAACATGACAATTTATTAAAAATCTCTCATTCATTTAAATTGGGGCTAGATTAAATGTATGTCTATTTATCAAATAAATAACATTGAGAGAAAAATTTGAAGTGAAAATTTCAAAACGAATAAGTTTATTATTTCTAAAAAAGTTCTAAAGTTACTAAATACATGAATAAGGTTCACAAACCTATCATCAGCAAGTTTTGGACGCTTTATTTCTTCTTCTTTTAGTTTTCCTTTGTCTTTCCTCTTGCCTCTTTTATTGTGAATGCCTTGTCTTAAATATGACAGGATTTGAGTGAGTTTCTTAATAACTATATCATTAGTGGTAAGTGTAGTTTGTGACTAAAAAAAAGAGATATATTTTTAAGAACATAATTAATATAGACATTTTATTAATACAACCTATATTATAGTTATTTGTTTAAAATGTTTTTTCTTTTAAATTGATATCACCTATTTTTACCCCATTACAATTTCTTTTCAAACTTTTAAAATCATAAGAACTGCAGATTCACAGCAAGCAATTCTAGAAAGTAAAACTTAAAAAAAATGGTAATAGCTATTTTTTTAAGTCCCTTCATTTAAAACCAGTTTTAATTAACTTTAACCGTTTGATGCAGAATTTGTATTGAACATATTTTTCATACGTTTTTCATTATCTTATATTAGTTTATGTTAAAATAAGTGAAAAATATTATAATTAGTACTTTTATAATTTTGGTCATGAAATACAGCACAAAACACAAGTTTTTTTTTCTGTGCTAAAGGTAAAATCTTCTAAACACAGCTTACTTACAAACAATAATTTTTCAAGTTTTGGGTTATTTAGATCTAAGAGAAACAGTTATTGAAATTTTGAAAAATTTAAATATTTTTAATTTATACAAAATCAATTTTTTAATTTATACAAGATCAATTTGATAAAGTTTGAATAGGAATGATTCCGATAATCAATCAGATTTTTTGAATAAGCATCAGATTGTTTTTTATAATTAAAAAATATTGAAATATACTTTTACTTGTAATTAAAGTGTCAGAAAAAAAATATATATTTAAGGTTCACTGATGCCCAAGCCTATTGCATCAAAGGGTTATTGGATAAAACTGACAGAAAAAAACACATCAAGTAAACTATGCCTGAATCTCAAATTAACTGTAATTGTGTACTCACAACAGTAATTTAAAATATTTTACCAAAATTAAATAGAAAATTCTTGAAAAGATTCAACAACAGTAACAATTTACAAAACTCACTTCAAAACTAGGGCAATCAGCTTTGCTTCTCAACAATGTTGTTGGGATATCACTTTCAGCAAATTCATCTTCTAAATCAATGATGTAAGCCATTCTGTTAGGAAGAAAAAGTTCACTCCTTTCACAGTACCTATGCCTAAATACTTGACGATAGATATTTTTACCTATAAGCAAAGAATGCAAAGATTTTCAGGAAAACAATATCATCATACTGAAATTATCAGCAATGGAAAGAAAAATTATTAAAAAAAAAAAATCTTAGAATTTTTATCATAAAATATGAAAAAATGTGCAGTTAATTAAGTTTGTAATCAATAACAATTCTATGTAAATGGACAGAATTGCTTCTTAGAAAATTGTTAGATTTCTTATTATTGGTATAGCTGTTCACTTTTGTTGTATTTCTTTAATTTATTTTTCTTCAAAACAACTGTGTCAAGTAAAGCATAATACTATTATATCATATAACACAGTCAATAAATATCTTGCAAATGAAAGAAGATTGAAACTATAGCATTTAATTTTTAAAAGGATTTAAATTAAATCTTACATAAGTCATTAATCTTTTATAACTTTTTTTAAATAATATGGTTCACAGGAACTGTAACTCTTTTGTTACTTCAACTCATTTGGAGGGGGAAAAAAATCATACATTAGGGGTTTGAAAAATTGACGAGATATTCAGTAATTAAAATGCAAGAGAAATTTTTTAATAAAACAAGTTATAGTCTATGACTTATAGTGCGATGTTAAAAATTGAGCGGAATTGAATTATAAGAATACAAACTTACCCAATTTAGTTCGGAAATGGATTTCTTCTTCTTCATCTTTATCCCTAAAATCATAAATCAATGATTAGTTTTGTTTTAATGAAAGGTTTGAATGAATTAAACACTTTTTTTATACCCTCCAATTAAAAATCTGATAACCACAATTTAAAATATATATGAGTGTAAAGTTAATATGATTTTAAATGTTTCTGTAATGCAAATACTACACAAGATATGTTAATCTTAATTTGTAAAGTTTATAATATAAGTAAAGTTGTAAAGTTTATAATTATAGGTAAAGTTTAAAGCACACACCTGTAGTAAAATTTATGTCTCAGATTTCAATTACACAAAAATGTACAGATGTTCAATGTAAAAAAGAGAAGATATTGATCNTTTATATATATGCAAAAAATTAAACATTGTAAACCCTATCCCGTTTTATCCAACCCAAGTATGCTAAAACAGGATATGTAAGAGTTTGGAAATTAATTTGTTTTTCTATTTCACAGTCATTAAAATTAATTTAAAATATGTTTTTTGTGTTCTTCAATAAATGTTGTAGCTACAAAAAAAATAATGTATGGTTTACCTTAACAGATATTCCGTATTAAATAAAAACAATAATGGTATCCCGTTTTATCCAACTCTCCCCTATGTGTTTTTTGTTAGCTCATGAGTCTTTCAAAAAAATACAAAAAACAAAACAAAAAAAANAAAAAAAAAAAAAAAAAAAAAAAAAAAAAAAAAAAAAAAGATTCCTATTGTTCAAAAAAAAAAACTGGTGAAAAAAGAAAGAGGAGGGTTTCAAAAAAACTGACTGGAATTATATATGCCCTGTCAGTGGATTTGTATATAAATTGCATAGACTAGAAAACTGCACATTCAAGTGCTACTTTTATAAATAACAGTGTTTTATAAATGCACAGAATGAATATTGTGAATTTACTACGTTCAACTTGTAAAATTTAATTTAAATTTGAACCATTAACATTTCACATGTTTTATTATATAAGCATGAAAATATCCTACTTGTGTTTTATTCTCTGGCTTTCCAGTTCTTCATCTTCTTTTTCCTTATAAGTAATTTCACTCCGAACCTGAAATGAAAAAAGTCAAGCATATATAAGTGTTCTAAGAGCTGAGAGGAATTCCTTTATAAAACAAAAAATAAGCAAACTAAATCTTTTTTTAAAAATTATCAAGATTACCTATTCATTGAACACCTTATAAAAAAAAAAAGGCAACTCACGTTTTTGAAGGTACTTTATTAACAACATGAAACATTTCACACGTCAAAACAAGTAGGGTAGATAATTAAGGATTTTAATTTTACATTCTTTTTTCCTCTTTTAAACATCATATTCTAGAATGTTATACCCTAAGATAGCGACAATTTTTAAGAACCTATTGGCAATTATTTTATTTTTATTTCTAATTATAACCCTATCTGACCCATAACATTGAGTCAGTTTGGCTGCATGGAGTTTTTGATCCAAACTGTTCGGCGATGTTTTTCAAAAAAAGACTGAAAAGTTTAATCAGATTTCATCATAAGAAAAGAGTGTAGGTATTTCGTCATTTTCTTTTTGTTATAAATAAACTGTTTTGTGTAGAATCTAAATGTTGTGAAAACAAACTTTTCTTTCAAATACAAAATATCAGTAACGAATGGTAACAGCCTGAGAAATAAAATTCTAGATAGAATTTTATAAGCTATACAAGTTTTAGGCCAACATGATGATGACGAAGATGATGACACAATATCATCCAATACTATAGCAACAATATTCTTTGACACCCTTGCATCAAAATAAAAATTCATATGAAAAGCAAATTTGGAATTTGATAGGTGCATTTTAAGTTAAATGATCAAAACACATTCAGTAAAAATGACTCCTAAATTTGTAAAATGCAGGAATTGTATTTTGTTATTTTTAAAGCATTCAACTTAAATTGTAGCTGAATTTTCTAATAGATAAATTTAAAATATTGATGAAAGAATTATTATTAAAAAAAGAATTATGTCACATGAAAACTGTGAATTGAATCAATCAAGAAATTAACCGATAAGCGATAAACGTGTCGAAAATTGCAGAATTTTGGAACGAGCTCCACAAGCTTTGTGTCAGGGAACAGACCCAATAACACAATAGTTAGAATCTAAAGCATTGAATAAATACTTGGTAATTTAAAAAAAACTCTCTTTAATTCAAAGTAATTTTTTGATTATATTTTTACTTTTTGATGATAGCTAATTTAATGATAGCTAATTTAGATAGTATACAATTTTGAATTTATAGAAATTTTGCGGTGATTGTACCTTTAATGCATGTTTCAAGTTGAAACAATGTACATGTTCTTATGAATGAAATTTTCAAGTGAAATATATTTCATACAAATAATGATTATGTGCACAATGTAATTGATATTTTTAACATGAAAATGAAACATGATTTTGAAATGAAACATTTTAGCATGAAATACTACACAAGATTTNCTGATAACCACAATTTAAAATATATATGAGTGTAAAGTTAATATGATTTTAAATGTTTCTGTAATGCAAATACTACACAAGATATGTTAATCTTAATTTGTAAAGTTTATAATATAAGTAAAGTTGTAAAGTTTATAATTATAGGTAAAGTTTAAAGCACACACCTGTAGTAAAATTTATGTCTCAGATTTCAATTACACAAAAATGTACAGATGTTCAATGTAAAAAAGAGAAGATATTGATCTTTATTTATTGAAGTACAATAACCTTGTCAAACTAAGAATAATACCATACTAATTTTTTTTAAGAATCTAGGTTTTTTTTCAATATTTAACTTGTAGTTTTTGCAATGTTGATTTTCTTTTTTCCTCTAAAAAGGATTTTTGTCACTTTTTCAAATCCATCCATAAAAAAAGGAAGTTTCCTAGTATGTGTTTTTTGTTAGCTCATGAGTCTTTCAAAAAATACAAAAAACAAGGCAGTAAAGTTGTAAAATTAGGCAATTCTCTAATGGTATAAAAAAAAAGAAACATATAAGATATAAATTGTTATATAAAACATATAAATTGTCGTGAAGAAAGGCATACTTTTTGCAGTAAAGCATAATCAAGACCTTTCACCAAATGAGTATGCTCCATATCACCACCCAAAAATTTAGATTCTTGAATCATTTGTCTCCTTCTTTCAGCAGCATCCAATCCCCTAAAAGATATCATAATCTAAGCATAATTTGAATAATCTTATTCCATAAGTTGAAAGTGATTAAAAAGGCTATCGGAAAATTCCATAACTAGTGTAGTAAAAAATAAAACAGATACAAAATTTGTTCAGTAAATATAAATTATTACTATGATGATTCATGAAAAAAAAAACTTTATAAATATTTGTTCAATGAACTTTAAACAACTCATTTTTATGTTGCTTTTACTTGAGAAAATAATATGTTCACTGTAGAAATTATAATAAGATGAAGAGAATTTCTTTTTTTAAAAATGAGAAAGCATAAAATTATAATAAAGAGAGGATTAATAATGATAATCAGGATGAAGCTAAATAAAAATTGAAAAATTGTTCAAATTGAAAGTTATACTTTGAAAGTCTGCTAGTAAATACACTTTTAATAACCGGCTTAAGAGTAAAACCAAATATTTTGAACAGCCGGAGCTCATATAAATCTAAGTTAATGAGTCTGAATTTTTAGTGTAGTTTATAGCGCCAATTTAAATAAATTTAAAGATTATATTTTCAAAAAATTTAATAACTAAAAAAAAAAAAAAATACTAATAAACCAGACTCTAAAAAATAAAATGTAATCATTACGATTTTGCATCAGGAGCAACAGCACGGTATCCAGCAGCTGATGTGATTGGATCTTCATTTTGATAATCAGGGTTTGCACCATCTCTTCGCTCTTTGGCCTATAAAAGATAAACCATGATGAAAACAGAAATCTTACATAAGATACTAATTTTAACTTAAAAAACTAAAGAGTTTTAAAAATAAAATAAATATTTTACCCTGTCTCGATATTTCTGTGATAGTTCTGCTAACTTATCTTCTTGCTGCTTATTCAAAGACGCATAATACCTGAAAGGATAATTGTAATAAATAATAATAAAGACTTTGTGTACTATCAATTAGAATGATCCGTCATGCTTAAAGAAATACCTTTGATCCAGCCAATTACAGTTAAATAAAAGGCTTATTCTATTAATGAGGTGATGCATTAGTCAAATATAAATATAATTCCATGTATTTTTAATTGAAAATGACATGTATTGCAACATTTTCAATAAATAAATCACCGTTAAAAATTTATTAATAAATATAATCTAAGCATTGAATTACTAAATTTGTAACAATTTAAAATTGTAACAAAAACAACACTGAAGAGAATACATAAAGCTATTATTTTTCGCACTAAGACACATTCACTGGTACACTCACACAGATACTCTGAACCCTTTTTTATAAACTATTTACAGAATGTTTTTGCACTGATCATTTGGAAAAAATGTAAGCCATTTTTCTTTGTATTCATTGTACAACTAGCTATAAGTTCTGTATTCAATAATGACCATTTTGCTTTGCTCACTTACATCAACGTCTCTCCAGAATTAAGACAATGTTTTGTTTCCCTTTTTTCTTAAATTGAATAAGCAAATTTCATTCTAATTAATGTAAAAATCTCTTTACAAAAAAAAAAAAAAAATTGAATGCAATATTTCTGTTTAATGCTATTAAGAAGTGGAAAATAATTAAATTTGTTATTAATGAAATTTAATATAGCTTCCACATAAAACAATTTACTAAATTTTCTTCTTCTAAGTGGAATATTTGATTATCCTTTAAGCTATTAAGTGGAGCTGAATGAGATTAATAGTATAAGCGAGATTAAGAATATTAAGATTAATATTTAAGCAAGATTAGTTATAAGGAAACAAACTTTTTCTTTCGCTTTCTTCTTTCAGCTCTTTCATCAGCTGTACCACTTTCATCATCAGAATCACTATCCTGCTTCTTCGTTCTAAAAGGAATAGGAAATTAATTTTTGTTAATTCAAAAATTATTAATAGATAAAGCAATAGACAAAATAGACTTTAATACTTTTTGTAGGACAAAAAGAAAAAAATAAGTGTGATATATCTAAATGCATGATGTTAACAAGAGTCATAGTAAAATAACAATTCAAATTTGGATTGCTTTGTTAATAAAAACAATTGTAAAAATTCACTTTCCCTTTCTTCAGAAGTGGATGACATGAATTCTACTTCAAATTGTTAAAAACTATTGCATACGGAAAATTTTTTAAATAATTAGTTTGATTTAAACACAAGAGACAAGGGGATACCAGCTTTTGCTTTTTTATGAATAAAGGAGATGCATTTAAATAAAAGAGCTTTATAAAAAGAAAATTAATTTGAAAAATCAAATATAATGAGGTAATATGAAAACTGTACTTATTGAAACATTGTAAAACAATGTAAACTGTTTCTAATTTTATTGAGATAAAAACCTCATGTAATATGCATAGAGAAATTGAGAATTTTAATGGTACAATATAAAAGTGGGACTGATCCACGAGCCTTTAAAAACTATGAATTGAACATTATTATTTATTAAATTTCATAACATGTCTGGTTATTAAGGTCCATCTCAGCATGGCGACAATTGTCATCAAACGTTCCACAAATCTTGCTAAAATCATAGGCATGGGTGTATGTTTGGTATTTACAAAAGAGTAACAAAAATAGTTTTTTGCACTGAATTCGAAATTAGAAAAATTAATTATACTAATTTTGTGTTTCTACGTGAGGTATGGAATTCAAATGCATGGTATTCAAATGGAATAACATAAATAGAATAACCTAAACACAAATTTTTAAATTTAAATGGTGAAATTTCAAATTTACATGTTGTGCTGTGCTTTGGATTCATGTATTGAGATTATAAGTATTCATCAATAAAAAAAAATATTTTGCTGTTCTTTTAGAATTGACTTTATTTAAAATTTTCAGATGGCTAATTTTTTAAGTAATATTTTGTCAGTTCCTACTTTCTCTGTTTTCTCCGTTTATTTATTAATTTGGTCTCAGCATTCTAATCTCTATGTTGAATATATTTACTAATATTATTTTAGCTTTTTTAGACTTAATTTTAATCAATACCAATCTTCAATCTTTATGAGCTAATGAACCTAATTAGTTTTAGAGTATTATGGCCATTAATAACNAAATTATGTCTAAATTTCCACAAAATAGGTACCTCTCAAAAAAACCTAGTCAGACCCCTGAATTCTTCAAAAGTGATTTTTTCATTATTAAAAATAATAATAATTTTTTTTTCGTAGAACAAAATAAAGTTCCATAAAAATCCAGAAGGTAACAATTAAATGGGCTAATTTAAATAAATAAATAAAAAAAACATCTATCAGCATGTAAAGATAGCGATACAAAAAAATTAGTGTAACAGCTTAACTAACGTAAATACTTACGCAGCATGAGTTTTCACTTCTTCTGTAGTAACAGGAGCAGGAGTTAGAGCAGGTGCTCTTGGGGTCATCAAAAGTTTACGAAAATCTTCATTTGTCATCGGATGACTCCTAAGGAGGGAGTTAGTGAAAAATTAATTAATTATGAACTAAAAAAAATTCTTGTTTTTTACAATATTTTTACCAAATTGTTTTGTTTTTTATCCCATATAAATCATTCTGAATTTATGTGATTAATTAATAATAATGCACATATTAGACAGAACTTTTTATCAAGAAAACTAATGTATTTTAGATAATCAACCAGATAAAAAATAAAACTGGATAAATTAAAACTATTTTCAAAATTAAAATCTCCTGGACCTCTTTTTATGTTCTTTATTTTTAAAATCTCAATTTTTAGGTATAAAAACTTTCATTACTATTGCCATAATTAATAATAATGCCTAATTGCTGACCATTACAGTGGAACCTCATAGTATAATAACATCATAAAAAGAATTTTAAATTCTTTTCACTTTAGGCATAATTTTTTGTTTGTCTTTTGTTTAATAAAACATCTCTTTTTACATAAGTGTTGAATATTTCTTATGAAAAGAAATAAATAAGGAGGGCAGGATTGCCAAACCTATTGTCTGCGGGTCAAAACGGACACCTGGAGTTTATGAATTGGCCCCTCAACAGTTTTAATTAGTTATAGAAATATTTGTTAAGTTCTTTTTATTAGTTAAAAAGTTTTTCCAAAACAGCTTTATAAAAAAATTCTTTTGTTTTTCAAGAGTGCAATGGTAACTCAATGGACCTTACAGGTAGGCATTGCCCAACAGTTTTTGTACTGAACATCATACTTCTGGGAGGCATTTCAAAGTATAAATGGAATTTAGAACTATTCGTCAGTCACAACACCTTTATAGAACTGCTGTATCTACTCTTAGAAGAGATTAAGCATGCCATTAAACCAATAATTTAAATTAATTATCGAATGATTGTAAAACTTTTATCATATAATAGGCGCAACATAAGAAGTATATTGAAATTTACCATGAGATTTACTTTAGACTTACAATTAAAATATATTAAACCCAAAAAGAAAGCTAATTACATTAAAATAAGACATAGCACTTAAAAATTGACTTTATCAATTAAGTAAATCTTGAATAAAAATGAATACAACTTTGTAACATTTTAAACATTAAAATAAAATCTTGGCACAAGACCTAAACTACTTGTTTAAGCTAAGTAAACTGCATGTCCAAATGTTAAGACTTATTCAGTAATAAAAAAAATTATAATAAACATAGCAACATGTTGTATTTATATGTTGGCAGTCACCATCTGTTTTTCCTCTAATTTCAACTAAGTTGGCAACTCCACTTCTTAAGGTCAAAACAAACTTGGAAAAGAAAAAGAGTTCTAGTTTTCTGCTCCAGTTAGCAGTGACCAATGATAGTGTGTAACTATCATTGGTCTCTGCATCGGATTCAACCACATCAAAAATGGAGGAAATATCTTTTTCCCAATATAGTGGCTCTGCTGTGTCTCAGTTTGGCTTTAGCTGGTATGGGGAAATTAAAAAGTTCTGTTTCTGCTAGTATATTATAGGTGCGAGAAATCGTTAGATTAAAGCACCAAGTAAGAGATTAAATAAATAAAGCAAAATAATAGGTTGTTCATTAAATACGACCATATTACATAATCAAAAAACCAACCCAAACTGAATGTTTCATAATAGTTCAAATATAGTTGTTTGAGTAAAAAGACTTGATTTGGCAGATCAGGTCTCTAACATGAAAATTCAGATTGAATAGAATGAAGATTTGCTTTGAGGACTTCTGGACTCTAGTGAAGAAATAGTAATCAGACGAACAATGAAAAATTTAAAAGACTGAGGATGCAAACATCATTAAGATCTAAGAATTTATAATGAAAATGTAGTACATTTTTACCCAGTATATTATGAAACTGTACTTTCATTCAGTTTTCTTTGATCTTAATTATTCAAATATTATTAAGGTTAAATGAATTTTTCTTCTTCTTCTAATTATGTATCTTTTTAACAAACATAAAAATTTCAATAGGTCTCAGCTTTGAGAATCAGTGTGTCTTTCTTTTAAGCAGATAATTTAATCAGTCTTGAAGATGTCTGCTTTACTGCATTTCAGGGTTATTTTGGACAAGACTAAATTTTGTACAATCTGTTAAAAAGAACAGTTTATTGCAGCTAAAGATACAAATCTTTATATGAAGTACAACTCATTTCTATTTAATTATTTGTTACTTAAGTATTGTCATATTTTATCTAAAATAATCAAAAACACTTAAATTAATTAGTATGAATAAGACTGCTCCAGAATAACACAGGAACTACTTTATAAAAATTAAATTACTTCATAGCTGAAAACCATATTACAAAAAGTATGAAGTTTTAAGTATGATTTAAAAATATATTTTTGACAATAAATATAAAAGCTGAGGAGGAAAAATTTAACAATAACAATTTATTCAATGACTATCTATTTTTATGTATATGAACTACATGAACAACAAGGAAAAGTTATTAATTAAGAAATGTTTAAATTCAAAAAATTCACTTACGGATGATCCTCATTTCTAGAAATCTCAGATGGTGGCAATGGATTGGAAAATGGCTCATGTTCTCTCTCTGAAATAAGATTAATAATCTAGATTTAATTAAAAATATTACATATATTTTGTAAAATATGGCATCAGCATATAAATTGTATCTAAACATAAAAATCATAATCTCTATTATAAAATTGAATTTTTAAAGTGTTTACAGATATAATATCGAAATAACATTTTAATTTTTGTAACATAAACAAAAATCAAGCAAATTAGAAACACATGGTGAGTAAGCTATAGACAGAAAAACTGCAGTGAATAATTTAAAAAAAAATTCTATGATAGATGAATCATCACAAGTTTAAAATTCTATCAATAACTTCCGTCCACAAAAGATCTTTGTATCAGTAAGTAAAAAAAAATCACTAAATTTCGGCAATTGCAGGATTAAGTACTAGAGATATTAGAGGGAAAAAAACATAATGGGACAAACTAAAACAGAGAAATTAGTAGCTATTACCCAGATCGGTATCGTTTTTAAAATTTATTCTACTTAAATCAATAAGATAGTTTCACTAAGCAATTCCTGTTAGAACGTATGGAAGATTTCCACATCCAGACCTGTGACAAAATAATCACAAAGTGTTGGAAACTTTAGGGCAGCAGCTCAAGAGAAACTAAAATAAAACGTCACAGAAAGGGAACAACTAGAAAAGTAGAGTAAAGTGGGTATGAAACCGAGCATTTTTTAAAGAAGGCCCAAAAACTAAACCATAAAATTTAATTTATGCATATTTCATTCGATGCATTCTATATACACTGGATTCATAAGGAATAATTATGAAGCATAACTTATCTCTTTTGTCTGTTTTCTTACAGTAATGCAACCAAAAGAATATGTTTTGATATACACATGGTATAGTTCTAAATTTAGTACATATTTCCCTAAAAAACACTGTTAGAAATAAAACTCTTAAATAAATGCATCATGAATATATTATTTTAAAAAAATTATTATTATTTGGTACCATTTTATTAAATTAAATAGTTAATGTTCATGGCTTCATAAGGTTTTACTTCGGATGCAGTAACTTTCGCTGAACTCTACAGAATTTCCCCAAAAAGCAAGGAAACTGTGATAGTTTTTGGTTTTATTGTAATATAAATAAGAATGCAAAAGTTAATACCTATAGTGGCAATTTAGAGTGTTTCTACTATTTATGGCAGACATGTATTTTAATTCAATTTAGTTATTTTAAGGAAAAATATATTTCATAAAAAATGTCATACTAAGGCAGAAACTTATGTGAAAACTCATCTATGTTTTTAAATATGCTCCTTAATTTGTATCATCATGTTATTTTGGTAAATTTTTAATCCATGTACCTACTTTACCCCATCTGGCCCTATAACTCCTGGCCACCCCAGATAAACTTCTGCATGTTTTTTTTTTTAAAACATAATTACACACCCAAGTCAAGAATTTTGACAAATCCTTCTTAACATGACTTCAGTAACAAAAAACATTAAATATTAAGAAAAGATTCAAAACTATTATACTACCTTCTAGATTATTACAGTAAAATACTGATCGATATTAATACGTTTTTCTTAGCTACAAAAAATATAGTTTAATTAATATCCATTTTTAGAAAAAAAACTCTGAAATAATTTTATTCTGAATCTAAAGAAAATTGTTGTGAATGTTTATGGTATGCAGTCTATCAAGTTTAAATAAAGAAAAATAGTCAGACATTTAGCCACTAAAAGATCAACAATAACAAAGCTATGAATAAAGGTAAGAAATTTTCCACGAACATACCAGCTCGATCCGGCATTATAAAGCTATGTAATAGGCAATGGAGATAAAAAAATATAAGTTCGGAATAAAAATATATAGTGAAATTAAACTAGTACTAAGACGATTAATAACGCATATACTTGTTGGCCAAGAGTACAACAATTAAGGTCAATGTATTCATATTTCAACTTTTTTGTCAAAGTTTATTTAGCTTATAGCTTGTACAACAAAATACTGAAATATAAGAGTTCTTTTTCTAGTTTCAGATTTTTAGTGGCAACATTATTTGATCATCTGGTTGTCTGCTCTGTCCAGATTTAATTTTAAATTTTTGTCACTAAGTTTATGTACGTATATGTATTTTTGCACTCTGTAATTATTATTTTTTTAAGCAAAGAAAGTGTATTAATGAGAGTTCTGAGAAATTGCTTCACGTGCATGCGGTTTGTATTTGTTTAAAAAACAAGTTCTCATTTTGCTATCAAAAATATAATACATAATGTATACATTTTTTCTATATAAAAACTAAGACTTACTGTTAATTGTTAATGATTCTCAGACTTTATTTCTTTCAATGTTTACCATTATCTAGGTTCATTGCGTTATTTGGTAGACTTCCGTGTATGCATTTGACTAGATTCGAATCATAAAAGAAAATGATAAAACAAAAAAGTTCAGCTTACGTTAAGACGAATTATTAATTACAATACCTACCTTGAATGCGCTTCTTTATTGCCAGGATCAAGTGTTTATTTATTTTTGTAGTGTAAAAGCTCGCAATTGGTATCCATTTTTGTCACCTTTTTTTTTTTAAAGAAGTAAACAAATTTCGCTAACTTTGTCAAATTGTATTTTAAAGTTTGGTACGAAAAACTCTTTCTAAATAAATTTTTGAACTTTCAATTGCTCAATAAATTACAAAAACAATAAATTACATTAATACATTAATAAAACAATAAATTACATTTCAATTATATACTTTTTCTCCTACCGTTTAAAATGTTTTGTAGGTAGTTCAAATTTAAGTTTGCTCCAATTTTCAATATATTTTAATAAAATTTCAGGTTCTACAATTGATAGGGTCTATTTCTTAATCTTTTAAAAATTGCGGGATACTTCCGTATTGGTACCTGATTTCACTGACTACCTTCTCTGAGGTATCGAAGAATTTTTTAATTTTAAAGGATTTTTAAAAAATAAGACTTATATCCTTCCAGTTGGTCCACTTTTGTAATGCTTCTTTGCAGTTTCTTAGCTGTTCCATGTAACTACTTAGTTGTCACGGATTTCTGACTACATTTGTGCAGGTATCAACATGAAAATCTTTCCAAAATATGAAGTTTCATAAACAATATGAACAGGTGACTCAATTCTGAGTTGACAACCTTTAAAGTTCAAATTTGTAGCCTCATAATTTTGAATCTAAAGCTGAAGACAAGGGAACTTGTGGATCAAGACAAACTTATTTCCATGGGGGAATTTTTTTTTAGGGAGGAACTAATTTGCGTTACATGACGAGGAAAACCTTCCACAATTAACCCAACAACAATTGAAATCTAACCTATAGTCCTTCCACCTCTGAGTATATTTTATGAGTGAATTTTAAAACTGATGTTTTCAAAATTTCTAATATAAATCTGTAAAAGTTATATTTATGTTTATGTAATACCTAATTATAACAGCCTATCATAATTTTTTTTAAATTTTATTTTTTAAATGAAATTATTTAAAAAAAAATGTACATTATGCAGTTTTTAAGGAAATAATATTTCTTTTGGCAAACTGTTTATAAAGTCACTAACCACTAATTAATTTCAACTATTTATTACAATATTTTAGCATATTTTAGGGGAGTTTTTTGAACAAATTGGTTTTATACAAATTTGTGTAATTGATTTACTGTTTAAAAGATTTTTTTTAACTGAAAGTTTGTTTTCAATAGAGATTAACCAAAGATGTCTAAAAAAGAAAAATCTTCCTTTAATGATAAATTTAAGCAGATGTTTGGGAGAAGAGAAACAACTCCTATAAATTATGAAGGTATAAAAAGAGAAACTCATGTTCTTAGCAGTGATGATTTGAAGGTAATTCTTTTTGTTATAAATTTTTATTGATATTTATAAAATTCCATTGTTAACAAAAAACTTTCTAAAAATGTATCTAAGATTTATTTCATAATACAAATTTCTGTATGCACAAATCTAGATATATACAAGAATCTAGATATACAATTCTTGGAACACAATCTTGTTTTCTAAGAATTTAGGAATTATCTCAGATTACTGTAGATATTTTTAAAAGAATGTTCAAACCAGCATTCTCTATATTGAGGTACCACAATGGACTGATCGTTAAGACGCGGTTCCCAGCAGATCACCGAAGTCAAGCATCACTGGCTGCGGTCAGTGTGCGGGTGGGTGACCCACTTGGATCAGTCTGCGTAGGGACCGAGCTATTGATCCTCGTTAAACTGTGCTACCGTAAAGTGCTCAACTTCGCGTGCAGGTCGTTGGGCTACCGNCTGCGGTCAGTGTGCGGGTGGGTGACCCACTTGGATCAGTCTGCGTAGGGACCAAGGGTGTGCGCTATTGGTCCTTTTAAAACTGTGCTACCGTAAAGTGCTCGACTACGCGTCCAGGTCGTAGGGCTACCGAAGCGGGGTTGCCATCCCCTCTGCAGAGGATCAAAATTGTGATGGCATGTCTTCAGATCATCTTCAGGGATGCTTCCCAGACCGTCGCCAATAGTCCATTGTGCAGCTCTAGTGCGACGTAAATGAACTAACACAACAACAAAAATCTCTATATTGAGACTGATTTTTTAACTGCTGTGAAATTTTTTATGCATATAATGGAATTTTCTCCTTTTATTATTCAAAGGTTTTAAGATCTCTTGATTTTGAGATCTTATTATTTTTTTATTATTATTTTTGCATCAAAACTTAGTTTGCAGTCCTAATTAAATTTAAATTATTTTATCTCTCATCTTGCTCACTTTATTCTTCAACCACCTTGATTGTTTTTCAGTTATCTTTAAAAAGAGAAAGAAAAATTATAATTTTCAAATAGAAATTTTATTAAAAAATTAAATTTATGCTACTTTATATATTTTAATCTATTATTATTCATGACACATTCATCTCTTTTATTGTTTTATATTTTTTGAATGCAACTGAAGAAGCAACTAATGCTAAAGTAGCAAACTAAGTATTCTTCGAGCACTTGAATGAAATTATTTATGCTTCAAGTTATGCAACATGTATCGAAGGATATATCAAAAACTTTTTTGAATTATTTAATTTAGTGTATTCAAATAAATTAATAGCTACAATGAACAAATAATTTGTTTCTTTTTTTTTAGAATCACTATTATTACTGATGTATTTTTTTCTCTCCATTTTAGGATCTTTGTTCTGATAATAATTTAAATCACAGACTGAAATCCTTAAAAGAGTTGTATGAAATTGTGTTGACTAAACGACTAGAAAAGGCAAGTTTAGTTATTTAACTTAGTTAAATGCAATTTTATTTTACACAAAAGCATTTTGTTGTTTTTGTGCGAGAATGTTCATTTATTATTATTATTTTTCGGAACACCTTACATTTTTTTAGTACATTTTTTAGTATTAAAGAAATTATAAGTGTATTAATGATTTTAAATACATTTATGAACATCTAATTCTAAATGAAGGAAATGTAAAAGAAAACAACAGCCATGCAATGATTATGTTGATCTGGTGTAAAAAAGACCTAGTTGGTGCCCAAAAGATTACAGCTGACATGTTAGTTTTAGTATTTTTTTTAACTGTTTTCTAGACTAAAAATCCTAAATATTTTTGCTTTAAATGAATTAATAATAAAAAGATTTTGTTTTCTCTTAAGTTGGTAACAGTGTCATTCTTAAAATTTAATTTTCTTTAATTTTTAATTTTATTCAAAAATAACTAGATAATTCTTGAAATTCTGGAATTATTTCTATTATCCGAAAAAATTCTTATCCGAGAAAAGATTACTGTTTTAAGATAATTGCATTTAAACAGAAGATATATCTGATTATTATATAAAAATTAGAGTAATGGCAAAAAAAAAACAAGACGCTATAAATATTCTTTCAATGCACAATAGTGTTATTGTACTACCAAACAACCAAATCAAATTCTGTCAAATATAAATAAATCTCTTGCTCCTTATGAGCTATAAAATTGCAATAAAGCTAAAAAAAAAATTCTTCAATCTTTTCAATTTGTAACCAAAGAAATGTTCCTCTTTAAAAGATGCTACTACTTTTACCTGTTCAAATCTACTTTTTGTACCTGTCGAAATAAATACTTAAAACATACTGCATTTCCTCATAATATTAAATTTAAAAGGCAAATTATCTTTATGTAGTTTCACAAAAGCTTAACATGGTTCTACTTTCCACTACATTAAATGCTGGGTGTAGAAAAATTGATCTTAGCTCTTAATAATGTTCGTCGCACTTCTTAGAAATTATGAACTGTTATTTGTATTTTGCGGTTTACATATGCTAATAATACCTGATAAGATTATTCTGATAGCATACCTAATTAAAACATTTTTATTGAATTTTTTAAATTTAATTAGATATTATCTATTTAAAAAAATTATTGAAACTATTTTAATCTCTTTTATAAAATGCTGAAAAAAACTGTAGAAAATTATTGTAACTTTTCTATGATTTTTGTTTCAGAAATAAGCAATTTCATCATAGACTCAATTTAAACAGAAAAACTTAATGTGATCAAACATGAAATTATTCACAATTTTTCAATATCTTGCTTATTTTTAAAATTTAAAAATGAAAAAAATATAACTAGGTTAAATTTATTTTATATAATACTTTAGAAATATAACTTCAAAAAAATTATTTTTTGGTCAATTAAAAATTTTTTTTTTTCCTAACAAAAGTTTGAACTCCTGTCTAGTTGAAATTAAATAAAAATATTTTAGTATAATATTTCTGGTGATCTAGCAAGGAAAAATTTAGATTTATTATTATGAAATAAAGTATTTTTACTCTAAAGATAGTGTTAAACAACTTTTTAATATGAGTAAAAAAAAATGAATGTACTTATTGCGGCTTTACATTATTGCAACATGCTAATGAAAATTAACTAATTAACATGTTAATGTAAACTAACTGAAATAGAATTTTCTTAAAATCTTAAAAATATAGATATTGTGAAATATTTGATATTACTTTAATTCTTACCATTTTTGTTTTTACTTGAAATGTGAATGTTTATTTTTTGGAAATTATTTTTTTTCCATAGTATGCCGTTGAAGCAATTTGCTATAACATCAAAGATTTATTAGACCTTCAAAGTTCATCTGAAACGAGACAAATAGTGTTGCAGTTTTATAGTGCTCTCATATGTGGCCAGGTATAACTCTTAGAAAGGAATATTAAATAATTGTAATAAATAACACAATGTTTCTTTTTTTTATTATTATTATCAACTGTTTTTAGTATTATCAACTGTATTTATTATCAACTGTATACATGTTTTTGACTGTCTAATCTTTTCCAATTAACACAAACTAAACATTCTTTTTTCCTTATGGTTTTTTGAATATAACTTATCCTGTAGTGTTTTGTACTTACAAAGGAAGATTTGATAATAGAATCCTTGATTGTAATATAATTTCAATACATCAATCTAATGGAGCTATTTTAACTTGTGTCATCTCAGATTATAAACAAAAAATATTTTTGTCAAAAATTTAAGTTGAAAAGAGAGTATTATTCCAGAATCTTTGAAAAGGAAAGTTTAATGGTATAAAAGAACAAGTTTATTTAATTTACTTAAAAACTGTACTTTGTTGCATTGTCTATCATTTATGTTGAAACATCCTAGTACATAACATACATGCATGGTACATAAAGGATCGTTATGAGAAGTCCCCTGCACCAACTTTTTAAAGTATTACCGTACTTCCAAAGTCTCCAATATATTAGAAGTTTGAAACATTTATTTATTTACTTTGCTTTTCAATTTGAAAAGAACGTTTTTAATTTTTGAGTAATCAAAAGATAATGTTTCTATAAAAAATAACCAAAAGTTTGGTGAGTTGGTTTTTTTATACTAATCCAGTTAAAGTTGTGCAGGGTTTGGTAAATGCTTACCTTCATTATAAATTTTTTGTTTTTCCTTTCAGATTTTAAAAAAATGGTTGGAACAGTAGCATTTAATTATTATTATTAATAATTTTTTTTTGTCAATCTTATCTTTCCTTTCCCCTATCTCTAATTTCTTATATTATCAAACTCTTAACATTCAAATTATAACTTTTCTAACAAAAACAGAAAAAATTTAGTTTTTTAAAAAAAAACGATTATATATTTTGATACATTTCTTTTAAATATTTTTATGTACTTTCACTAATTTGCTCTGTAAAGGGTTTATTTTTTGAGCACAAATATTTTCTTGGAATTTCCATTTATTAAATAGTGTTCTATACATTGCATTCAAGTTATGCACACACATTCAAGTTAGGACTTTTTCCAATTTATAATATTATTTGTTTTAAATTTTTTTATGGAAACTTGTTTTAACTTTTAATGATACATTTTAAAAGTTTGCACCTTAAAAACTATAATTTTAAGTTATAGATATTTTCCAAAAGTGTACTTAGTTCTAAAATTGCAGTAAATGGTCTTATATATACTTATTTATATTAAACTTTTTTTTGTAACATTAAGATACATATTTAACTTTTGTCCTGTGTTCCAACCAATCTAACTCTTATCCTAATTGCTGTCATTTCTTATTTTAAAGATCTAGTATTAAAATCTACTGAGAAAACATAATTCATTCAGAGGAGAATTCTGTATTCAGAAAATAAATCATTTATGCATTGTCAGAAATTTAAATTCAGTCTGTAACTGTTTTACTTTAAACCACTTTTATTTACAGATGGATCAGCTGGATATTGTGAGATCTTATTTGTATCGCATGATTGTGAATCATAATGTTGAGGAAGATCTTTGTTCCAGGTGATTTTTATAGTTTAGCTTAGCAAATATAGTCATTTCAAAAGGATTTTTTTGTGAATTTTTATTTTTTCCCTAATTATTTAATATTTTTTTTAAATTTCTGTTCATGCCAGCTATGAAAAGAGGATACAAATAACGAGAAAACATTTATTTGTTGAAATTATAAATTTATTTGTTTTATTTTGAGATAAAACAAATCAACTTACAATTGGTTTGATAGCATATTTCATGAATCAATTATTTATTTGATATTTCCATTTCAATTATTCAATGTTTCATTTCAATTTCAATTATTTGCTTGATAACAATTTTGAATGAATGTTTGATGAAATTGCTGAAAAATATTTTATTCTCTCAATTACCATTATTCAAATTTCAAAATTTAGACTGAGTACTAAATAACAGTAATTCATAACTAATATCTTTTTGATTGAATAATATCTTTTCTTGATATTTTTTCTGAACTTCAAATATGGTATTGAAATTTTCCAACTTCTAATATTTTTAATTAATTTCATACCTGCCAACATTTACTTATTTGGCGTAAAAGTTTATTTCAATATTTAAAGTGGTAGTAAAATGTAAGCTTTCTATATATTCCTTGCATTTATAAACTTAATTTATAATCTTTTTGACCACCTCCACTATTTTTAAACAAATTAAGCATATTTATTAATGTGTAATACTCTCGTGGTAGTCCTCAAAAGCTCTTTCAAAATATAGCTTATGTTACTGCCTAAAATTGCAATTTAAATTCCATTTTACTACCACTGGGAAAAATCATCCTTGAAAAGTTTAAAAGTTATGTAATTATCATGGTATCATTTTTGATTTCTTTATTTAGGAATAATATTTTACTGTTTAACACTTTGTTCAAATTAGACTTGTAAACAAATATCTTATTTTCAGGTTTGATGTGTTGAAAGCTCTGACAGATAATGGGAAATTCATTAGCTATTTTGAGGAAGAAATTGGTAAATATTTTATTTTAGAAAAAAGGTGGAATTAGATGTTTATGAATTTTTTTCCCCCGATTAATTACGTTATCACTTTATAATATTTTATGATTGTTTAAGTAACAAATTTTACAAAAAAAAGAGAGTATCAAGTCGATTAAAAAAATAGTTGCTGTTTTCAATTTATTCAAGATATTGCAATAGGACATATGCTTTATTTAAATTAAATGTCTACTAAATTTCATCTTAAAATAAATATAAAAGGGACTTGCCTTTCTCTCTCTTACAAAAATAATTGATTTGAATTAAAAGTTCAAATGCAAATCTTATTTTTGAAAAAACAAGAACACACTTATTATGATAATATTTTCTAAGAATTCTAATTGTACGGAATAATAACCCTTTAATTAAATTATTTGATGTAATTTTTTTCTAACAAAACAAAGTTTTAAACTGCATCGTTTCGAAGAATTTTGCTATTTTAATTTTCAAAAAGTTACTAATTAAATATTTTAATGAAAATGAAATATGCTTTAAACTTATATAAGTTGTAAAAAATTATTCATGAACTTTAAAAAATTTTCCGCATACCGAGCAAGAGGTAGTTATTTTTGCTACAAAAATTTGTAGAAATAGTATTTTATGAACTATTTTCAGGTTTTTATTTATTGCACTGTTGCAAATGATATATTTATACTCTAAGACAATCTAAATCATTATCAATGTTTAAAATCCTTTTAAACATAGGTGCTCTGTTCAAAACAGTGTAATATTTGGTCATTAAATAATGTCCTACGTAAACAGAACTTCTTTACAATTTGCTCTAAAGAATTGTTTTTCATATATTAAAAAGGTACCATAGTAGTTTAAGGAGTGATCTAAATATGATCAATAATTTGTGCAGGGGATATATAAGTTGCAAAATCAGACACAAAAGGATACTTTTAAATAGTTTTAATCAGTTTTTAAAAAATTTATACTCCCACTCCCGAAGTTAAATTTTACATTCTGTTCATTTCACTTTTTGCATAATGTGCGATAACTCCAGGACTATTTATGTGAATAAAAATTTAGCATAGAACTCTACAACGCAAATTAAAAATAAAAAAATCTATAATAAATGTAAGATACACAAATTTTGTATCAATTTAAGCTGTGATTTTAAAGGACGAAATTCAAAAATTCAATGGAATAACTGGGATAGTTGTAAAAAAAAGGTTTAAAAATACGATTTATAAAAAATTTTATTGCTTAAAGTTATTGTTCTGGTTTCAACTTTGGATTTTGTCATTTAAAAATACATAGTATAAAATTATGTGAAAATTTTTATACCTTGAAACAGAAGTTTTTTTTTTTTTTTGATAAGTAAACTAATTTTGTAATTGTCTGTAATGTTTTTTTCTTTCTTTTCTTCATATTTTGATGGGCAAAAATCTAAATCTAGCTACAAAAAAAAAGTATGTTTTTTGAAAGATGATTTCAAAACTTACAATATTGTCCTGCGCTAATTAATAATATCAGTTTTTACACAGCACTGATTAATCATGTATTCTGCATATTTATATCTAGACTTCTCTTTTTAAAAAACATAATTTATTTCAAGTAATTTGCATAATAAGTTAATATAAAAGATTGTCAAATATTTTATGCCTGTGTTTTTTTTTTTTTTAAATTTGTTTATTTTAAATTTTAGGTGCTTTCCTTCTCTATTGGTTTCCTAGCATCTTATCTACTGTAAAAGCTGCAGAGTTTTTAAATTTAGTCACAAATGTTATAAAATATAATGCTGCTTACATAGATGATGATATAATTTTAGGATTTGTTCAGTAAGTTCATTTATTATTACTGACATGTGAAAAAAAAATATTTGTAACTTTTGTTGAATTAATTAATTTTTTCCCGCAGAAATATTTTAACACACAGTGCTGAAACAAAAAATGAAGATGACATTCAAGTCAGTATACATTAAAGTTCTATCTAAAAATATGTTTAGATCTAAAAATTGTTTGCTCTCTTTTATGTATTCATTTATGTTATGTGTTTCAAGTTGTTGAGTTCTTTTTTTATGACAAACTTTCTGGAGATAAGGACAACACAGGACAAAATGTCAATTAATCTAGTAATGTAGGAGGAGGTTTTCTCACCGAAACTGTGCCACTCAGTAAGAAGTAGTATTGTCACTGCTCAGAGATGAATTGATTCTAGTATTCATTAGCTGAGCTTTAAATAAGTTCTTACAATGATTTAACATCAAATTTCTACTTTTATGTATTTAAATCAGCAAGATATTCGGTATGATAAGAATACTGCAGAAAACAAAATGTTTAAATTAATATTAGATTTCACATGAATAAATGGCCCGGTCCTAGTAGGAGACTTAATACCATTACATATATATTTTTTAATTATTTATGTGTAGTGGTGGGTGGGCATAGAAATTTTCTGTAAGCTTACTAACTCAAATATTAAAATTCCTTGTTGCCAGTTCTGGATACATAATTAGTAATCTTACTATACAGATTATATTTGGTATAAAATAGGTCAACTTTTTCATGTTAATGATGTTTATTTAAATTTGCTTTTTAAAAACTGCAAAAACTATAAACTATCTTTAAGTATAAAAATTCTTTTTTATTTCTCTGAAATATTCCACATTACATCATTTATATTGAGTATTTAATAATACCATTTTAACTTGTTAGTATCATTATGAGTAGGGTTGCAAGTTTATTCCTTAAAAAAGAAAAAAAAAATCGCATAAAATTTTTAAAAGCTCGCAAAATTTTGGCGCAATTGCATATGCTATAAAATATACACTCAGAAAGCACCAACCATCTTTCAAAATTCTACACCAAAATGTTGCTCTTGATTTCAAATTTTAAACAATTTTCGCACAAATCAGGGCATTTTGAAACCTTTGCAAATTTTTCGAAAAACTTGAGAATTGCGGCAATTCACACCGCCACAAACTTGCAACCCTAATTATGACTTATTTTTATTCAGTTTTTTGATCTTTTCATTTCAGGAATGTCTCAATATTTTAGATGCTCTATTACTATATAGTCATTTGCCACAAACAGTTTTGAAAACTTTCATCTGTACTCTGTGCCTTACTGTAAATATTGAAAGGTTTTCTCAATGTAGTTGGAAGGTATAATTTAATTCCTTTGATTTAAACTGTTTTTTTTTAAAGATTTAATCTTTAATAACAGTTTAAATATAATTTCCTGATGTCAGTTTGATTTTAAAGTTAGTCTCCTCCCTTTTATTTTTCCATTAGGCAACATGTAAATGTTTAATCTTTCTCAAATTTAATTCTACAATTCTCTATTTTAAATTCTATATGTTTTATTTTAATTTGCATTAGTTATATTAAAGCATTTTTTAGATTCCTTTTATTTAATTTTTATCTTAAAAATTTATAAGCATTCAAAGATGTGCTACGCAATTAACTAAGTCTCATCAACAAACATTGTTTGTAAATAAATAAATACAAAAATATTCATAGTTTATAGTCCCTTGACTATAAACTATGAATATTTTTGAATTTATTTTTTATATTTTTTAAAAATGAATTCAAGCTTTTTTAAACTAACCGCTAGGAGTCTGTAACTGTTATTAAAGATGAGTTAAGAGCTATAAGAGACTATTATTTTCCAGGCCTGTTGAAGTTAAGATTAGTTTTCAGGTTCAGATTTTCTTCAGCTATTAATTTTATTTTTTCCCTTTAAGAGATGGTGTTAGAAATTGTTTATTGACTATCTTATTTATTTCATCACCCAAAGATTAATTAGTGACTTCTATTTTTGTAAATAATATTCTTTAAAAAATCTAATCTTCAGCCCACCCTTATTACAAAAGTCTTTAGGCTAAAACTCTAACAACAGAGCCTAAACTCATCTCTAACAGTTTTAATATTTACATTCAACTATGCTACATTTATTTTGCGATGATTTGCAAACTAAAAAAATACAAATTACACTATATTTAAATTGCATTTATAGTTTATATCTCATGGAAATAACCTCCAAAAGTTTAAATCCAAGCTTCTGTACAAAATTTTAATGTACAGAGAGAACTGATTTAGTTTAGCTTAGATCAAAATAATAGAGGTGGGGCATCTTCATATCTCCACTTTACCTAGGCATCTATGATATTTATTGCTATTAATTTAATTATACGTTCTAGTGAAGTATATTTTTTCTGGTAATTCACTTTTTTTACAAACTCATTCTTATTATTAATTAATATTAATTTAGTTATATTTTCGAGTGAAATATATTTTTTCGAATAAAAAGTATTTTTCTAGTAATTATTTTTTTTACTGTCATCCTTTGTATTTATTGCTATTAATTTATATTTTCTAGTTATGCATATTTTTTCTTGGAAAGTATATTTTTTCTAGTAATCATTTTTTTTTACAAAGTCATCCTTAGTATTTATTGATATTAATTTAATTATATTTTCTAGCAAATGAGGAATCTCCTAGGTACTAATGTTGGCCATTCGTGTGTTTATATTCTCTGCTTCATTCTCCAAGAAAAGTAATTAATGTTCTTTTTTTTAAAGTCTATTACAAGTCTATATATTTTTGATATTTCATTTTTATCATACATTTCTGTAGGTCTCAACCTGCTAAACTTGTCCGTGGTGCAGTTTTCTTTATTGGCATGTCTCTATGGGGCACAAATAGTGTTTCTTCTTTAAGACATCCTCCAGATGCAATTTTGCCTTCCTTTCTTAAAGTAATTAGTTTAATTTTTTGAATAAGAATCCTAATTCCTTTTATCGAATTTGCTTTTATAATAAAATGTTCACTTAATGTAGTGTGTTATTTTTTAACTAATATTAAATTAGCTACTAAAATAATTCAAGAATAGTTCAATTTGAATTCTTGATGGGGGAAAAGGGAAAATGTTTCATATATGTTTCCATAGCTAAGCCGTACAAACTAAGACATGTAATCCTTTTTGCAAAAGTTAGTTAATTTTGTAAGAAATTTTAATTACTTATTTAAGAAAAAACTATATTCAATATTTTTTTTTAATTTTAACATTGTAAATTTGTAAAGCTATCCTCTGTGGTTACTATTAATATTAAAAAATTTACTTTTTTTTTATTAGATTGAAAAAGTCAAATTTTAAAAGCTGTTTTTCAATTCAATGAACTATGAAACAGTTTATTCAAAGTTATTCCTGATAAGTTTGAATATATTATGCTTTATGTTATTTAATTTTAAAAAATCAAATCATATTGGTAACGACTATTATGAGTTATGTAATATCAACTAGTGGTACACTCATTCATTGTTTAAAAAAAAATTTAAAATATCTAAATAGAGATGGGGGTAATTTATTGAGAATTAATGAAATTTAAGTAATCTAATAAAAACTTTAATACCTAACCAAAATATATTTAAATGACACTGTCAAAAAATGCAATTACGATAATAAAGAGTTTATCATGACTTCTACATAGGAATTGCTTTGGTATTGCTCATTTCAAAAGTTTTCATATTTGCACGTTGGCGACAATGTTAGAAAATTTTGTTCCTTTAAAAAAAATTTATCCCTCCAATTAGTTTGACTGAGAAAAATTGCTCAGAGGTTTAGCTGCCACCTGCGTAAAGTTCTGAAAAAATCAAAGACTAATGTTCAGAAGGTTAAAATAAAATCTTTTATTGCATTAATGAAAAATTTTCAATTTTTCCTTAAATTCTTTCAACTTTAAAAAATATTCATTAAGTACAGTACAGAACCCGTTATTCGGAAATCAGTAAACCGGAACGAAATTCGATAAATTTTCCCGCCATTTTTTTTCTTTTAAATTTTTTTTTCCTCATAAGATTTTAGGATTTTTCTTTCTTTTTTGAAAGATGTTTACCTTACCATAATTTTAGAAATAATCATTAGTGTATTACTTTGTTTTTTCAAGATTATTTCCAAATATTTCTTTTTTTAGTTGGGTTTAACAATAATAAAAACGGCTTTTTGTAGCAATTCAGAAAACTGGAAAAATCAGTTATCCGGAATAGTGATGGTCCCGATCGTTCTGGATAATCTGTTCCCTACTGTACATGTAAAAAAACAAACATCATCAATATGCATAAAAAAAAACAAAATAATTTAAATGTTATAAAAGAGCGATATACTTAGTAACTAAATTTTAATTGTTGGCTGCATGAAGGGTAAATTTTATTTACTCATGTAAAATAATGCCCAATTATTATATTGTATAATATACTATATGAAAAAATTAAGTTATCAGTCCCGGGGTTAATTTTTTTCAAGTGTTAGTCACAAGCTTTTGTTGGTGGGTGTTAATAAAAATTTACAATTATTTAATTTAATTATATTAATTATGTTTCAGGTGTTGGACGCTAGAAGTAGTATTATTGCATATGAAACTATTTTATGTCTGCAACGTTTAGTAGGACAGCAAAGTGATGAATTAAGAAGTATTTCTTGGAATATAATATTTAATATTTTGTTGAAAGTCCTTGAGTATCCACAGGTAAGTGAAGATTTCTTTTTTCTCACTTCTAAATTATCCATGATAAATCAGTATTTTTGTTTATTTTCCTTTTTCATTTATAGCTTCAGACTAAAACTCCACAGATGTCCAGCTTAGGTAAAGCAGTTCATGAATTTATCACTCTTGTTGAAGAGAAGTGTCCTGAGATTTATGCTGATAATCTGTACAGAATTATTGAGACATGTACTGATACTAGAAGTGTATGTAGTTTATTTTAAAAACGATGCTAATTAGACAAGTAGTAAATATTTCTAATTCCCCCCCATTGTACATTTATTATACGTAATGTATATGTATTTTTCACTTAGACAACAAAAGCACTTAGATTACAAAACACTTAGAATGATATAATTATATTTGTAATATTTACGTTTGCTCATGTTCAAATGTAGTTTTTATAATTACTATTAATCAGCGGTTCCCAAATGGTGTTCCACGGAACTCTGTCTCTGGGGTTCTGTGAGTTAAGCCTTTTTTTTATCAATGACTTTTTGAAAGCTGAAATGGGTTTGTATAGGGCCGGGATAGTCTGGTTGGTAGGGTACCAAGCGCATATCCGAGAGGTCGTGCATTTGATCCCCTTCGGCTGAAGTCTCCCCATATAGTAAATGGTGACTGATGCACGTTAAATCTGTCGAGTCACAAAGTCCTCCATATTCTTATAACAAATCATACCTCTGGGAGTACTGATCCATGAGTTTCCTTGTCTTCTAGATTGGTTCAAAATTACAAAGCTACGGAGTTGATCATTAGTTGTCGTAAACCCAAAATTGGGTCGGCTGTTCAATGACTATTATAAAATTTTAAAAAATAGGTTTGTATCCAATCAGTAATCCAATATTTATTTAATGCTAATAATTTTTATGAAATTATTCATATGAAATTGAAATAAAATTAAAAAAAAAATTTCCAATAACAATACATTGAATAAATTGCTAAATGATGAGCATTTACAAATTATTGCATGAGTAATACTTATTGAACTTTGAAATTCAAAATAAAATGACAAAATTTAAGAATAAAGAATTAATTTTGTCTTACAATTTATAACAGTTCGTTTTGAGAAATTATAATTCAGCTTATTTTATTCAATTTCAACTTAAATGGTAAAGCCTACTAGACTTAACTTATACAGCAAAAAATTTAGCCTCTGCAGACTCGTGAATTCAACTGTTAACATAAAACCTAATTTTAAGACTTATTAATGAAGCAATAAATAAATTTCATTCCCATTAAATATTTCTGAATTACTTTGATTTTTTTTTTCGGTTACATATTTACACCTGCTAATGAACGTTTTTTAAAAGTCTGAAAGAAGTTCGATCATTTAGGATTCTGTGGCTGTAAAAAATTAAGAATTACTGCCATAGATAATTGTATCTATAATTTTCTCTTTTTTCTCAAAATATTAAGTTTACTGTGTTAAAAATGATTTAAAACAATGAATGTAAGCTTTTAAAATTGTTATTACATGATTATTTCTTTAAAAATTACCTTTTTGTTAAAATATTGAGTTTACCCATTTTAAATTGTGTTAAGACGAATACAATTTTTTTTAATTGATAACTATTTAATAACCACCTTTTTGTCAAAATATTATAAAATATTAATAACTTTACCAATATTAAAATGCACAAAATGCTTTTAAAAGGTAAATGCCATTTTTTATTATTACAGGAACAATCTGTGATTAGACTAATACTGCATATTTCAGAGTCAATATCTCCATTTAAGCCAAATTTTATATCATCTATTAATAAACTTCTGGACAGTTATTTCAAGTAAGTTTTTAAGTTTCCTTCTATAATTAGTCAGCTTAAATTTTTTTTATTTGGTATTGCAAATCAACTATTGCATTTATTTTTAACAAAATTGACGCACGTATATTGTTCAAATATGTTTTTTTATCTAATTTGAAGATATTAGTATAGAAAAGTTATTCTTTGTGTGGTGAATAAATATTTATTATCTGATATTTTTTATAATGTTAGTACTTTCTACTTGAAAACAGAAAGCAAATCTAAGTCTGAGATTATGAAAAATATGTGGAGATAAAGATTTAGTTTCATATATCAGAAGTTTACATGATGCATTTTGATTTTATTCAGGAAGAGCATCTTATCAATAACTTGCGTCAAGACCTGCCACCCTTGTATCAGAAACTAAGATTGGTCTCTGATTAGTGCCCGATAATAAATTATATTCAATCCTGCTCAATTACTATTTGTCAATAAAAGTTATGTTAATTTAAATTAATAGAATTAGACATAAAGCTCAATGAACTTAGATGTTGCTTCACAAGCTTAAGAATGTATAATACCTTATATAATATGGTAAATTTTATTTATGAAGCAAACAAAGGAAAGTATGAAGTAGAGAGCTTTGATCCCTAATAAAAACTATAATTAAATTAAAAAATATTATTTGAAAACTAAGAAATTTTTTTCTGATTTCTTTCTCTGTTGTCTGATATTTAATATTTTATAAATATAGGAGGATGCTTCACAAAAATTTTATATTTCAGTTGTGATGGAAGATTTTTAACAGAATTTAATTCTTCCCTTTGAAGTAGTATAATAGGCATATTAAATTTAAATAAGAAAGATTAATTTTGTATATTCTTAGGCATCCAAATTGGTTTATGTTTATCTTTGAATTTTAATTTAGCCCTTAATAATTTCAAAAAATGTGACTAGAAGCAACTGATATATTTTATTAAATAGTTTTTTCTTCTTCCATTTTGCAATATTTTCATTGAAAATATAGGTTACACTTATATTTTTAGTACATTATTACTAATAAGTACTTTCATTAGTTTCCTGTTCAGTGTAAATGTTCAAATTTGCATAGAAATAATTTATATAATAAAATATCTGTTATTCTATAGAATTTAACATTTAGCAGAAAAATGATGGGTTTATTAATTTATTATTTCAAATTTTATACAACATTTTTTTATTCTTCTAAAATATTTATTTCTATTGAAATAGAAATGAAAAGCGCCATAGTATTCAGTTGAAGGTCCTCGAAAGAATACATGAAATTCGTGAGAAAAATCTTTACATCTGGGAAGTAAGTATCTTCCAATCTTTAACAGATATGTTACATTTATGTGTGATGATTTGCTTTTACTACACAAAATATTTAAGAAATAATTTAAATGTTTGCTAAAATAGTATTATATCATGCAAAATTGTGAAATTCTGAATTTCTTGATGTTTCAAAGAAATTTAAATTCCAGACATTATTCTGACATTCCTACTTCTAAAATATAAAATAAAACACTAAATAAAAATGAAAAATTGTGGCCAAACTATTTTTCTCAACCCTTAAGCCAAAGTATCCAAAAATTGATAATGTGAAAGCTTTTCCCTGGTCAGAAAATAAACTTATTTAGTTTATTAAAATCTTATTCTTCTAAACTTTCCTAAAAACTTTAGAAGTGACTTGTTACAGCTGCAATAGTAAATCTGTGAAATTTTGGTCAAGCGCGAAAATTTCAAAATGTATCATTAACTTAGCATCAGTTTTCTCTTTAATCAGTTTAATAATTACAGTTAATTATGTAAACTGATTTTTTTCATTTTTTCCCTTTCAAAATAAGTCAAAAATAAAAAATTTGATTTTTTTTTTTGTCAAAATTTTTTTTAAACTGTTACCTAACATTATAAATTAAATATGCAATTCAATTTTTATGAGAAATATGCTCAAATAAGTTATAATTCAGACTCTCTTAAAAATAAAGCCCTCCAAAAAGCATGGGAATTATTTGTTACACAAAAAGTATCACAATAAGCTTAATTTTATTTAAAAAAAAGTAGGTTACACTTAATAAAGAAAATAAACACAATTTTGCAAACACTTATTGTTCAAAAACATTCATTGTATTAAAAAAATTCTTCAAAGTGGAAAAAATAATATTCTATTGAGAGGAAAGTGGGAAAAAAATTATTATACAGAGTGTTTGGTATTAAATGTTTTTTTTTTCTTCAATAACTCAGCAACCTGGGGTGGGCCGTAAGAAGGTCCAGTAGTTTATTTTTGGTTAATATTTTCAAATTTTTAATTTATAAACTATAAAGATTTCTTGCATCATAATCAATCTATCTTTATTAGAGCCATGGTGGCTCATGGGATAGAGTGTTCGCCTTCCAATGAGGTTAACCAGGTTTGAATCTCAGCGAGGGCTGGTTGATACTAATTCTGCACCTGGCACACACCGACCACAGCGCTGAAGTGAAATATCTTAAGTGGTAGACTGATCATGGGTTAGAGTCCCCTTGCCATGAAGCTAACAGTGGGAGGTTCTTGTGGGGATGGGTTCTCGCCGTCAAGGAGGTTTTCCTCTCTGTGTAATGCAAATGCTGCTTAGTTCCTTCAAAAAGTCCTGCATGAAGGCAAATTTCTCCCAATACTTGATCCAGTAGTTCCCTTGTCATCTGGATTGAGTTCAAAATTACAAGACTACTCAGTTGAACATTAGTAATTATAAACCTAAAATTGGGTCGGTTGTCCAACATCGGTTATAAAATCCATCTTTATTGTGATCATCCTCTAGATCTAGTTTAAGAAGATAGTTTAAAAAAGTTTTTTAGTGTCCACTATTTTTGTGCAGTCCAGCTTCCATTCCAGCTTTGAAAACTACTGCAATATGTATGTGTTTAGAGTTCCTCTTAAATAGGGATAAAATAGTATCCGAATTAGAGGTTTCAAATTAATATTTTGGTGCAATTTAAAAGAAAACGTTTTAGATACCTAACTAATCACTATTGGAGAAGATAGGTGTACAATACATCAAAACCAGTAACCTGTCAGAACCTTAAGGTGTTTCTTATGATCAGCTTTCAAATTCTCATCCACTTTCATTTATAGGGATTTGTTTTTCTGAAACAGTTTTTGTCTTTTTCACCATTTAATATTAATTTGTGACCCCCAAGATATACCCCAAGGTTTTATCTGCATTTTTGCCTACGGTTCTCAAAATATATGTTAAGAGCAATCATTATAGAACACTCTGTATAAGTTATGCTTTTTTTTATTCTTTTTCAAATTTTTCGTTATATAAGACATTTCTTCGATAACTAAATATTTTATCACTACAATCTGTTAATTTTGCAAAATTTAAAAACTATTTTTATCAGATTTACAAAATTGCAGAAAATATTTCTTACACTTTGTTTAACATTTGAAATATCAAAATAAAGTTTCTGCAATTTTTCTTTAAATGTGATAAAATTTATATGTTATACTATTATTATTATTCATATGTAACTACATTTGTGTTATTATTAACGTGTTAAATAATATTTTAGGATGATGTGATGGACCAAACTATATTTCAAAATATGGTTCATGCTGATTCCATAGCTGATGTAAATGTTAGAAAAGCTGTTGTGTCCCTTCTAATTGAAATAGCAGAGTCCTGCACAAGTAGTTGGTTTGTAGAAGTGATTAGTATAATTGAAAAGGTAATTTTAGTTTACTTTTTCATAAATATGTTATATTTTAGTTTTCTTACATATATATTCATGTGTAAATTGTAACTAATTCGAATTTTTAAGATATCTTTTTTTAACTTATAAAATGTTGTAATTTTTCAACAAAAAAATTTTTTTTTAAAAAAAACTATGATTATTAAATGAATTGAGTTTGAATATGCACCTACATTGCTGCCTGAAAGTTTTTTTTCTTTTATCAAAATTTCTATTGGATCAGTATATTTTTAGCTAGCAAAACTGTTGCAAAATTTAATTTCGTCAAAAAAAATTTCGAGTTTTTTTTTTAATTTTTAAAGTTTATATTAGCTTTACCTTCTAATTAAGGTGTGCAATAAGGTTGCATTTTAGTACCAGAAAATCTTATTGCTAGGTCAAAAGATATTCTTTATGCTTCATTTTTTATTTTGCTGAACTAGCAGACATTTAATAAATTACTATTATATATTTAAATGTATCTTTATTTATTTCTCTATATTATTTTTATTTTCATGAAAAATTTATGATATTTTTTATGAACATAAACATACTTAGGCAAACCAAATAGATAAACTATCAATAACAGACAATAAATCAATGAACTACATAAATTAAAAGCTTTCGTTTTAAAACTTGTATAATTATTTTGAGAGAAATCATTATATAATTCTCAAAATATACACTATGAAACTTTATTAGACTTCTTTGTGATAGTATTCTCTTCTAGTAATGAGGTGCTCCGTAAACCATGCAACTTTAAAAAAATATCTATTTTGTTCGTATCCCACATTCACAGCACTCCTTTAATATTGTTGTATAATCAATATTGACAGTAAATATTTTATTATTTATGTGGGAATATTTGGTTTGACGTGTTTAACTTGACTATGCAGTATTACTAAATATTTATCTAATATGATATATTATTATATTAATTTTCATGTAAAGATTATGAAGAGGATGTTTGAGGATTTGAAGGATGAATCTATCTCTTCTGGAAGTGAAGTAGATGGTAAACCTTATTCTGATGTCACAGCTGCTGTAGAAGGGCTTATTCGTGTTTTCAAGGTGGTTTTTATTAATATTTTTATGTAAATTAATTTACTTCTTAATGATAGACTAAAGTTAATATTGTGCTCTGATATTAAATTTAAAAACATTTTGAAAGATTTTATGCTAAAATTAAAAACATATGTTACATTGGGTAACTGTAACATGTAGACTGTGGAGTATTCTCCCAATCGCTTCATTTTAAAAATTGTAAGCATTTTCTTGGCTGCCATATTTTTCAATAATCCTGTTTGAAGTTTCCACATGATATCATTATTTTTTAATAGAGTAGTATTTTTTTATTTTTTAAAATAATTTTTTAAGGAAAAGTAAAATAAATGCAAGTAAAATCTTGAAAAAATATTCATTATTTTTAGGAGCTTTGGAATCATTCCCATTGCATCTAATTCGATAGATGCCTTAACTGTAGCAATCATATTATAAATTTTACAATTTGTACATCTTATAAATTTCCATTTCAAGTTACAAGTAATACACGGACAACTTGGTGTTTAATATTTTCCATTACAAAGTGAAGTTTTTTGATTAATATTTTTGCCACTAGATCCTTTGTTTACCTAAAAGAAACAAGGAGAAATGTCTCCACTTTCTCATATTTATCTTAACTGAACTTTTTCATCTTTTTACATATAGCAACATGGTTAACAATTTGAAAGCACTACACCAACCTTGGGTTATAGATCTCAAAAAATGAAATCCTACATGCATAGAAGCAAAGAAAAATTGACTATATTTAACAATGTACAAAAGAGACTTACACGAATTATTAATTTTGAAAATAGTGATAGATATAAAACATAATCTTTCAATATTATAATATGTGTAGTTATATTTTATCAGATTAATTTTTATATGTTAAGCTTTGTTAATTTTCTTAACAAAAAAGGCATTTTGAATGTGGAATTTATTTAGAAGTTATAATTTAAAAGTCAAACTAAAAGATAGAATGAACTTCTATTTGAACTTGTTTGAGTTTCAGATGTTATCTTCTGAATTTGGTTATTAAAACCTTTTTTTGTGATGTTGATTGTATCCATTGGGGTTAAATGCATGGAATGAAAAAGAAAATAGTTTGTTTGATTTCTTTTAGTATTTTTTTAGAAAATATAATTGAATATGGTATTTTAGAGGAGTTGTGATTTCTTAAGATAATTTTGATTGTGGAGTCTGTAACGTACCGTCGATCAACAAACTCAAAATTGTGGCTCTTCTGAATGTTTGATGTTTGTTTTCATTGGGATCTTTATTTATACTGTTTCTGGTACTCGTCCTATGGTTTGAAAGGGGGCAGAGCTGTCACCTAAAATATCATGAAAATAGGTTGTAGGTTAAATACTGTCAGTTGTTTGGTTTTTTCCCTCTTGTATATTCTTTGTAAGAGACCCGTAGTTAGGTATATGTCAATTATTCTGGAACCCTATGGCAAGGGTCTGGAAGAGCTGTTGGATAACTGAATGCCATGTTAAACTAATGTGGTATCATTTGGATTGGAATGGAAATATCTTGTCTGAAATAGTTTGCATAGTGGTTTGGAATTGCATCATCATTTGGAGTGGAATTGGAATTGCATCATTTGGAGTGCATCATCATAACTGCTTAATAGGGTTCTGTCCTTGTCAAGCTTGAGACTTCTTTGGAGCCTTAGTTCTCTAGCAGGGCTGATTGTGCTCCAGAAAAAATCTGGATTTCTGGATTTTTCGCTAACCTCGATCCGGAAGTTTCCGGAGATCGAAGGTCCTGACGTTTAAAAAAATCATTGATCACAAAAGTTTCCGGAAATCAAATTTTGAAAGGTGGAACTTAAAAACACAGTTTATTTTATTTGTTTGTAAGGGAGAGCCAGGTACTTCCTTCATAAGCTTTATATTCAAGATTAATATTAATTTTTTATCAGTAAATAGTTATAATCATAAACTCAAGAAAGAAAGAAAGATATATTTGTAAATTTCATTTACTTCTCCAGGTTATCATAGGTATGTGTAAATGTTCTAAGTATGGTGTAAAATTTTAAATATATTTTTAGTAAACTAAGAAAGATTGAGAAAAAGGAAAAAAACCTTGTTTAAATCTAGTTTCCGGAGATCGAAGGTCCTGACGTTTCAAAAAATCATTGTGTCGTGACTATTTAAGGGATAATTTAAATATATCCAATAGATAAAATTTATATTAAACAAAACCCAAGTTCGGTCAGATTAGGATTGAAGCAATGTGTCTAAGAAACTAGAGNCTCACAATCACTCCTGCCTCTAGCTACTATTAACTACTGTGTGGAATTTTTGAAATGACATGTCAGAGTTAATATTGCAGCCGTAGAGTTCTTGGTTTGGCGAGTTGTCTGACATCTTTACCCAACAATTAAAATTACTTTCCATTGTCGGGTTGCTCTTTAGTGTTCTTGTAACTTCACAGAGTTTTGCCGAATACCCCAAAAAAAAAAAAATTTTTTATGGTTCTGTAGTATTAATAACTTATCTTTTTTTCTTGGATTTGCAGTACATTATTAGTAAGGTGTGTGTTTAGTTTTAACGTTAAGTAGAAACATTTGTTTCTATCTTTTCTTTTAATTGACCTATTCTAAATTGTTTTTTAAAACAATTAAAAGTGGTATTTATTCTAGAATCTAAAGAGTTCAAATAGAAATTATTTTGTTCAATTTAAGACAAACTTAGGCAACTGTTAATAGTTTTACAAAAATCTAGGTAACTGCATATTTAAATAAAAGTAATTATATTAATATGCCTATATGCAACATGAAACCAAAACGGAATACCAAGATACTAAGTAACTAATATCTCTTAAGAAAAAATTTCTAAATTTTCTTTTCGTTTCACACTTAGATAATGCAGACATCTGAAATTTTTCATTACTAGCGCATTTATGATAAAAGGCTTTATTTTCTTTACTGAACTGATTGTTATTATAAACATATATATATTCTATGTTGTAAATTTATTCTTAAATTTTCAGAAGCAACTGTTTATGGTGCCTTCAAACCATTGTTCTGAAATTTTTACAGTATTTATCAATCACATTACAATGCACTATGAAAAATTGTCTTACGTTGATGAAGTGATAAGGATTAGAAAACTTGTAAGTCTTTTTTTAAAATTTTTTATCTTTTTTACTTGATTACTTTTATTCTTTGACTGATAATGTGACAAAATATGACAATTGCTATTTCAATATCAATCACGAGTAGCATACTGCCGAAAATTCATCATGTGCATAAATTAATGACAATCAAAAAATGACAAAATTTGTTCTATGACGGTATAAATATTTCTTGACAGATGTGTGTTAATATTTTAATATCTTCAATAACAAATTTATTTTTTATTTTTAATTATGAAATTGTGCAAAAATATGCCTGAAAATGTATTTATCTTGCATTTTTAATGCATGCTTTGATAATTAAGATGCTTTTGGTTTGAACATGAAGTATGAATATGTTCAAATCAACCCCTGCTCCCCAAACTTTTTTTTTTTTGTTTTACTTAATTACTTAAAATGCAGTATTAATATTTTTAAATTTAAATCTTGCCTTTACTTATTAATTCAAATTCTTTTTTATCATATTACAAAAGTCATAAGTACATCATAGTCATAAGTATTATCATAAGTACAAACATGGGTACATTTCTATTAGTAAATATTAGGATTATTGTTTATCAATGCATTTCTAAACTAAAATCCTATAAAATATCTAATGCTTACGATTTAATGCTTGGAGATCAACTTACGAAATGCTAAGGTAAACAGGTTTTTACTGCATTTGTAAAGATAAACGAAATGTTTCCTATCTATTTTATTGTAAATACTTTTTTCCTTATAAATGACTCTTTTTTATTATTTTTCTTAAAATAAGTTTTCAAACAATTATTTTTCTTCTGAAATGATCTTTGGTGTAAATAATTTTGCATGATGTTTTTTATTATTTTTGGAATGTTTTGACTGAAAAATACAGATAATTTTTCTATGTATTTTTCAGTCAAAGTTTTCTAAACAATATGGCAAGAGTGTGATTTTGCTCTGTTCTTGACATAGTGTACATTTATTTATGTCTGTATATTCTTGAATTTTAATCAAATGTGTTGAATCATGTGTTTTTGTTTTAACTTCTTTAAGTCATGCAATTTTATGAACCATTTAATAGTTTGAATTTATAAAAATTCCTTCTATAAAACAAACAAATCAACAATTCAAACAAAATGTTGTTTTTTTAATATATATATTTATGTAAGAAATTTGCTTTATAATTTTAAAATTTGAAAGATACAATAATATTTATTGTTAAATTTTTACTTTCTCTAATTTTTTAATTTATTACTTTTTTCATTATAGAGCAAACACAATTACTTTTGTAAAAATTAATCTGATGTGTAGAAGAAAAGAAGTGTAAATAACAAAAAAGTGTCAATAACTTTTATCTCTCAGTAGCTGTGATTAATCATGCTAAGAATAGTACTCAATATAAATAACACTTACATTTCAGATTCTTGAATTTTTGCTGCATATTAGGTCTAATCGAAAAAAACAGATTGGTGTTTTAGAAAATGAATCAGTTGAGTTCAGTGTTTATGTACTTTGTGATTCAGGGTAAGGAATAATTTATTTACTTTTAATATTTTGAATTTTTCTTTAAGCATGTTTATTGCTTTCCACTTATGTAAACTGTGTATTTCAACTTTGATTTGAACTTGAAATTTGGAAAATAATTATGAATAGTTATTATTTGATATTGGTTTTATTTATGCTAATTATGTAATCTGTTTCAGTTCTGAATCAAATATCAAAACAAAGACTGAACAAAAGGATGCTGCTCCCTTAAGCCCTGCACCTAGTTCTCCTTCATTAACACAATCAATCTTCTATTTAAACTATGAGCAAGCTTATTTAGCTATCATAACTTCCTTGAAAGAAGTAAGTTTGAATATGACTTTATAACTGTAATAAAAATTTTTTTAAACAAACACATACTTTTTACAAGGTACCCCCAGAGCAGGAAAGAGTCTGGAAATTTTATCAATCTCCAAAAATTTGAGAAATGTCAGGGAATTTAATTACCTAAAAAGTCAGAAGAAATGAGCCAATTTGAGTATGAGGCACTTAAAAGTCCACTTTCGATAATAATTATAAGGTTTTTTAATACATTTTGTGCATAAGAATAAGGCATAACTGAAAAATAAATAACAAAATTTATACTACTGGTTAGAAAAATAAGGGAAACTTGATAAAACCAGTCTGGTAAAGTCAGGAAATCATTTACTGAGCATTTTTAGCCACCCTGGTTTTGTTTTCATACACAGAACTACATTTTTATTTATGAAATGCCAGATATTTGGCCATTAGACCACAGATCTCCAATATTTTGTCATTCAACTTAAGACAGCAGATATCACAGGGCAGTCATCTAAATTCAAAACAGTGATACCAAGAGAACATGTAGAGGTGTCAACGATGTTTAAACGATAAAAAAATGGCACAAAGACAAATTCTTAATTCTGCCAAGCCTCAATGGGAGTAGAAAGTTCCAAAATCCACCCTCACAAGATGAGTCTGGACTAAACTGTGGTTTTGAGA